GCCTTTAATAGTTCTGGACTCCTCACTGTAGAACCACGTCCTGAATGGACTCTAGATCCGACTAACAAACTGCAGAATTTCGCCACGCTGACTGAACTGCTTTGTGTTTTTCTGCCCTCTGAGAAGCGAAGCAGACCTCCACCCACGCAGCAGGATTAATTCAGCGCTACATCAAAGCTGTGGGCAGCCGTGCGGACTGTGACTGCTCGCCTGAGACCACTTTTCCTGGAGCTGACCTCCCCGAGATCAGGGTCCACCTGATAACACGGCCGCCAGGATCACTGAGGCGTGTCGGCTCTTCATTTCCAGAGCGTAGACGGCGTTTCATAGATTTTTATTCAGTCTCAGATGAAATAAAAGAAAAGAGTGAAAACCACACAGTGAAAGCAGACAGGACTCAAACTGAGTTTGGCTTTTCAAACATGCTTGGATGTTTTTTCTGAGCTTCTTTTTGTTTATGAATCTCTTCCTGACGTCCTGTAGATTCCCCTCAAAGGTTTTTTTAACTTTCTAAAGGTCGGTTTTTGACACGGCTCCGTGATTGAAACGTTTTGATGGAGAGATTAGTCCAATATTTATCGGTAAAGTTCCTATAAAAGGAAAGATCTCCTCAGGCGTCTTGAAAACTTGTCTTCAAAGGCGTCACTGAAGTCTCCTGCTTCGTATTTCTCTGCTCGTTTCACAGCGAGGATCGAGAGATGTCGGCGTCACTCAGTCTTTCAATCCGACGTCTTGTTAACTTTTGATGGATCCTGCGGTTTGGTGCAGATATCCTGTGAGCTCAGATGAATCATACCGACCTCTCTGACCCCTGATTTCATTCTCTTTTGTTTTAAACGAGCGTTTTATCAAAATCAGAGAAACTGTAGAGTCTGAATCTGAAGGTGATGTTTGTAGAATGAGGATAGAATGGAATAGAATACGGTGGCTGTCGAGGGCCAAAAGAGATTTTCACAATAAAAATGGCGCCATTAACAACAAACACAAGGTACAAGATGACGATGTTCTTCATCACCAGCTGCGTTTACGTAGGCACGAATAATCAGAATAAAAAAGCGTCACGTTAACATGTCGATCCGATCAAGAGGGGTGATTTATGCCGATCGTTATTCCGAAACTTCGTCCATGTAAATATTTATTCCGATCGTGACTCTCTAACGTGACTCCGTCTTCACTCTTTAGTTATTGAGGTCAGTTCAGGAGGTTTATTATCAACACAACCGCAGGTGTCATGTCTGCTCCTCCGGTAACGTAACAAAGCGTAATGACGTCACATCTGTCCGCACAGTCCAACCTTTGACAGAACAGTAAAATAAGTACGCAGGGGCGCCATCTAGTGACAACATTTAAGAAGGGGGAAACTCCTGAATCGGCTGAAGTGAGACACGACCGCGTCTGTTGGTTTGTTGACAGAACAGGCAGAAATACGACTCTTCTTCTCAGATGACTCTTCACATGTTCGAATGGTTCTAATCTGTCCTAATCTGTTGTTTTGAGTTTCAATAATCCCACGCATTTACATTTAACACACTATAGCCCTAAAACACTATATTCAAATAAATATTGTGACTGCAAATACAAATTACAACAGGAACAAAAGTTTATTACCAGAAATAAACATAAACAATCACCCCTTACTTCGATCTGGTGACCCTTTGAGTCCATAAAGTAAAATAAAAATGAAAATACTCGGGGTTTGATGGAGCACTTCCTCAAATGAAGTGCACTTATTAATTTCTCATGTTTAAAGAAATAACATGTTATAATAGATGACACTGATCGTCCTGAGGAAACATCAGCAGGATCTCTGACAGCAGCTCTGAGATCCTTCACCTTCATGTTTCTGTAAACTAACAAACAGACCTTCTTCAGCGTCAGTCTTCAAACATCAATCTGTCTTCTTTAAATAAAATAATAAAAAGCTCACACTCATGTTAACGTCTGTCCTGATCTTTTTTTAATTTTTCATGTTTTTGTTTAATTGGATGAAAACTCTGAAAAGTCCGATCTCACTCTGTCCTCCCTGTGGACGTTATCTAAGTCATAATAATCTGTTCAATATAATCTGATTTAAATGTGTTTCTGCTTGTGCACTGAGCACACCAGGTTGTTTTTGGATCCGGTCACTTATGCGTCTTCTTAGGAATAACTCTCTCTCTGCAGCCCCGGAGGCTTTTCTGTGAATGTGCGCCGACATGGAAGATGTTTTTCTATCCTAGATCTGCAGGATCAGGCTGACATCTCTTCTGCAAACGACAACAGTCTCCAGCAAAGTGTTTGCTTACTTTCTCACCACAAATCAACATTTCTGACAGGCGGCGCAGATGGTGCCGAACACTGAGAGATTGACTGAATCCAGCATTAAAAATAAACTGAGTGGATGTCACCGTCCTGATGCTGCAGATGAGACGAACTCCATCTGCTTTAAGTTTGAAGAGTTTGACTCTTTGAGAGAAGATCCAGGAGTCCCGGGAGGACGGAGATCTCTTGGAAATTTCCTGACAATATTCAGGAGTGACAAACATGAACGCTAACTTCCTCCATCCTGAATTTCTTCAACAGCTTCTCGGTTAAAAGTCTGACTGTTCTTGAGTTTCATTTACAGAAACAAAGTGTGTGTGGTAGGGCTGGACGATCAACTCAACATTTACAACAACAACCGACGATACGACAATAACCGACGTCAGTGTCAAACAAATAAATTAATAACTAAATCAAAGTTGGTTTTGGATGTGTGTAGGTAGGCTATGGTCTCATGTCCCTTTAAGACGCTGTCCTACATCAGAGACGTGACTCCACCCCATCCAGTCAAAGAGGGAAAGAGGTGAGAAGATGGAGGATGGAGAGAAAGTTGGAGCGGCTGAAGTAGACAAAGTTAATGTTGGAGGGGGTGAGCAGCTTGTGGAGTAGTTATCATCATTTATCGTTATTGAGGTGAACTGATCAATATATCATGATATTGATTTGAGACTGTATTGCCCAGCTCTAGAGTGTGATGAGAAAGCAGATCTTGAAATATCAGGGTCTGAGGGTCCTGAAGTTGTCTAGAAAGTCCCTGAGAACCCACCAGGAGGGTCTGCTTTGTAAAGAAGACTGGTCTGGGGTCTGATCCTGGGAGGGTTGTGGCTCTGATTCTGGTCTATGGAGAGAAAAATCACTAAGATGAACAGAGTCTGACAGGATAGATCTGTTGTTTTTAGAGGACTTGGTCTAATAGATGTCTCGGTCTGGACTCAGACATATGGCGTCTTGGTCTCATCGTGTTTACAAAACTGTAATTTTCTGTTCGGTGACTGAGTCACATAAACAAACGAGGAGCAGCTGTTTGAGAGGAATCTATAATAGATCCTCTTCAAACGAGGATCATCGACAGCTTTCATCAGAGTCGCTCACATGCAGGTCCAGAGCTGATCAGGGGTTCAGAGTCTGCTCCTGGTCCAGTCAAGGTGAAAGTCAAAAGCATTGGTGCTACTGTAGATGCCAACAGACTACCAGCAAACACAATGTTTGCAGGACTTCTACAACGAGGATAAAGTGACATAGTCCAGGACCCGAGGGAGGACAGTTTAGCGATGGCGCTACAACACGCTACAGCAGGTCCGTTTGACAAGAAACACTTCTGTTACAGACACTTGTCTTACTTTGTTAAAGCGGTTTACCTGTCCAGCAGAAAGGTTACAGGGTCACCAAGATCCCCAAGCGTCCCCCATGGTTTATGTTGACCCGGCTTTTTAGCTCTTGTCCGGTCTACCTCCGTTTTAAGCGCCCGTTATTCCTCCAGAGTCTCCGGTATTTACTTTGTTTTCTTGCTTGTGTCGGCAGTCGTGGCCAAAGGAGGATTCAGACAATTTTCCGAACTTTCTGGTTGGTTTCTACTGTCCGATATTGTAGCACGCTAACTTTGTTTGGGCTCCTGAACGACACGGGGGAGCAGCATTTTCTTGCTGACTGTTTTCGTGTTGACTGTTTTGGTGTTGACTGTTTATGGTTGACTGTTTTCTTGTTGACTGTTTTCTAGTTGACTGTTTTCTTGCTGACTGTTTTTTGTTGACTGTTTTGGTGTTGACCGTTTTCCTGTTGACTGGTTTGGTGTTGACTGTTTTTTGCTGACTGTTTTCTTGTTAACTGATTATAGTTGACGTTTTCTTGCTGACTGTTTTTTGTTGACTGTTTTGGTGTTGACCGTTTTCCTGTTGACTGGTTTGGTGTTCACTGTTTTTTGCTGACTGTTTTCTTGTTGACTGTTTTCTTGTTGACTGTTTTCTTGTTGACTGATTATGGTTGACTGTTTTCTTGTTGACTGTTTTCTAGTTGACTGTTTTCTTGACTGACTGTTTTTTGGTGTTGACCGTTTTCCTGTTGACTCGTTTGGTGTTCACTGTTTTTTGCTGACTGTTTTTTTGTTGACTGTTTTCTTGTTGACTATTTTCTTGCTGACTGTTTTCTTGTTGACTGATTATGGTTGACTGTTTTCTTGCTGACTGTTTTTTGTTGACTGTTTTCTTGTTGACTGATTATGGTTGACTGTTTTTTGCTGACTGTTTTCTTGTTAACTGATTATAGTTGACGTTTTCTTGCTGACTGTTTTTTGTTGACTGTTTTAGTGTTGACTGTTTTCCTGTTGACTGGTTTGGTGTTGACTGTTTTCTTGCTGACTGTTTTCTTGTTGACTGTTTTCTTGTTGACTGTTTTCTTGTTGACTGTTTTCTTGCTGACTGTTTTCTTGTTGACTGTTTTGGTGTTGACCGTTTTCCTGTTGACTGTTTTGGTGTTGACTGTTTTTTGTTGACTGTTTTCTTGTTGACTGTTTATGTTTGAGTCTCTTCTTGCTTGTGTCGGCAGTCGTGGCCAAAGGAGGATTCAGACAATTTTCCGAACTTTCTGGTTGGTTTCTACTGTCCGATATTGTAGCACGCTAACTTTGTTTGGGCTCCTGAACGACACGGGGGAGCAGCATTTTCTTCTTGACTGTTTTCTTGTTGACTGGTTTGGTGTTGACTGTTTATGGTTGACTGTTTTCTTGCTGACTGTTTTCTTGTTGACTGTTTTCTTGTTGACTGATTATGGTTGACTGTTTTCTTGTTGACTGATTATGGTTGACTGTTTTCTTGCTGACTGTTTTTTTGTTGACTGTTTTCTTGTTGACTGATTATGGTTGACTGTTTTCTTGCTGACTGTTTTTTTGTTGACTGTTTTCTTGTTGACTATTTTCTTGTTGACTGATTATGGTTGACTGTTTTCTTGCTGACTGTTTTTTTGTTGACTGTTTTCTTGTTGACTGATTATGGTTGACTGTTTTTTGCTGACTGTTTTCTTGTTAACTGATTATAGTTGACGTTTTCTTGCTGACTGTTTTTTGTTGACTGTTTTGGTGTTGACCGTTTTCCTGTTGACTGGTTTGGTGTTGACTGTTTTTTGCTGACTGTTTTCTTGCTGACTGTTTTCTTGTTGACTGTTTTCTTGTTGACTGTTTTCTTGCTGACTGTTTTTTTGTTGACTGTTTTGGTGTTGACCGTTTTCCTGTTGACTGTTTTGGTGTTGACTGTTTTTTGCTGACTGTTTTCTTGCTGACTGTTTTCTTGTTGACTGTTTTCTTGTTGACTGTTTTCTTGTTGACTGATTATGGTTGACTGTTTTCTTGCTGACTGTTTTCTTGCTGACTGTGTTTTTGTTGACTTTTTTCTTGTTGACTGATTATGGTTGACTGTTTTCTTGCTGACTGTTTTTTTGTTGACTGTTTTCTTGTTGACTATTTTCTTGCTGACTGTTTTCTTGTTGACTGATTATGGTTGACTGTTTTCTTGCTGACTGTTTTTTTGTTGACTGTTTTCTTGTTGACTGATTATGGTTGACTGTTTTTTGCTGACTGTTTTCTTGTTAACTGATTATAGTTGACGTTTTCTTGCTGACTGTTTTTTGTTGACTGTTTTGGTGTTGACCGTTTTCCTGTTGACTGGTTTGGTGTTGACTGTTTTTTGCTGACTGTTTTCTTGCTGACTGTTTTCTTGTTGACTGTTTTCTTGTTGACTGTTTTCTTGCTGACTGTTTTTTTGTTGACTGTTTTGGTGTTGACCGTTTTCCTGTTGACTGTTTTGGTGTTGACTGTTTCCTTGTTGACTGTTTTCTTGCTGACTGTTTATGTTTGAGTGTTTTCTTGCTTGTGTCGGCAGTCGTGGCCAAAGGAGGATTCAGACAATTTTCCGAACTTTCTGGTTGGTTTCTACTGTCCGATATTGTAGCACGCTAACTTTGTTTGGGCTCCTGAACGACACGGGGGAGCAGCATTTTCTTCTTGACTGTTTTCTTGTTGACTGGTTTGGTGTTGACTGTTTATGGTTGACTGTTTTCTTGCTGACTGTTTTCTTGTTGACTGTTTTCTTGTTGACTGATTATGGTTGACTGTTTTCTTGTTGACTGATTATGGTTGACTGTTTTCTTGCTGACTGTTTTTTGTTGACTGTTTTCTTGTTGACTGATTATGGTTGACTGTTTTCTTGCTGACTGTTTTTTTGTTGACTGTTTTCTTGTTGACTATTTTCTTGTTGACTGATTATGGTTGACTGTTTTCTTGCTGACTGTTTTTTTGTTGACTGTTTTCTTGTTGACTGATTATGGTTGACTGTTTTTTGCTGACTGTTTTCTTGTTAACTGATGATAGTTGACGTTTTCTTGCTGACTGTTTTTTGTTGACTGTTTTGGTGTTGACCGTTTTCCTGTTGACTGGTTTGGTGTTGACTGTTTTTTGCTGACTGTTTTCTTGCTGACTGTTTTCTTGTTGACTGTTTTCTTGCTGACTGTTTTTTTGTTGACTGTTTTGGTGTTGACCGTTTTCCTGTTGACTGTTTTGGTGTTGACTGTTTTTTGCTGACTGTTTTCTTGCTGACTGTTTTCTTGTTGACTGTTTTCTTGTTGACTGTTTTCTTGTTGACTGATTATGGTTGACTGTTTTCTTGCTGACTGTTTTTTTGTTGACTATTTTCTTGTTGACTGATTATGGTTGACTGTTTTCTTGCTGACTGTTTTTTTGTTGACTGTTTTCTTGTTGACTATTTTCTTGCTGACTGTTTTCTTGTTGACTGATTATGGTTGACTGTTTTCTTGCTGACTGTTTTTTGTTGACTGTTTTCTTGTTGACTGATTATGGTTGACTGTTTTTTGCTGACTGTTTTCTTGTTAACTGATTATGGTTGACGTTTTCTTGCTGACTGTTTTTTTGTTGACTGTTTTGGTGTTGACCGTTTTCCTGTTGACTGTTTTGGTGTTGACTGGTTTGGTGTTGACTGTTTTCTTGCTGACTGTTTATGTTTGAGTGTTTTCTTGCTGACTGTTTATGTTTGAGTGTTTTCTTGCTGACTGTTTATGTTTGAGTGTTTTCTTGCTTGTGTCGGCAGTCGTGGCCAAAGGAGGATTCAGACAATTTTCCGAACTTTCTGGTTGGTTTCTACTGTCCGATATTGTAGCACGCTAACTTTGTTTGGGCTCCTGAACGACACGGGGGAGCAGCGTCTGCCTCACAACCAATCAGGTTAGAGGAGGTGGAGAACGGCTTTGTTTACAGTCAGAAAGAGCGGACCGCTCAAAAATGTTCAAATGTTGACGACACAGACATAAGAGAACACAGAGATATCGATATTTTACCAAATGTCATCAATAACTAATAACTATTGACTGACATTAAAGATGTTTTGTTGCTCCTGCCTACCTCACCTTTAAGTTTTCAGCTGTTAGTCTCTGACTGAGTCCAGCGGCGGACTGAAGGTCGTGACCGTTTGCGGCGCGCTGAGAAACGAGGAGTAGTTTCTTTCTTTTCTCGCTAAATGAAATCTTGCACCTTGACAGAGTGACCCGGCTAACTGGTGAATGTGTCAGCGGTCGTCATGGTTACGGCAGCTGTTGAAGGTGTCCTTGTAAGAGAAGCTAAAGGGGCTGAGCGGATCCATGAAGCTCTGAGACGTGTTGATCGGTTCAGTCTGTTTAAAATTCGATTAATTACGACCGTCTGAAATAATCTTAATGAAATATAAAAATATTCATTTAGGGAGAAGAACTGAGGAGGAAAAGACACAAAGATTTGTTTTTTCAGAGCGTGGACTTCTGCTTGTTTGGCCCTTTTTTCAGCTCCTCCTCCTCCTCCTCCTCCTCCTCCTCCTCGTTTCTTCGCTCCCTCGGGTCTTCATTATGAGAGAAGTTTGTTTGATCTTTTCTTTCTTTTCTCTCTGAACCTGGAGCGTCACTCCGACTCCCCGGGGAGTTCAGACCGTCGACACCACCACTAAAAACTGCCGCCATTACACACAAACAAACATCCTTTCACTGTCGTTACGCCGACGGAGAGCCTCGCTGACACTCCTCAGAGCGGATTTATTCTCTGACAAAAACTCCTGATTGTTTTAGCGGAGAGTAAATACTGTGAGCAGCGGTGAATGGATTTCTCCCTCTGCTGCGGCGGGACGAGTAATCAGACAAAAACGATCAGTCGTGCCTCGCTGCCTTAAGTACAATTAAGCTCTATAATTAGTTTCCATTTAAAGAGGTCGATTTGCTATAAACATACAAGAGCAGCGTTCACTTTCAGAGCGGTAAATAACTCCGAGGCCTCGGCTGTGACGCACCGCGAGTGAACGAGGAAAGACGAAACACAAAACGGAAGAAAGAAAGAAAGAAAGTAAGAAAGTAAGAAAGAAAGAAAGATTCGATGAAATCCTCCAGACCGTCAGATTCACACGACAGGATGAGCAGCGATTCACTCCAGTTTATGTAAAAACGCCGAAGAGTCTGACACACGTGGAAATGTTTACCATCCTGACAAAATGTTTCGAAACAAAAACAAAACAATTTCCTGTCAACTTTACAAACTGATCGTGTCAAAAAACACTAAAAAGTGTTCGCAATAAACGGCGTGAATCCGACTCAAAATAAAACACAGGAAGAGAAACCAGGAGGCTGTAAAATCCTCCTCTGTTCAGACCTGAAAACCTGATCCAGAAGAACAAAACCAGCACCTCTGAGATCCGGTCTCACCTCAGCAGAATTTTAGCAGAACTCAGCGGCGTGAGAAACTCTGGAGTCTCTGTTCACACCGACTCACTCAGGTAAAGTCAGGACATTTTCAGGTACTCTTAAAGCCCGCCCCCTTCATCTGTCAATCAAACCAAAACTATGAAAACAACAGCCGTGAAACCGTCACATGACCTCTGTGTGTGTATAGATAAGGGGGTCAGGGGAACAGACCCAGACCCAGACCCAGACCCAGACCCGGCCTCCTTCTGAACCTCATGATGGAGCTGATCCAGGATCAGACCCTCAGACTCTCGGCTCCTCTGGGTCACAGAAACTGTTTCTGCTGCAGGTGCAGACGGCTCCACCTGCACCTGAGTGTGTGTGTGTGTGTGTGTGTGTGTGTGTGTGTGTGTGTGTGTGTGTGTGTGTGTGTGTGCGTGTGCGTGTGTTGCGTCCTGCTGCTTCATTAGAGGAGGACAATGAGACGATGAGAGCGTTTGTCTCTGTTAATAAAAGACACATTAATTCCTCCTCTGCTGGGTGATCGCTCCAAACACAGCTCAGGGAGTGAGTGTGTGTGTGTGTGTGTGTGTGTGTGTGTCTGTGTGTGTGTACTAGTGTGTGTAAATGCATGCTTGTTCCATTAATATCAGCGTAGGTGTTTGTAATCCTCCAGTCTTACAAACGTTTTAATCCTGATTTTTAAATCTGGTGAATCCTTTGTGTTTACTTTAAAGGAACAGTACGTAATTTTTTTGTCTCGCTCTTTTTCCTTTAAGCTGATTAATGATCGTGTTTGAGAGAGTGTGAAACTGAAACTGCTGTTACATCAAAAACCATTCAATAACGTTTATCTGTGAACACTTCGGCAGATTTAAGATTTATTCTGAGATTTTATTCTTTATTTAGTGTAAATATTGACACAGTATTTGTAGAATCTGTACTGTGTTTCTTTGGTGCTGCCTCAATGAAGTATCTATCTATCTATCTATCTATCTATCTATTTCATAGATCATTGTCTCTTCGATTCAGTTTCACACACTGTTACACCTCCTTTTTTCCTGCTTTTTTCCTTTTTTCTTTCCCTTTTCTTGTCTTATTTTCTTCCCATTTTTCCTAATTTTTTTCCTATTTCTCCTCTCTTTCTTTCCCTTTTCTTCCTTTTTTCTTCCCACTTTCCTCCTTCTTTCTTCCCTTTTCATCCCCCTTTCTTTCTTTTTAATCTTTTTCTTTCCTCTTTCTTTCTTTTACTTTCTCTTTCTTTCTTTTTATCTCTCTTTCTGTCCTTTTCTTTCCTTTCTTGTTTTTTTATCTTTTTCTCTCCCTCATTCTTCTAAATCTGTTTTTATGACTCTATCCTGTTTTTTTTTTAATCTCTCTTCCTTCCCTTTCTTTTCCCTTTCTTTCCTCTTTCTTCTAAATCTGTTTTTATGACTCTATCCTGTTTTTTTTTTTACGTCTCCGCAGACACCATGCTGCTCCCAGCGAGCCTGCTGATTGGCCTGCTGTGCCTGAACCATGCGGGCGGCGTCTGGGGTTTCGCCCGTCTGCAAGACAACGTGGAGCTTCGCTCGGCCTTCTCCGTCGCACGCACCAACAGCATGGAGGGCGGGCCCAAGATGACGGTGACCTTTGACACTGTTTATGTCAACATCGGCGGGGATTTTGACCCTAAGAGCGGCATGCTGCGCTGCCGTATCCCCGGGGCGTACTACTTCTCCTTCACGGTGGGGAAGTTTCCTCACAAAGACCTTTCGGTGATGCTGATGAAGAACAGAAACGAGGTGCAGGCCATCGTGTACGAGGAGAACGCCGGAGAGGAGAGGAAGGTAGGCTTCAGACCTCAACGGGATTCATTTTAGTTATCAAACTAACCGAGCGACTAAAGGGGTTTTAACGATCTCTGTTCGTCTAATTAAAAAAAGAAAACTAGAACTTTAGTCTGGGAGTCGTCTCTGTTCACACTCTTACTTAGTTTGGTGTAGTGTTGAGTCGTTCGTGAATGATACGTTCAAAAGAACGAATCTTTTTAGTGAACAAACTGAACCGAATCACTTCTTCAAGTGATCTGTTTGTTTCTCAGTTCAGTTCAGCTGTCAGTAAGAACATAACATTTATAAATAGTGACTAAAACCTCCAGTTTGGGAAAATGCCTGACTGTCTGATCCTGTCACTGTGATGATTTATGAGGGAACGGTTCATTTTCAGTGGGAATCTAAATGTACTGTGAGATAAACGTTCAGTGAACGAATCACTCACTGAGCTCAGTTTACCGAGTAGATAAATAACACACCATAGGACAGTTCACTTAAAACATCATGATTTACAAATGAGTTCATTTTTACGAACCTGACAGACACAGACACAACACTCTCATCTATCGGTCCCAGAAACCGTGATCTGAAACCTGAACCGTTCAGCTGTGAATCAGTTCAGCAAGTCTTGTCGCAGGCTCCTCCCACCAAGCGCTAAAATGATTCGGTGATTCTGTGATTGAATCATTTGAACAAATCTTTTTAGGGAACTGATTCTAGACATTCAGAACATCTAAGCAAACTGCCGTGCCCATCACTAGTTTGGTGGATCTTCAAACTGTGAGGACCGACACGTCCGTCCAGACAGCGAAGTAAATCCATCCTCAGGAGTCACACTGTGGAGACGGGGCTACACCGCTGTCTCCACAAGTCGTCCTACAAATCAAAAAATCACTCTGTTCTCCGACACGTAAACAATCAGCCGGTCGGCCATGTTGGATATACCGGTGAAATCAGAAGTGGACACACAGTATGCGAAACTTTAGAAAAATCGACCGTGATCCGAAAAAATAAATGCCGCAATATTGCAGGACGGGAAAACGTCGCTGATGTGAACGCTTGTATTGACAGGATACGGGTTCGAAAAGAAATATTGATGTCTGAAAACAAAAAAACGCTCCTGGTGTGGAGGGACCTTAAAAGAGGAAGTTAAAAAAGTAAATAGAAACAGTTTTGGTCTCTGATCGGTCCAAGCGCCCCACTAGAGAAGTCCAAGTCCATGTTACAGAAGTCTGCATGTCTCCCGTCACTCTCTCCCCCTGTATTTCCTGTCTCTCTTCAGCGTCCTGACGAATAAAAGACAAAAATCTAACTTTAAAAAAGGGAATATAAAAAAAATACTCCTGAAATTTAAACAAAAAGCTGATTTTCTTTTAAACATTTGCTGTTTCTGAATAATTCTCTTGAACCGGCTGAGATCAGATAATAAAACCAGAGGAGGTCGTGTCGCTCTGAGTGAGCGGACTGTCGTGTCTCTGTCTCTGTCTCTGGTGTTAAATCGTCTCTCGCCTGAATCTTCTTTAAACTGCAGAAATCTTCCGTCTTTATATGAAGACTCCGCTCTGCTCCAGGAAGGACCGAGTGTCTCTGAGGAAATGGAAACACGGGTCTTTTGTGGCGTCAGAGCCCTGAAGCGTCTCTGATCAGCGAGCGTGTTTGTGTTGTCGTGGCGACTAAAGCAGAACATGGCGGATTACACGCCTGATTCTCCTGGATGAGGAGCTGCGTGAGGAAGATGATGGGATTAGGTTTGTGTGTTCAGACTCAGATGATCAGGTCTTCTTCTTCTTCTTCTTCTTCTTCTGTCCTCCGCAGGTTCAGAGTCAGAGCGTGATGCTGCAGCTGGACTTTGGCGACACCGTCTGGCTCCGCCTCCATGGTGACCCTCGCTACGCGCTCTACAGCAACACCGGACACTACACCACCTTCAATGGTTACCTGGTCTACCCGGACACCTACGGCTACCAGACGCACCATCACCACCATCCGGTCTCCAACTCCCAGCAGCCCCTGCAGGAGAACGACCCCCTGTCAGGCACGAATCAGGACGCAGAGCACTTCAAGAGCGCAACAAGAGACGCCCAAGAGGAGAAGGAGCGGCAGCACCGAGAGGAAGAGGAGGAGGAAGAGGAGGAGGAGGACGAGGAGGAGGACCAGAGATCTGCTTTCTCTGTTGGACGCACTCAAAGCATTGTGGGAGTCGACCAGGTGGGCCTGCCGCAGCACCAGCCCGTCAGCTTTGACACCGCCTTCGTCAACATCGGGGAGGACTTCAACGTGACGGAGGGCATGTTCACCTGCCGCGTCCCTGGCGCCTACTACTTCTCCTTCAACGTGGGGAAGCTGCCGCAGAAGACGCTCTCCGTCAAGCTGATGAAGAACCGCCTGGAGGTCCAGGCGATGATCTACGACGACAGCCAGGGCGAGAAAGCTCTGCAGAGTCAGAGCCTGATGCTGTCGCTGAAACCCGGAGACACGGTCTGGCTCTACTCACACCAGAGAGACGGCTTCGGCGCCTACAGCAACCACGCCAAGTACATCACCTTCACCGGCTTCCTGGTGTACCCAGACTTCCCCACCACCTCCACCTCCACCTCCACCTCCACCAGCTCACCCACCAGCAGCCAGTCGTTTGCAGAAAAGAAACCGTAGCTGCAGCACACGAGACGCAGACTGAACTCTGACGGAGGAAATCATGCGGAGTGGAAAGTTCACCCAGAGGAGCCGCGTTTGAAACTCTCATCATGAATGTTGTTTTGTGGTTTTCTTTGAAGCTTCCTCTTCGTACGAGTCCGAGAACCTCCAGAGCAGAGCGCCGATGAAAACCGTTTCATTTTCCAGTTAATGGCTTCCCAGGAAATTACTCCATCTCCTTTAAACGTGGACCCTGAAGGACACTCGTGTGAACTCCGGTCGAATGTTTCAGTCTGAAATGAAAACTCAGTCATTAGCGGCTCACCTGTGCGTCGGCGAAAAAGATCGGTTTCCTCTCCAGCCCTCGATCGTAATGATTTTATCTTTTTTTACAGTTCAGAGAAACCGACAGTACGCCGTGATTAAAGTACTGTGAAGGTGCAGATCACATCCTCACATCCTCACATCCAGAACCTGCAGCCAACATCTCTAATTGAAGCGAAACCACAGAATCAATGAAGTCTGATTATCAAGCTGAGGAAAACACGCCACGCCGTTTCACTGAACAGAGCGCCAAACTCATTAAACGAGAAAACGATCAGATCATTTTTATTATTCATGTTCGGGGGAAAGTGACAAATTAGTGAAGAAAGTTCAGGAAAGATCTTCAGAGCAGACACACCTGATCAGCAGAGACGCTTCACCCTGACACCGACGCGCTCAGACTGTTTCAATGTTTCCACAGAGAGAGACAGTCTGGATCTAAGTCCTCTAAACTGGTCAGGTGGTCCGGTCTGTAGGTCAGACCAGAATGAGGAGCAAAGACGTTAAAGTCGTGACCTAAAGAGAGACACGTCCGATCACTTCTTAGTGTTCGATTTTCTTTATCCGTCGTTGTTCTCAGACCGTCATCGACCTTCATTCACAAAGATTACTGTAGGTCCTAAAATTAGACTCAAAGATGAAGATGAAGAGGAGGTGTGTACGATCGTATCGTCTGCATTAAAATTATTATAAAGATACAAATAAAAATAAACTAGAACCCAAACCGGATCCTTGGGGGACACCGTTTTCTATATTTAATGAAAATGAAAGTGAACCTTCAGTTTCGACACATTTCTCCAGTTTCCCGTGAACCGTTGTCGTTTACCGCACTTTATATCTCAACAGGAGACGACAGGAAGTAGGAGTGTCCCGATACAACTTTTTCACTTCCGATACGATACCGATGTCATAGCCTTCAGTATCGGCCGTTACCGATTCCAATCCAGTATTAGCACAAAATTTGTCCATGACAAGTTTTGGACTCAGCTGCGACGTCTTTTTCAGACTTTAACGAAAAATCCTGCCTCACAGCCGACATCAGTCCTCCTCCTCTCTACGTTGTTCGTACCTGAGTACTGATATCGTAGATTTTAGATCAGGTCGATATAATCCGATATTTGTTTTTTTGCTGATATCAAACCGATATCTGATATCAATGTCGGATTGGGACATCAGTAACAGGAAGTATGATAGCTGTAGTCAAAAAGGTCGGGATACTCCGATATTTGCGTTATCGTTGTTCGTGTTTTCTGGCGTCATTTAGAAACTTTCAGAGACTCGACCTGACCCCGACATCAACCTCCGCCGTCAGTCGACCGACAAACCCAGCGGCTCTTTTAAATTTTCCGTTCGGCTTTTTTCTGCGCTCCACACTTTGTCAACAACACGTGTATCATAAGTTCACGACAGAACGATCACCGCTGTTTTTCCAGCGCTGTCGTGACACACCACGTCGCCAACGCCTTTGTAAACAAAGGTCAGGATGAGCCGGGTCTCTGTCAGCGCTGTGGAAAAAGGAACACCCACCAGCTGGGTCTAACTTTATGTTGCTCAGTCCTGTTCAGACCCAAACGACCGGATTATTCTGTCAGACTGTGAGAATAAAGATCTGAATCTGTTTGTCGCAAAAACTAAAACTTTCTGTGGAAACTGTCGGATTAAGATTCATCGACTGTCAGCTCTAAAAAAAAACAAGAATGAGAGTTATTCCTGTATTTTTTTGTACTTATTTGTCATTTAGTCCCCGACATATAATTAAATATAATTAAATGTGCAGAATCTCCAAGTTTGGCCGCCCCCCTCCGCTCTTCTTCTTCTTCTTCTCTGGAGTTTAAAGCGACCTGATCGAGCCGCAGCGATGACTCAGTCTTCATTTTAAAGTGAAATCGTTTCTGCGTTTCTTCTTCTCGTCTCAGACTCGATGTTTCTGCTCGTGTGTTTTTTAAAAAAGTTCCTTTTCTTTCTTTACGTCTTTAGAGGCATGTGAAAAAACAACAGTTTATGCACCGTGTGTTTCGTGTCCCGGTGAGTCTTTCTTCTTCTCTCCGCTCCGAAGTGTTTCTGGGTCACAGCGGGAGCGGAGGACATCAGGACTGACGGAGCGCAGACTGCAGAACCGTCCCGTAGTACGAACTGTTGACCACACGCCGCCTCGGGGCCTGTCGGGATCTCCACCATAATTTGATTTCTAATTTGAGCGGCGTTTAATTCATTTCTTCAGACGGCGACCACTGCGGGGGAAATTGAACTGCTTCCCCGACCGGCTGTAACGTGCATGTCTGTTTAATTTCACGCCGCCTGGAGGAAGACGATGCTGTTCAGATTGGGATGAACCTCCATTTTATGAAATCACCTTCTCTGTTGGAGCGGCGCCGCCGTGTGACCTGACATCGACGATTCTTCATCTCATTTAACTGGAGGTGAAGGTTTCGATACGAACCGTTGTCTTAATACATCAAATGCACAAAGACTCATTTATGTCCTTTAGAGCGCGGTCAGAGACCATGTGACCACATGACCACAGTTTCCTGCATGAACACGTGGAGCGACCATCTCACCTCGCTGTTTTCACAACTTTACTGCTCAAAGATATCTGAGAAATTAACCGACGAGTCAAAAGTCAAGTGCAGTGAAAAAATAAAAGCACACACATCAACATGAACAGAGATATTAATGTGGAGACCAAAACAGGAGCTTAAAGCAGAGCACAAACACAAAAAGGCACAGCGGGATCTTCAATAAAACTCAGATAAAAAAACGGTTTTATTTACGCCGAGGTCGTGGTGACTCCTGAGCTGAACGGGTCTGAAACCAGCTCCCTAAGAGGACTCCTGTGGGTCCTGGACCAAACCTGAGAAAGCACAGGTGGTCTGCAGGTGTCATCAGATCAGACTGATGATGAAGCAGTTGAGAGAGAGTTGATGAAAGACGACGTCTGAGAGTTTAAGTTTTTAAAGGTGCAGTTCAGGTATTTAGTCACACAAATGAGCGTAAAATCACCTGAGAATCAACATTTCAGATCCACAGAGGAGGATGAAAATCACGGCACAGACCAGACGAGCCAGAAACATGATTCTGTGAGAGTCTCAGTGATTATCAGGCGACTAAGAAAAAAGAGAAGAGAGCGTTTTTGTCGTGCACAAGAATTTCTAAAAACTTCAAAAATGGAGGATCTTAAAGAATCATGGAGGCTTTTTGTCCTTAAAGGCCACCGTCTCTCCACCAGCAGGAGGGGTGAACAAGGGAGCGATTCAATCTTTAAACTGTTGGATATCAGGAGATGTTCCTGTTTCTGCACAATTTACCTTAAAACTAATTAATTCAGCAGAGAGTTATCGCCACTTTAAATAATTATAGTTAAAAAAAAATTTAACGTTAAAATAGAGACCTTAGGTCAGTCTGAATTTTCCCGGCCATTCTTACTATGAGTGATAAATTAAAGGGATATTCCGCAGAAAAATCAATTTAGGGTCAAACACCCCGTGACATCATTTCTTCATGGAAATACAATCAGACCGAGACGCTGAGGCAGAAGAACTACAGCGTCTGTAAAATGATTAATATGGTGATTATTACTTCAAGGAAATGATGAAGAAATGATCATAAATGTTCTTCCTTGAGCTGCGTCACCCCGCTGTAGTCTGTAATGGACTGGCCCGAGGTCTCTCTACAAACAAGCGGCTGCTGGAAGAGAGTAGGTGAGTTGTGTTTAGTCTCTTTGCTAAAGAAATGAGTCAAAGTTAAAAAGATGTTTGGTGTCTAGTACTATGTCTGTGACCCTATATGTCCTGTTGATGAAGTTAGGTGCTGTTCTGAGCATTATTTGTGGCTATAGAGTGGCGTTTTGGTTGAGAGCGTGGCTCTCTGTATTGCTATCCTGCGGTCGTTACTAAAGTTGGTATAACTAGAGAAGCAAGCGGTCGACAACATTCATCTCTGGAGGGGGGGTCTAACTCGGTGTTACCGTGTGTTTGACCCTGAATTAATTTTATGCTGGAATATCCCTTTAAAACAGATCGATTCAGCAGAGGATTATCGGCTTTAAATAATTATTTTAGGATTTTTTATCTTTTTTTAAAGACAGAATAAGGTCAGGAGGTCAGTCTTAATTTGGTACTTTTGAGAGTTAAATAAAAGTAAATGTGATTTTGATTATTCACACTCAGAACAAATAAATGAAGAGATCAGATTCACTCTTTCAACAACGAGGATCATCAAAACTGAAAAATCCATCAGAACAAAATCAACTTAAACTCAAAGACGGAGACAGGAGTGAAAACGTTTAAAATAAACTCTAAAGCATGAACACAGAGAGCAGGAGAGCTGCTGGATCTCCGTCCTTCACCTCTGCCTGCTCTCCTGGTCCACAGGGACACGGTCTCACACCCTCAGAAATCTAATAACAGCCCGTTATTCTCAGGAGTCACACACACACACACACTCACACACTCTCTCTCAGCATCACTAATCGACAATTTCCTGTCCTCCACGGCTGCAGCGGCTCTGAAGAAAGTGACAACAGTCTGCACAATGAGCTGATTTTCTTTTTTCACGGTCTGAAATGAAAGCGTGAGTGTTCCTCATTCTGAGTTCATCGTGGATTCTGTCACAGTCTGACCTTCGGTGGTTTCTCCATTTCAGCCTCACAGCAGGTTCACCTTCACGCTGACCTGACTCCGATCAGGACTAAGAGCACAGGAGTCCCTCACGGTGGTTTTTGATATGCATGCATGTACGTGAAAAAATAAAGAGGTCTGAGCGTGTTCACGGCTCAGTCTGCATCTGTCAGTATTTACCTGTGAACTGACTGACTTCTGTTGGATGTTTCTGCTCTGTGCTTCTTTCTTTTCTGATCAAACCGACCACGCTTCGGTCTCTCTGTATCAGTAACCATGTGGGTCACAGAAAACTCTTCATGGTTGTTGCTCCAGACAAAATCAGCTGATATAAAACTACAACTAAAGATGGAGCTGAAGCCGTGGTGACCCGTGTCCTGTTTTCAGTCGTCTGTTGACTCTTTGAAACGTTCAGAGTATTTCTTACGTGTTAAAAATGAATGCTTCTATGAAAATGTTTGACAAAATAAAACGTGACAAAAATAAAACAGACTGAGCTGTCGCTGCATTATTCCTATCAGGACACCAGGAGATTCAGAACACAGAGAGCACCACCTGCAGGCGGTGGATGTGCTCTGCAGGTCAAGACTGACAGAAGATCAGAGAGGAGAGACTCAGCGGGGGCTGAGGAGATGGAAATAGTGGAGATTTAAACATTTTTAAAACGACTGAAAGTCACTCCAGTCCATCAATTTTCTGCAAACATCGTTTTTCATCTGAACATTCTGCAGATTTTCCACTTTGATGAAGTTAATTATGGAGCCTTGAGTGTATTTAAGTTCAGGCTTTGGTGCTTCAGAGGTCCCTCCTCTTTCCACTGTCCCATCTCTCTATTTTCTATTTATTCATTTTTTAAAATGGGAACAGTACAAACTGATGTAAATCTGTGGGATTATAGCCAAACGGCTAATTTCCATCCCCAGTCCTACTGAGAGGTTGATATTAAACATAAAAGCAAATAATGTTAAAAGTACAAACAACATGACAGAGACTGTAAAACACTGACAACACACACATAATATACAGAAACACCGAACACAGACCAGAAACTAAGTGACCAAAAGTAAGAGGACCAAAAAGATTAAAAGAGAGAATTCTAAAGAGCTAAAGAGCTAATTAAAGTGTCATGTGTTAAAGGTGTTTAAAGTGACATTTACTACAGTACAGCTTGTTAAAGTGACGAGTCCAGAAGTACGAAGTTACATTAAATTGCACCAGCAGATGTTTGTCTCTCAGCAAACATATTAAAGGAACAGAGATTGTTCATCTTGAAGTCGATTATGTTAAAGACAGCATGGAGGACACGAGTATGTCTGCGTGTAAAAGAAGCTGCTCTGTAATCGTGTCATTTAGTGACTTTTTTTGAGGTTTAAAACTCCAATAGAAATTCATGAAAACCATCTGCTCACTTTATTTTAATTCATTGAGTTTTATTCACACAGTTGTTAAAAAAACAACATTTCCAAATAAGATTTACATGGAGGAAAGTTTGAAAAAGTCAGAATTTGAACATTTAAGTAAAAAATATCACTAATGCACGGTGGACTGTAGCTGCACTGCTACTTATGCAGAGATAGTAACAGCTGTCAAGGAGCTTCGACCAATCAGAATCCAGTAATTAACACAGTCCAGGTGTATCAGGTATGATGTAATGAGGGCGTTAAAACATTAAAACCACGACGGCTGTGAAAACTGCACCGGTGTTACAGTTAGAGCTGGGTTTGTGTTTTATCTTCATCTTTGTTATTTGGTTCAGCCCGAGTGGAAAAATGTTCATTAGTGTTTGACATTACAGTCCCTATCTGCAGACCTGAGAGCGCCACCTACTGTTCATGTTTTTAAGAGTAAAGATCGACCGTTTTAGTCTGGCTTTTAGTTAAATTTTTTTTTAAACTTTTAATCTGTGATTTTACTCTATTTTAGTCCCAGAGTAACTAGATTGTGTTTAATTACCTCTTTTTTTAATTTACTTTGTTATTGCTTAATTTTAAGCCTTTTTTTAATTAACTTTTAAAGCTTTATCACCTTTATTATATTTTATCATGGTTTTATCGCTTTAGTCCGAGATCCAGTTTCTTCATCTTCTTCAACATCTTGCAGCTGTGTGTGTGAGCGTGTGTGTGTGTGTGTGTGTGTGTTGAATGTGGGTTGGTAGGGTAGGCGGGTTTAGTATTTGTATTTTTAATTTTATTTCATTGTTATTAATAACTGCGCAAATGGACTTTGTGTTACATTCTGTGTGTGAAAAGTGCTTTAAAATAAAGTTTGATTGATTGATTGATTGATTGATTCACCGACCTCTCGATCAGCTCAGACACTCAGAACAATCAAACAGACAACCTGCCTTATTCTGAGGTTTTTCGTACTTTTGCGTCTTTTTTCCTCTTCAACACTCAATCGACCAAAAACCAACAGTGTCACACCCACCCATGAACTCAGTCCTCTCTGCTCCGAGATGATCTAGTTACTCGTTTCTACAGTTTTTCTTCACTAAAATCAAAGTTCCTCCTCTCCTCAGTTTGGACTGTAAAGTTATGAAATCACCCACAAGTGCTCGGACACAAACAGGAAGTACTCACAGAAATCCAGACAGCGGGATGTCCGATCAGATGGAGAAGTTGAGGCTGAAACTGCAGCAGAAAAACTCTTAACCAAAACTAAACAAAAGAAGGTAAACCCACGAAAACTCTTTTAGGATCGGTTTATTCGTACTTTATTTACATAAATATTCCAGGTGGGTTTGTTCGGATGAGGGCGGGGCTCCCAAAACGACCTTAACGAACAGAACATGGTGACGATGATGAAACACGAGGACTTCACTTCTTCTCAGGAGCCTCTCCGGCCTCCAGCTTCGGCGGCGCCTCTTTGGGCTCCCTGTACGCTGGGAAAACCTCCCAGGGAGTGTTCAGGTCAAACTTCCTGAACTCCTGCGACAGCTCCACGGGTTCGGCCACCACGCGCTTCACCTCATCGTCGTAACGCACCTGAGGAGGGAAACGCGCTCGGTGAGTTTGAGTGTTTCTGAGGTGAACATGAACACAAACTGGGAAGAACGGCTGAACATTCAGGAGGAAATGATGCATTTTTAACTCTCCGGTTTTATTATTCATTCCTTCAAGGACGTCTCTGAAAGTAACAGGATAAAAAACGAGTCTTTCTTGGCACAAACTACAAAAGATGTTTCAAGGCTTGAGGGAACTCTGAATTCATTATCATGTGCTCGATAAATAAATGAAGAAGAAAAAACAAACAGACTCCAGAAGAGGTTCGCATCATCAACGTCTGCGCTGCCAGCCTCACTGACAACCTGCCAATACTACCGCGTTTATTTTTAGAGAGAGACAAACGAAAAAACGACACGCTGATGAGGATGAATATAACAGATGTGATGTTGGCAGAGCTCACCTCAACGTATCCTGAGAGAGGGAAGTCCTTCCTGAAGGGGTGACCCTCAAAACCGTAGTCTGTGAGGATCCGCCTCAGGTCAGGGTGGTTAGCGAAGAACACACCGTACATGTCCCACACCTGCAGGAACACACACACACAGTTTGTCTATTTTAATCAAGGGGAGGGGACGTTTGAGCCTGAGTTTAAAGGTGTTGTAATCAGGATCTGAGTTAGTTCCAGTTTTTAGGAGAAATCCTGAATGTAAACTCTACCCCTCCCAAACCAGTTTTCCCCTCAGCTCACAACTTTATCTCCAGTTTCTACAAACTATACTGCACTAAAAAGGTCCTGTCTGTCATCTGTGTTACACCACCAAGTAGAGATACAAGATGGCTGGACCACAGCTCGAACCTGTGATCAGTATTTTGGGCCGACAGTCAAAGCATGAATCACGTGTTCAGCTGATGATTAATCACATCTACATCCCTGATATTAAAACCAAAACATTCACCACGGTGTCGTCGAGTCATGAATGAATAAAACAGCGTCACACAAATCCAAAGACCGGGTCTGCAGGTCTGGACTCACCTCCCTCTCGTACCAGTTGGAGGCCTTGTGAACCGTAACAGCAGAGTCCACAGGCGTCAGCTCGTCTGTGTACGTCTTCACGCGGATACGAGAGTTGAAGCGCAGCGACAGCAGGTTGTACACGATCTGTGAGCAGCACACACACACACACAAACACAATCAGCAATAAAATCAGACCACATATGGATCTCAGATCATCTGTGCAGAAATGTTTTAAATGTCACAATTACAAAACGAAGAATTTTAGAGGCGAGTTTGAGCGTCGACGATTTACAGAAGAGAGAGATCAAAGATTCTGAGTTTACATGAGAGAGTCGAATTTATCGTGACTGAGCAGCTTCATCAGAATCAAAGTCATCGTGTTTTATCCACATCAGTCTCTGCTGCACACACACACACACACACACACAGAAAACACACACACACACAGTTTTTTTTCTCTTCACAAAAACAAAAGACTCTGATACTCTTTAGTCTCCATTATGATGTGTTACTGTAAGTGTGTGTGTGTGTGTGTGTGTGTGTTTGCGTGTGTGTGTGTGACAGCTACCTCAAAGCGGTTGGGTCGTGTCGGGATGTCCACGGCGGTCAGGTCGATCATGTTCCTGAACTGAGCGTTGGTGTGGTCCCTCAGGAAGGTCAAGACGGGGATGACTCCATCAGGATGGATCATCACCTCCAGTTCATTGAAACACGTCACCTGAACACACACACACACACACACACACACTCTTCAAACCCTCGCCGTGCTCCTCTAGTCTGAATATTATTTCTAAGGTTAGTGTAACTCCAGCCTCAGGTCTGCCTGTTTGAATCTTCTATTAGCTCCACAGTAGCTCTGATTTCTCTTTCATAAACTGAGTTACAGGAAGAAGAAAACTGACCTGGACCTGCTGGATGTATTTGGGCATTATCTCTGACACATACTCTCCAAACGCCGTCAGCTGGTTGTGAGTGACGGCGTCCTTAGGTTTGACGGTGGCTGTAGGAGGAAAAGAGGAGACGAGAGGTTTATTAGAAGATCCATCAGAGACACGTCCATCTGATCCACATGAATATACAGTCGTGGTTCAGTCTGAGACAGCTGTAACTGAAAACTTTAACCGTTTCTCTCATGTTCATTAAGTCAATAATCGTCTCCATCAGTCTTTATATCAACAGTTGTTTGTATTTAGTGAAAATTTAATCCTTTGCTCTGATATTTCATGAGCTATAAAAAAGATCATGTCTGTGAAAATTTGCTTCGTTCATCAGTGTTTTCTGACAATCTAGCGAAAGTTTACATCAAATTCAGAATCAGAGTGAACTTTATTGTCATTACAGAGAAGGGACAATGAGATGAGAGAGCTTCTTCATTTTCAGTGCAATAGATACAGAAAAAAGAAAGCAGAGACAGAATTAAAAGTACAAAAATATCTTGAAGAAAATAATAATAATAAAATAATAATAATAATATGAAGGCAATAAAAAAATTATAGGTACAGACTATACACAAGAAAAAATCCTCTCGTGCAGCATAGGCAGTGCAATGAAAAAGAAAACTATATACAAGAATAGGAAAGGAGATAAATATTAAGAAAAAGATATATATACATAAATATGTATGTATAGGGGTAATATTAAGGTACTGAGGTAATATTGTGCAGTGTTAATGAAATGCAGCACAGCTGAGATATTTACTTTCACTTTTTTAATAAAATCAAAATAAATTACCAAAACCTCATGACTTATTTTCAGTTTGTGTTTATTTTAAATTAACTTCTAACATATAAAAATAGAAAATATGATGAACTAGAAGAACCAAAATGAACATATAAAACTCAATACAAGACAAATTTGTGTTGGTCTGAAGGGAACTGCAGCTCCTGACTGAAACAGACTCTAAACCTCCCCTTTTTTATCTGTTATTTACTTTGATTACTGTGTTTTTTACATAAATTTATGTTTTTATGATCATCCTGTACAAAAACAAACACTTCTTCATCACAGAGTGCATTTCTATGTCCATATTCTGTAAATTTAATCTGAGTTTTTCTGCACTAACATGGGTTCAGTTCGAGGATACTCACGGCTGGTCTCAGAGGAGTCTGAACTCTGCAGTCTGGTCTGCTGGAGAACACAAGAACTCCTAAAACCTGAAAATAAAGAGTCAAAATAAAGAGATAAATACGATAAATAAACACAGAGATACAGATAAACTGACACTTTAAGACAAACACACCATTAACTGAGACATAAACTCTCATCTGAGCTCTTAATTTACCCGCTAATGTCGTTTTTTTTTCCACATAAATAAACTTTAAATGAATTAAAGCTCTAAGATGTTCATCATGTCTGTTAGCTAACGTTAGCATTAGCATTAGCGAGCTGCTCGAAGGTCAAACCGGAAATATTTGACCATCTAAAATGAACCAGCGTCCTTTTCAGGGGGAAGCAAGCGCGAACCGAATAAGTTTATTTAATGCATCATATAATTATTACAAAATTAAGCGAAATTGAAGTCTTCTTACTGTTAAAACTCCTTCCGAGTCCTCCGCGGACGAACCGCATCAACGACGCCGCCATGTTTGTTCTGCTGCGGTTCTTCTTCTAGACTGTGACGCTCGGCGGTCTATCGCCCCCTGCTGGTCGGAGGAAGTGTCCTCTGTCGGCTCCCTTTAGACTGGTACTGACGGTATTTATACAAAATCTGCTTCTGGATTTAAGATAAATCAAGTGTAATGTACTTAACTTTGGATTGAAAAAGGAAAGAGACCACAGAATCATTTTTGGACTCTAGTTCTGTTTCTGTAAAAGGTTTTTATCCAATAATTCACCTGCCAGTGTTCGGTATGATTAAGCTAATTTTCCTTTTTTTCTCTAAACTAAACTAATACATTTTTTATTAGTCCCACAGGGGAAAATATAAAAATTACAGCAGCATAGCACAGATACAAAAAGAGAAAAATTAAAAAAAAAAGAAACATTGAGTTAAAATAAGTTATGTGTATGCGTCATATTTACATCAGTACAGACATTCCATGATAATAGGGGTTATTGCACATCGAGGTTCCTGTAGTGGAGTCTGCTACCCACACACTTGTGGGTCGAAATGGGTCAGGACATCAAACAAAGTCTGGAAATCATCAAATCCTAATAAGTATATGAAATCACGTGTTTTTCTATAAATGTGTTTATTTTTTAGCAGCACAAGTTATCAGGATTGTTAAGTCCTGATGACAGACTCTCAAACAAAAGTCATTTAGAGTTTAGGACTGAGCACATCGGAGAGAACCAAAATAAATGTTTTTGTTTTTTGCCATTATAAAAACATTTTTGGTGAAAGGTTAAAACTCTGGACTTTGTTTCATCTAACAAGCTGCAAAACTCAGCCAAAACATCCGACTTAACACTCAGCAGAAAAACAAAATTCTCTGTAACCAAACGCCTGAAGGTTTTCTGAACATACCAGTTACATGTCTGAGTAACAATAACTTTCAGGTTTGTTTTTGTCACTCAAACACATTTCTTAATAACATGTTCTTATTTCTTTTGAAGCTCCGGTTAAATGACTTTTAACATCTTTAGCAACAGATTATCATTTCAATAAGATAGATAAGATACTCCTTTATTAGTCCCACAAGAGGAGATTCCCAGATTGATCTATAAGGATATAATGGACCCTATAAGATTAGATCAGCTGTGTGCACACACAGGATAAACATATTTATGATTGACACACAGAGGCTGAAAGTAAAGAAGCTGTAAAAACATCAGACTGTTTATGTCTCACAAATACTTTTATTTAAAATCACTGCAGTTCTTCAAAGTTATGAGGTGCCATACAAAAATATGAGCAACAGAGGGTTAAACTTTCATACACAGTAACTGTAAAAACAGCAGCGACACTTTAAACCGAAGCGTTTGATCGTTTTCATCACGAGCCGTGTTGCAAAGACGTTCTGTAAAGGCTTTCAGAGCGACCTGTTGAGAAATCAAACGCTTCAGAGGGTTTCATGAGTTTCAGAGTGTTTACAGTTCATGGACTTTATTTGGAGAATTAACAGTTTCAGTAACAGGAAAGAAAGTGTTTTTTTGATGAGAGATTGAAACGAATCCTGAGTGTAGAAACGGACTTTTTCTGCTGCCGGATACGACCTGGATCAGCTGGTTAAAGTCAGTCATCACCTGGTAAAACTCAGAAGAATTTATGTTCAGAGTAAAAAGAAGAAGGCTGGCGTTTTCTTCAGCAGGCGAACTTAAAGATGTGTCGCCTTTGTTTCGTTTCTGAGTCCAGTCATCCGGCTGATGAAGACTTCTTCGCTCTTCTTCCTCACCCAGACTGCTCACACACCTCCTCGTAGTATTTCCTCAGCATCTCCAGCTGAGCCGAGCGCACCAGGATGTGCGGCCGGACAGACGCCAGCTTCTGACAGGCTTCCTCTGGAGTCCAGCAGTGTAACTGTGGGCAGAAAAAATACGATCAGTTTTACTGAATCTGAGCGATAGATCAATAAGGAGCTCCTCCCCCTCCAAACAGATACTGACCCGTATGAGGTATGCAGCGGCCAGTGTGGCGCTGCGGGAGCGTCCGGCCTTGCAGTGGACGTACACGCTGTTCCCCTGCTCTCGGTGCTGCAGGGCGAACTCCACGCCTCGGTGCAGGTTCTCCAGACTGGGGACGCCGGTGAGGTCGACTGTGCTTAACCTCAGCTGCTCCACCCCTGCAGTCTGCCACTCCTGCAGCCAATCACATGACATTAACCAAGGAGGAAGAAGAAGACACTCTCACTTCTGCGATCAGGGTTAGAAATCAGATGACTGTGCCAAAAGGTGACAGCAGTTCTTCTGTGGCATAAAAATGTTTACTGCAGAAGTCTGACAACCTCATGACTGAATATTCAACTTTCTCAGTCTTTATTTATGCACAAAAATACAAATCGATGTCTGTTATAACTTCACAGAACATAAGATTGTCCCTTTAGATTTCAGTCGAACAAAGATGTTCTGTTTCTATCATAAATGTTCAGATTAAACAACAAATTTACTTTATAGGAGCAGAAAACGGCCAAATGTGTAAGAAAAATGACATGAACTAAAGACAAAAATTTAAAGTAAAATTGTAAAATAATCACTCAAAACCTGTCGGATATCTTGTCTCTGAATACTTTATTCAAAAACCCGACAGTCGGCCTCCTGAAACGCCCTCTGTGCCCCCGTCTGACGGAGGAGATAAACAGCACAGTCAGGTCAATATTCAAGTGAAAGTCCCTGAAGTTTTCCTGAATTTTCCCACAGTGCATGTCTACAAAAAAACCCATGAGTACCAGAGCTATTTTTTCTAATGACCAGACGCTGAATACTGTTTTCATTTCCAGCCTTTAGTCACATGAGTTCCTGGCTGAGTCTTGAAGCTGAGGGTGTAAATCCAGGTGAAAGAGTCTCACCTCAGCAGAGTTGCAGAAGTATTTGGTTTCATACATCTCGTTCATGGTGATGACGCCCCGGACGTTTTCTGCTTCCACCAGCTGAAACACAAGAAAAGGACAAACTTCAGGATTTAGGAGTCAAGGAGTCAGGTCTACTAGTTCAATAACTTTCGAACTGAAATCTCTTATACAACATACATGTTATTCATTTGATGTGAAAGTGAATAAGAGGTGAGTAACCGCATAAAGTTCACGGTAAAGGGGAACTGAAAAAATAAAAAACACTGCTGCCTCTCTCAGCTAGAAAAAAGACATTTATAACCTTGTTATTGTCCAAATACATCAACTTTATTTATCCTAGAGGCAGCTTTGGCTGTCATAGTTTCTAAATTAATCCTCATAGTTATAATTTCTTGTTTATCACAGTGTGTGTGTGTGTGTGTGTGTGTGTGTGTGTGTGTGTGTGTGTGTGTGTGTGTGTGTGTGCGTGCTGACATATGACTCAGGTTATTGATTTATTTCTGAAAGCTGCTGCAGGTTAATTTTCTTCTGACGGATCAAATCATTAAAAGATTAAACGGCCTTTCTCAGCCGCCTCCTGTACTTCACATTGTGTAATCTGGAATTATGAAGACTTGGCGTGTAGAGTTTCCTCCTTTGTTACTGTTTTGTTTTCACTGGTAGAAACTGTGTTCATGTCACAGCTGATCCTAATGTGAATAACTGCAGAAATCACCACACAGAAGTCTGAGTTTATTACAGATATGTGAACATTTATCTTCAACCTACAGTTTCTACTTTTACCTTCCTCTGTGGTAAAGTCCAAGTTTTAATGGCCATGCATTTATACCAGTGGTTCTCAACTGGTCTGACTCTGGGTCCCAAATTTTCCCATCATCCTTCAGTCACGACCCACTTTTATAAAATTCAAACCAAGAAAATTTAGTTTTTATTTAAAAAGAACCTTTAAAGACTCAAATCTCTAACATAAATACACCGTTTTTATTGAGTAAAGTGCATTTCAGAGCACATGAACTGAGGACGACAACTACTAAAGTTGCAGATACAGAAAATATCAAAAATCTAATTGAACAAAATGGAGACCAGCAAAATGAAAAATGTGACTTATTTGTATCTCTGCATTCAGAGCGGACAAAAGTGAATAAATATGAAATTGTACAAAATAAAGACCATAAAAAAAACATGATTTTACTGCATTCAAGCCACATTAATAAGAAACCGAGGAGGACCACGATATAACACGTGCCTTTCAAAGATAATTTTCCAAAATAAAAGACATGTCAAACATCAGATCCGCATTAAATATTTACTTTTAGACCAGCTGTTTGTGACCCATCCAGAATGTGTCCACGACCCACTTTCGGGTCGGGACCCACCAGTTGAGAACCATTGATTTAACTACATCATGAATAACAAACAGATGTAGTGTAAACAGGCTCTGTTGAACTGGTTCTCAGTTTAAACTCAGACAGTAAACACACCTGAAACTGTGAGTTAAAGAGACTTTAATGAGCTTTAATTTACCTCACATGCTGATTTAATTACAACATTAATTAATGTTTTAGTTCTTCACCTTCTTTCACAGGGTTCAGGTCTAATTCTTGGTCCATAAATCTGATTATGAAGATGTTGTCATTTCAGTCAGCTGTTACATAATTAAAGTTTAATAACTTTATTATGAACTCCTGCTCCTCACGCTTCGGTTTACTCCCAGTTTAAATCTGAATTAATAAATTAAATCACCTAAACCAGGTCAGGGTGGATTTACAGAGTTCAGGTCCACAGGTACCTTCACCTGTATCTCAGGTAAGAACACAGGCAGAGCTGACGTCACAGACAGGTGTACCTGAGGGGGGGTCAGTCTCACCTGTTTAGTCATGGACCTGAACGGCAGAGCCCCCAGGATCACGGTGTCGTCCACGCGGTCGAACCACCGTCTCGAGGACACCTTCTCCATGGCAACATTGTAGGCTAAGGTCGGGTAGAAGAGCAGCCGCGCTAACGCTCCGGACATGACTGAATAAGGAAGCTTCCGGAAGAATAAAAGAGTCCAAACTGACCCGCAGAGGTCCGCTACAGTCTCAGAACCGAGCTCTGCTGAGAGTGGGGGATCCACGGACTGGAGAGTCTGACATGTCAGAGGTTCACACACAGTACTGAAGTTCAGGTTCCTCCTCCGGAGTCAGGAGGTGCTGTTCCGTGAACAACAGGACTTCCGGTATCACCCTTTCAGAGTAAAAGCCTTGAGCAACAAAAACTGGATTTATTGACGAATCAGGAGCTTCTGTTGATTCTTTAAAAGTTATTTGTACAATTTTATCAAACAAATTTTTATGATTCATATTTTACTAGTATTTAGTACAATTTTTTTTATTTTGTGTTGTTAATCTATGGAAGTGAGATTATTAATTCAAAATAATGAGAATATTTTGAGGATGAAATCATTTTGCTCCATTTTTCTGAATTAATGAAACAATTATACCTTTGATTCAGAAAAACAGAGCAGATTTTCGGTTAAAGACTGACTTATTAGTGGAGGTCAATACAGAGATCCTTCAAACCCTTTATTTGTTAAAATGCAGTTGATGAAATTCAATGAGTTAATAGATTTCAGTCTGTTGCAGATTTTCTAGAAAACTCATAGGAAAATTTTACCAATCAACACCCAGAGCCAATTTGAAAAAAGATAAGGTTTGTTACGATTTAAAAGGATTTTAAATATTTAAAAAGATTGAGAACTAAAGTGGAGGAGCGCTGTGTTACAGAGAGAGGAATAAGTTTGTGGAACACTCTGAACAAAGAAACTAAAGAAGAGAAATCAAATTTGATCTTTATTTTGATTATTATGTGTTTAGTTGACGAATATCTTGTGAAAGAGTTTTCTTCTTTCTGCTCCTTTTATTCACTTTTTTGAGATTTTTCCTTGTTTGTATTGAATGTTTTAGATAGTAACTGAATGAAAAAAAGAACAAGTTTATCCGCCGACACAAAGACCGGCCGGTCAGTCAGTCTAAAAAGAATTTAAAGCATCCAGAAGTGTCACAGAGTCAAAGGTCATTTAGACAAAGTCAGGTAAGAACAGACGTTTAATCAACACTGATTTAATCAAGCAGGTTAATTATTCACTCAAAAGGTCAGAGGTCACATGAATCCCCCTCATTTTAACCCTTGATCCTCTTTGACAGTCCTCAGTCATAAGAATGACCTCTGACCTCTGTAAAGTTGGGCTTTCCTTGGAGGAACTCTGTGGTATAGCTGTGCATTCCTCAACCATGCAGACGCACCTCCACCTACTCAGCACATAGAGTCAGCCAACACCTGAGCGGTAACAGAAGAATTCATCTCAACCTGGTTTATCAACAACGTTCAGGAGAAGAACAGAGAGATGATCAGAATATTCAGATTTGTTTGAGAAGTTTTCTACAGAAACAAGTTTGACACAGCAGAAGTACTTTGATTATGGTCACACACACACACAGAGCGTCTTCAAAAAAAATACAAGAAATCCAAAAACAGCAGACAGTCAGCTCAGGCTGTATGAGAGCATGATCTCTGAACTCATTAAAATCTGTAAACCAAACATTTTAGTATTTCGAGACATTTAATATTTCTGTACCCGCATATTCCGAGACGCCCTCATCGTTTCACGAGCTCACATCTCACTGTGCATTCCTTGACTTTTATTTTGTAGGGTCTATATATAGCCTTCTTTACACGTGGAACAATTTGAAGAAGTATGCAATTACATTGGGCACATTTATATGATGCTTTCACACCTTGTCATTCTTTCTTGTAACACAGAATCACATTGAAAAGTGCTTTCGTTCCATTCATTGAGTGTATTTTATTAACATGCAAAGGACCAGATGTTACTCGACTGTTAGGCTGCACATTAAAAACCCATCAGAGTTGTTATTAATACCACAGGCCTGAATATTATGCACATCAAGGCTTGGCACAGGCCTTCAGACAACCTTATCCTCTGAGCCACTTGGAGACACAGAATTATACCATTTGTTTCCTCTTTCAATTTCCTGTCTAGACACTAGACTTCAAAATTCACCTTGTCCTGAAAAAGGCTCGAACACATCACCTCATAGTAGGGTCTGTTAACTTGAAAAAATTGCCAAATTGTTATGCGGTGGATAAAAGCACCAAATTTGGTACACACATTCTTCAGGGTGTATCTCATCATCTCAGAAGGGGTGCCCAAAAATGCATGAGTGAAAATGGCTCAAATGGAGGTCGTATACCTGACCCAGTACAAAAGTCTCTCGTTGATTTATTTAGCAGGAAAAAGGGAGTCGATCTCTGCTGCTCTGAAACCACATCTGAGTCCAAAAACAAAGACAAAGAATAACTTCATACTGCAAAACCAAGTGTGACGCCTGTCAGGAAACCTTATAAATCACAGCATGAAGATGGCGGGGGTATGCCATAATAAGGTGTTGGTGTCTCTGCAGGTGTAGGTTACTGCCGGTGTCAGAGACGTGGTGCTCATCTGAGCTCGACTCCCTCTGGATCACAAATGTTGATCATCATCAGTTTGATTGTTTCTTCAGAAACCACAAAATCTCTCTGAATGACCCGCTGATACATCCACAGATAACCCTGCAGATGACCAGCTTCAGTCATTTCCCCCTCCACAAAAGCAGCTTTATGACTTTATTTACTTTATGACTTTATTCTCCTAAATTTACAACTTTAATCTCTAAATCTTAAAAGAAAAAAAAACTGATAGTAAAAAAAGCGAAAGCTCTTAATCCTTGAGAGGATCTTTGTACCTCTTGTTTTGAACCTAAAATGTCTTTTCCTCTTTTTTAACATCCAAACTGTAACTTATATTCAGAAGGTTTATCTTTTTAGCGGCTGGTTAAAACAGGAAATCACTGATCTTCCATTTGTTGTTTTATTTTTTGACATGATTTTTCAGACCGTTTGAGGATCTGCTGGAACGTTAATATGAAACTTAATCCCCTCTCTTTTTCTAATTTGTCAATACGGAGGCGGTGGCATTTTGACCGATACTGCAGCCTGTCAGTAGGGGGCGATCTATATGTTTTGATTGTTATTCTAGTTTATTTCATCCCTCTTTTTTTCCTGTTTTCTTTTTTTCAGTTGTTTCATTTATTTAGCATGATGTTATGATCCTGTGGGATGTCCCATTGCTGTAAAATCTGTTCCATAAATGCAGGTTGTACTTTATCAAATGACCACAAGATAGCGCCACCATCCCTTGCAGTGAAACACAACAAGGTTTCCATCTGCTAAAGCTCAATGTAGGTCACCTACCGTCAAAACATTTTCACACTAATAAACTTAAAGAATAAAAGAAAGAGTTATGACTCTTTAATTCTCATCCTTGCATGATTTCTTTTATGTCTTTGATTAGTTGATTTTTTTTTACAGTATTTTTACATCACTATTCTACAAAGAGGTTGTTGCTGTGTGAAAAACAGTATTGATAAATATGTTATTCATTAAAGGAGCTTCTTGTCTTCAAAAGCCACAGAAGTTTCGCTGACAGACGGGGTGAGCAAGGGAGCGTTTCAATCTAGATCAATATCTCCATTTAATTTCTCACTGTACGTTTATATCTTAACCTTTACAAAACCAGGAACATTCCCACTGAGATATAGAATCTTAACCATGAGGGATTTCTGACCAAGGTGAATAAAAAAAGTTGAATAAAATAAGGAGAAAAGGTAATTCATAATCTTTTACTTTTTTTTGTACCTGTCTTTTATACTGTTCTTGCACTGCTCTATTTTAGACTAGTTTTTCTATCTTTATTTATTTGTTTTTGTACCCGACATGAATGTGTTTGTTTTTTGTACTGCTGCTGTCAACAATTTTAATTTCACCACTGAGGGATGAATAAAGGAATATCTAATCTAATCTAATCTAATCCAATCTAATATCTAATCAGTTATTTTGCAATCAGTTCAAATAAGTTGTATTTCTATCCATCTTTTAATGAATTTATTATCTTCTCTTTATCCTTTTTCTTATCATGACTGAGTCTATCTACAAACATCTATCCACCCATCTTCAACCAATCTATCATCTTCGTTCCTTCAATCCAACCAATCATTCATCAACCATTCCACCATTTATTCTCTTTCCATCATCAATTTATCAATCAGTCTAACATCTTTTGTCTGCACCCTTCATCCATCAATCGATCAACTGTCTTACATCCTATGCATCCATCAGGCTTTCTTTCCAAACCAATTAATAAGAGATTCAAGATTCAAGATTTGTTTATTTGTCATGTTCATGTTAAACAATGTCAACAGTGCAATGAAATGCCCTGGATGAGAGGACCACTCGACTCAAAGGAGTACAGATAAAACACAATATGCACTGACAGGAATACAATAAAATAAGGAGGCAAAAATATTAAAGATGAATAAAAGCATAGGAAAAATATTTACAAAGTGCACAAGCGATGCAGTAAGTGCTGAGTGTGAATGTATGGAATGGAGGATAAGTCGGTGGCTTAAATGAAGAATAAAAATTGCCATATTACACATGATAAATAATGGTGCTGTATTGCACATCACAGATAATATTGCACAGTTAAGTGGGTAAAATGACTTGAGTTTGGAAAAATTACTTAACTTTATACCTTTAAAAGCTTTTTTGAGAGAGAATACTTAAATATTCTTTAAAAAAATCAAAGGGACTTCGTTTTTTATCTCATTTTTGGTGACAGCGAACGTTAAAGATCCGGTTTCTAAAACTGAATCGAGTCAAAATGTGTGATCGTTGAATCGAACCGAACCGCCCATCTCCTGTTGCCAGCGGCGCTCTCTTCCTGAGGTTAGCATCAGGCTAATGAAAAGTGCTAACGACACCGAGGAGCCCACCATTGGCTGTCCCGACTGCCGAGGCTGGCAGGCAGTGGCGACAGGGAAGGACCGGACCGACGGACCTTATGGTGGAAATACAGACAGAACTCCTGAGACTCGGACGGAAACGAAGGGAATATAAATTTTAATGTACAGTTTGGATTTCCCAAACGGACCTTGAATCGTCGCTAACGTTCAATGTTAGCTGGAAGTTTCCGAGTCGATCCGTGATGTGGTGACGCGAAGCTAACGTTAGCTGATGTGCTAATGATAGATGATCCGATTCTGCACATCTTATAGGATTTAATTCATGAATTTTTAAATCTGTTTTGATATTTTTAATAATGTTCGGTATATATTTATAAAGATCTGTATCATGTTGTCAACTTTTATAGGGAATCTTTAGCCGACCACCTAACTTCGGATCTGAAAGTAGCGTTAGCTGCCTAGCCGGCTGAAGGCTAACGTCGGTTAGCCGTGACTCCAAGCCAAAGAGCTCTGCTAAAACCAGCTATGCTACAACTCTTTACACGTCAGCTAACCGTGTCAGAACATATCTACCTGTTATGAGGTTATTCCTGGATAACTGAGCTGTATTTGAGATGATGGATACTTGTTCGTCATCGCTGAGATAGACACTTTATTCCCAAATCTGAATTTACAATTATCGAATCTCCAGCATATTTAACGCTAGCGTGCTAACGGGGGGGTTAGCCGGCCAAACTTGGAATCCTGCCCCCTGCTCACTTTCTGTGGGTTTCTCTCTGAGGCCTTTAGGATCCCTTTTTATCCTTTTTTTCTGTGCAGCCTTAATGCATCCCAGCCCTTGAATGGAATTTACAGGCTCTGATTGACTCTGGATATTTGTGGGACATTAAATTGGAGTACCTGGACTTTGTTGACTACGAAGGCATTTGGAATAACACCATTTGTCCAAGGTGAGAGGAGGTGTTAACATGTAGATGATGGAGTTTTGTGCGAAACACACTTAAAAACAGGCTGTGTTTGACTGTTTCAACTATATATGCATGTCAGCGATGGTCTGAAGTTGCTCTATGATCAGACTTTTAACATATTTATAACAAGATTAAGTGGGTTAGACTGAATTTAGTCACAGTTTAATATGTCAAATGCACCCGTATTAGGCTTACAACACATTGTAGATTAGGAGAAAACACGAGCACTGAGACATTTTCTATCTTTAATGCCTGTTGGGATGAGGATAGGGCTGGGCGATATGGTAAGAAGTTAATCACGATATGTATTTTTAATATCGGTCAATATTGATATATGTCACAATATAAAAAATGAAATTTAACAGGGTTTATTGGTACATTTTCTTTTGCAATACAATAATTTACTGCATCTGTTAGGTCTCTGTGTCTCTTTGACGTTTTGTCGTAAGGGGTTGCGTTAGAGAAAGCGGACTGAATGGTTGGTTCGACGCGGCGCGGACCCGGAGCAACTCCCCTTTTCATTGGCTGTTTGTATAGTCTACCAAAACAAGGCAGAATACTGACTATCGAAAAGCATATTGACTATGTTTTATATCGATATCAAGGGAAATTAATTTTTGATGTATATCATTATCGTTTTATCGCCCAGCCCTAGATGAAAAAGACAACCAGAAATGACACCATATGATTGTGATGTTTATTTATAAATAAAAACACTGATACATAAAGCATATTTCATTACTATCTCACCCCAGAGTCACCTGAGGTCAGCTGACAGCTTGTTAAACCTTCATTTGACTGTATCTAAATGATGCAGAAGCCACAGTCTCAATCTGGCAGCAGGTGAAATGTACATGTTGAATGAGTAAACAAAGATGGTCTCACATTTAATAAAGTTTTAGATTTATTGCAATACAGTAACATTTTAATACTTATATTGCAGTGCTGGTAAAAGTGCTTTTTTATGCCTATAATTCATACCTGATTACCCTCTCAGTCCTTGTTTTATCACCTTTTCCTCGTGTAAACACGTACTCCCAAATTTCTCCTACTTGAAGAAGGATATTTGAAGCTTAAATCTTTGTTCGTGTCCTCCTGACTCCAGACCCCGGTTTGTCATCTTTACTTTTTGATGTTTGGGATTTCTGTGCTTATACTGGACCCACCATCTGTCACTCCCTCCCATGGATGCTGAGTGACCCTCCCCCTCATAAACATTGTTGAGCCTGAGTGGCTTGACCTCGATAAAGAGCGTCGCTTTTGTATTTTGCTCCTTGTATGAGTTAAATATTCATAATCTGAAACATGTGTTTGTGAGTTTAGTTGAATAAAAAAGGCAGGTTGTTTTTTTGCCTAGTTAATTCAAGTGTAACATCAGGTACGGTGCAGGTTTGAGTGTCGTTGGTGGAAGGTAAAGTGTTGGTGCACTGAAGTGAACACAGAGATAACAAATAGGTTTTGGCATCTCAGGTGATTCAAAGAATGAAATGACGGGAAGCCCGTGCTGCTGCTGCTGCTGCTGCTGAGTTCTTGCTCCACTTGCTCCCATTTGTAAATTGTTGTTCCTTGTATGGAATGTGAAATCCAGCTCACATGATTCTTGGCTTTTTGTCTAACAGTCTGTCTACAGCACCTAAGCTCCTTGGTGTGGAGGGTGGTTCTAATTCCCCAGACCTTCCTGCCCAGCTGTTCCTAGATCTGACGTCACTTAAAGAGCTTCAGACACGGCTAGTTTAGTTGTCTGTGATTGATTAAATGCTTTAGCGATGTAGGTGAACGGCTGTTTACTCTAGGAAAGCGCTGTGCGGTACAGTAGGACCAAAGCTGGAGTAACAGTTGGTGAGCAGGTCTAGCTGATTCAGCTCTGCTTTTCCTTCTGCTTCATTAATCAGCTGTTTGGATGGTTTGGTTTCTGAAAAGTACAACATTTAAGTCACTTTGTTTTATCGTAATTCTGACAAAAAAGAAAATTGAATTAGTTAGATTTCTGTTTAATTAAAGGTGAAATTATTTCGATCAGTGTCCCACAGTGTTTGTGATTGCATATCGATCACAAACAGAAACATATGAAGAGACTCGCTTACAAGCAGACCCAAAAGGTGCAGACTGAATAGAGCAACGCCTTACGACAAAACGTCAAAGAGACACAAAGACCTCACAGATGCAGGAGATTATGGTGTTGGAAAAGACATGAGACTAATAAACACTGTTAGATTTCATTTTTATATCCTGATATTGATCGATGTCCACTGATATAAAGAAATATATTGTGATAAACTTTTTCCCATATCGAACAGCCCTACTCTGAACAACACAATCTGCATTTTTTTTACTTTAAATACCATCAAAAAGTATCAAACTGACATTCTGCTGCAGGTGTCAATATTGTTGTTTTGCTGTTTACAATTCTAGTATCATAACTCTAATCTGTAGAGCCACAGATCATATAATATTTTACTGATAATTTAAGGAGAGATTATTTCATTGTTGCTCCATGTCTTTTTATGATTATAAGTTCATGTTTTTGGTGCTTTTTTTAGTGACACTGTGTAATCCCACCAAACCAGAACTCCCATCAAAGAAGTATTTTTTGGGGTCCAGATTGAATTTTTTCCTAAATCTGTTTTCCAAAAGTTGCTCCGGAGGTCCAGTGGGAAAAAATAGAATTAATCTATATAGTGTTTTAATCTGCAGGTATAAATGTAAACCCACTGACCTTATATTTTAGAGTGTACTGTCATCTTTCCTCTGGTCCTGCTCTGATTTCTCCAAACCTCTGCTGCAGATGATGTGCGAAGTGATGCCCACCATCAGCGAGGCCGAAGGGCCCGGCGGGGGAGGCGGCGGTGGTCGTCGCGGCTCCGGCTCTCCTCTACAGTCGGACTCTGAGGGCCACTTTGAGTCGCTGATGGTGTCCATGCTGGAGGAGAGGGATCGTCTTCTGGACACTCTGAGGGAGACTCAGGAGAACCTGGGCCTGACCCAGGGCAAACTGCATGAAGTCAGCCATGAAAGGGACTCGCTGCAGAGACAACTGAACACCGCTTTACCACAGGTACGTCACATCAGGGTTCATGTAGTCTGTTTTTAAAGAGAACTGGGCTGCAGGGTCGGCCTTTCTGGTCCTGTATTATCTGATGAGATGATGGATAACTGTCCTCCACTCTGGCAGCTCTCAATTTAACCTTTCTTTAAAATAGAATAGATGTGACAACTTCCCTTTGAGTGTATTTACTAAAAGTTATATTACATGAACGAGAAACCAATAATATTAAAACTAAATATATGATGATTATATAACAGGGAAATGAACCGTCAGAATTACATTCCCCATTAAATAAAATTTCTGTAGAAAAAGTCAATTTTACCGACCAAATATGAAACAAGATTTTTGACAGAAACCTTCTTATCAGTAAAAATACAAAGGTTTTTATATGCAGTTATCATACATGTTATATACAGGTTTTCCTAACATTTAAGATCAATCTCTGTTGAAGAAAAGCACCATCAGCAGTGTAACACGAAATCATGTCATCAGTTTAAGGATGAATTTTACTACCAGAAACAGCTGACACAAAGAGTCAAAAGACCAGGACCTCGGACAGAACCTTGTGGAACACCGTTTGTAATTTCATCAAACTGAATTTACAGCTGAGAAATGTCCGAGTTCAGAGACTGTAAGAGTGTGTGCTCATCTCCTGACAGTTGTAGCTGACACACTTGTACATGCTCTGCTGACGTACAGACACTGTCTCCTGGTTTCCTGCGCTCCTGTCTCTCATGTCTATTCATAGTAATGTCCAGTTAGTGTCTAAGTTTAACACTGGTGGATGTTTTTTAAGAGAGACTGTAGAGATAAATGTTTGTGTAAAGGATTAGTCTGTCAGATATACTTTAGAAAAAAGTTGTGGTTTTTCCCCAAGTTTAGTAATTGAGGAATTTAGTTTTGCACCGTGAACTCCTGAACTTTTAAAATCTCAACATGGCAACATCAAAAGTCATGTCTTGCAGGATCTGACCCCATCCTTTCCTCTTGAGACTTTTTTAAAGTCTGTGTCCCTCAAAAACAGCAGTTCAGTAAATTCACGTCAGTCTGCTGATTCACAGGTTTGTCCGTCTCTGTTTGGGATGCTGACCCCTTCTTCAGAAAGCAGCAAACTTTGTATTAGGAGGTAAAGGTTAGACCTCACAGGAGAAAAGACTCCGACATGGCTAATTTTAAAGGTGCAGAGGTGTGTACACAAAGGTAGACCAGGACCAGGTGGGTTTTCTTTTGGACTTTTGTTTCAGGAGTGGTCTTGTCTGCTTCTTATCACACTCATAGTTTGTTTAGATGTGACTTAACTGCAGTGTGTCAAAGAAGAGGCTGAAGCTCGTAACTGTAAAATGAAGCTGTTAGGTGGTTCTGAGACCTGCTGTGGTTCTTTCTCTGATATTTGCATAACAAAATGTGGACAGAGAGCTCTGATCCAGACTCAGTCCATCTGCTGCAGGTCCCTGTTTTATGACTGACTCATGTTTCTGCCCTCTGGGGTCCTACCTCTAAAACAAAGGGGTCAGGTTTCCAGTTTTTAATGATGCAGTAGAGGCTGGTGATCATTTATTTAACGTCGATATTGTTTTGGTTGAACATTCATCCAGTACAGTGAACTCAGAGAGACGCTTTTAATCAGGGTTTGTAGTTTCACATGTTATTAAACGATCGGGGGGGAACCATGTGGCGTGCAGACTGTGAGCGGTCACAGCTAAGAGGATGACAGATGACAGAGCCCAGTGCTGAAAGCAGAGAGCTCTGCAGATTTGGAGAGACCGGAGAAGAGCTCACAAAGCTCTCGCCCTAACAGATAGTGTTCAAATAGTTACTAAGACATGATGCTGAACAAACTTTGATCGTACGTTTTCTTGCAGCTGAAAAAAGTCTTAGCGTCCGTTTTCTAACTCTGTCCAAATCCAAAACACAGAGGTGAGCTCTCAGTCAGCTGTTGTGTTTATGGATTCTGTAGTGAAGGCAGCTTTGAAGGTTCTCCTTCAACCACATCAGGATTTCATTTCCTAAACGGACACAGAACTTCAGACTTTCCTTCACAATAAACACATTTAGATTCATCACAAATGTTTCGTGTTTACACAAGTTCCTACAGACGTGAATTTATGCAAGAGAGGAGAGTTTTTATCAGACATGGTTGAGGTCGACGAATGATAGCACCATTTTATTGTGCTCCTTATTACATACGACAGAATAAGACCTCACTGTCCTCTGAGCGAGTTCCTTTTATTTCTGTGAAGTTCTCAGGGTAGCTGCACCACAGTAAGTTTGTCCGATGAGTTAACCTCGACTGGTCCACCGTTTACAGACGGTTTCTGTGTTGATTGGATTGAGCGTGATTCACTGGACTTCAACTTTTTCAACTTTCGCAAAGAAGCAAATGAAGGGAATAAAATTTGTGTGGTTCACATGTCTGTTTGTGTCGGTCTTTGTTCAGAGTATTTTCAGGTTGTAGTCAAGGGTTATCTGCAATCGACCTTTTTTGACCATTTGATAGACAAGTTTCAGACTTTTTTTTCAGTTATTGTGACCAAAGAAATCTCAGGAAACAGGAAACTGAAAATGTTTGTAAAAATATGAAGTTACCTTTACTTAAAGCTCGATTTATTTACTGTTAAATTGAACATTTCTAACAGAACTTGCTGTGTTTGTGAGCTTCTGCTCTTTCTTCAGAAATGATTATTGGTGTTTTTATTTATTAATGGTACATAGTCGACAGAGCAGAGATGGTAAAAGCTCTTTTAATTGTACAAACTCAGATTGTAGATATTAATCAAAGGAGAGATTAAAAAAATCTAGTGAATCAGAAGAAGCAGAAGAAGCAGGAGCAGTTGACCCTCAGGTTTGTGAGTGAAGTCCCGGTAACCTCGTGTTAACCTGGTGCCATCTTGACCTGCTTTGTTGGGGTCCGTGGTCAAGTGTCTCAGGCTGGAGTAGGCAGGTAAAGGGAAGGAGGCGTGTTCCTCTTGAAGGCTCCTCCCCCCTGGCGAGAGTCCCCCTGACTGGAATGCTCCAACATTCCTCAGTCCTTGCTCACACGTTAACGGCTCAAACTTGAGCGTTTCCCAGCGGGACGCTTCTTCTTATCTGGTGTTTAGTTTGCCTTTTTTGTGCAACATTTCTGTAATTCTGCTCCTGTGGATGTTTCAGTGACTCACGCTCTCAGTGCATGCACACGCACACGCACATGCACACGCAGAGCCAGAGAATCATTTCTGCAGTAGAGAGGAAATCCAGTTTCTGTTCTGACATGTGCACAGATGCTTACTTTAAATTTTTGTTGCAGAGGAGTCCGTTTCTCCCCCGTTACAGTAAAAGCATGTGATGTTTTTTTTTTTTTTTTCAAGTAGAAGTGAAATTCAAGCTGTTTCTGCAAAGATGTTTGAGAACATTCAGAAGAAGAAGAAGAAGTGGAAATGTTTTTGACTCTCTGCTTTTGCTGCATCCAAAGTTTTCTTTCCCATTTCTGTAGAAACAGGAACTGCAGTATTCTTCTCTCTGCTTACTCTCTCATTTAAAAATGTCACGTTGAAACCAAGAGAACAGACTCCATCGTCTCTCAGCTTATTTTTAATGTCCTGACTGTCTGTGTGGAAGTTTTCACATCGAGCAGCAGCAGGTCTGGAGGCTGAGTTTGGGCCCAGCAGCAGTCAGAACTACACATCTGATTTTTCTGCAGGACCACATGTGAGAAAACATACAAAGGAAATTCAAAGAGCTGTAAAAAAGTCCAAATAACCAAAGTTCTCTCAACCTCGCAGTTGAACGGCAAGACAGAGATTTTCCCAAATTTGTCAGAGGGTTCTGTTTTATGTTAATTCAGATGGTTGTAATTATTCAGATGTTTGTTTTTACACATGATGTCCAGTAAATGTTCTGAGCGAGATGCACAGATTTTTAAAATCAGGGCAAATATGGAGGAATTGATTTTTTTAAAAATACTTGAACTTGCAGTTTCTCAGATTTTCTATCAGGCAGGGATCAACACGTGGGCTCATTTGAAGTTGGTGTTTTAAGTCTTAAGCAAGTTTTACTGCAAACCAACTGACAGACTGGTGGAGACCCTCAGCTGGAGGCTGCAGACGTAAACCAGGTCTCTGCAGGTCTCTAACCGAACTGACACAAAGACTGAAAGTTTTTACAGAGACTTTTCCCAGACTGTCAGTGACGTCCTTCTCCTCCTTATCACGTGTTTACTTCTGCTGGATTGATTCAGGCCTGGTCAGGGTTAGGGTTCGAGTTCGGGTTAACCAGTGAACATCTGACATGCTCACTCTTATCGATAAGAACAGAAGAACACAGAGTCTGAAATATTAGTCTGCTCTCTTGTTCCACTCTCCATGGTGTGAGCCTCGCTCTGTATGTCTGCAGGGATCATTGTTCTGAGTCCACGTGTTGATATTCAGCGAGTTAATCAGTTTGTACGCCTCCTTAAGTTCTGCAGCTTTGCAATCACGCCTGTTATTTTCACCATGCAGCTCTGGAAAATAAATAATCTGGGCTGACAGACATTTGGTCTTAACTTTTATCATATCTAGTTATAGAATTGGTGTTTTTTTATTTCCAAAGATTCCTTGGAAAAACTGATATTAGAGTTTAGCTGATATTAGAGTGACTTTGTTTACTACTTTACATCTCTCTAAGTTTAAAAGTCTGTTTTCAGCATTTTCCTCGGACACATAATACTCCTGCAGAGCTAACAGCCAACGTTTCCGTTCATATTTGAGCAGAAACAGGTCAGAGTTTGTCCAACAGGCGACACCACCTCTTCCTCTGAATCAGCGGTCGGCTTTAAGTTCATGGAATAAAGTTAAGACACAGATAAACATTGGCGACTGACATCATTCAGGGCTTATTATTTGCCAACAGGGTGATATCTGTCAGCAGGACAAATGTCAGCCAATGTTGACGTCATACTCCAACATAGACAGCTTTTACAGAGCCACTGTCTTTTTTAGTTAAACCAAAAATTCAGATTCAAAGTTCTTTTTTAACCCTGAGCTGTTTTTGAAAACAGAACTTACCTGCTCGTATCTAATAATAACTGTATCTGGCTTTAAGAGAGCAGAGGTTCAACAGAGGTTGAAGCATCATTAGAGCTCCGGCTGATGATTTAGTGTGTCATATACACACTCACACACACACGTTATGATAGTTAGTTTGTGATTTCTTCTAAAGGAGCGGGTTCATGGCTCCGACCAAATCCTGTCTTCTTGTCAGAGGCACAATGGCGTGGATTGAGAGCGCAGAGCGGTGAGATGGAGGGACAAAGAGCGACTTGTTTCACACTGAGACATGAAAGTGACGGAGTGGTGTCGCCTTTTGACGAGTGAGATCTGAATTAGAAACAGACGTAAGAAAATGACTCGCTCACGGCCGAGCTCCTCCGGTTTGTTCATCCAGAGAGGAAAACTTAAACAAACTCCTCCTGATTCTGGTCCAGATCTTTTATTTCTGTGGGTTTTTATCATTAAACCACTTCGTATTTAGAGACCGACTAGATTACAGAAGTTTCCCTTCTGTAAAAATAACTGAGGCTTTTCTGAACAAAACTCACCTTTGGCCACACGTCAACACCAGCTCCCTTCTCTGTTGTGTTTACTTTTCTACCAGCTGACCATCGCCTCGCCACAGCTCCGCCTCCTGGTTAAAGTAGTTGGTTAGCTGGTGAAACCCTGAATACACACGAGGGCGGTGAAGTCCCAGTCAACCGGTCGACTTATTGGTCGAAACGTGCTGAGTCGACCAAAATTCTGATTGGTCGACTCGATTTTTTTCTGTCATTTTACAGTCTATGGTTGACTTAATCAGGAGGAACGTACCAAGTGTTAATGGGGGTGTTTTCAGAGCACCCCCGTGTCACAGGTAACAGCCTGTCTCAGAACACCCCCCTTGTTTTCACCATTTTGGATTCACCCAACCCGCTGGAGACCGGCTGGAGACAGGAAGATTGACGAGCGTCCACGTTCATCAACGTCTGCTGGTTTGCTGAATATAATATTTATATTTAATTGCCGTCTTGTGCTGATATCAGGATATTTTCACCACGCCAAGCCGCGTTGTCCCCCACCGTAGAAGGGTTTGTTGTTGGAGTTGGTTTTAAGTCAATTTTTGGTCGAAAATTTCAGGGTTTCAGTCGACCAAGAATTTCTTTGGTTGATTACAGCCCAAATAGACACACACACACAGCACTGTTCCGCCCTGTCTGCTCTTTCAGTCCACAGACTGTCTCTCTGACATTCACATTTACAGCCATAACATATTGACCACTGCCTCTCTCCAGTCGGTGTCAGACAGCAGGTAAAAAGTGAATCGTCGATGTCGTCGTGTTTAAGAGGAAGAAAAATGGGCGAGAGAACAAAACGCAGTGATCGGCTTTGACTGTGACCAAACTGTGAAGGTTAGACGACTGAGTCAGATCATCTCCAAGATTAGTTTCTCCGAGGTCAAAGAGAGCCAACAGTTAAGAGTGATTTTCATGTGATATACTTAATAGCAGTTAACCAAATTGAGGAGGAAGTGAGTCATCCACGGTGATGTGACTCAGATGACCTCTTAGCGTTGTTCACCTTCATATGAAGAAGTGAGGTGAACATCACATAATGACTGCAAACACCTCAGGTATTTGCTCCTATATGTTCATTTCCTACAGGCATAATCAGTTTGACTAATAGATCTATAGAGAATAGAATGGTGTGTATGTAGATGCTGCATTGACTCTAACTTAGACGCTGTGGTCTGTAAATATAAAGACAGTGAGGAGGATGACTGATGCTTCAGACTGTTAGATGAACTTCTTCTTCTCTCCCTCTCTGTGTTTGGGCAGCAGTCTCAGCAGCTCTGAATAGGAGCCATTGTGGTGTCTAATTAGTTTTTGACGGTGAGTCCTCCTCCTCCTCCTCCTCCAGGAGAACAGATGCCCTCTGCAGTGTCCGATTTCAGCACACGCTGTAAGCTTTTAAGAACAGCTAAAGTCATTATGCAGGAGGAAGGCCTATTGGTTCGAACCCACCTCCAAATCCAGAACAGTCTGACCATCAGATGGTGGAGTGAAGAAAACTAGCTTAATCTCAAGCCTATTAAACTGTTGCAATGTTCTGATGTGTTGCCAAATTTTGAGAATCAGCAGAAGATCCAGGTCCTCCGAACAGCAGGTCAGACCAAAACAAAGTGTCAGGAGTAATGAGAGTCTGAGGAAACTTCACAAACACGCAGCTTAAACCGTGGGCAGAGCAAAAACATCCAGCAGCATCCTTTAAGAGAACAACACATGACATGATGAGGCTGAACCGTATTCAGACGTCGTGTTCAAACTCATTAAGTCCGCTGTCACTCGCCGTTTGTTTTGCATTCTTGTGCTCCATGTTGACACAACAGAGAGGAGCCACGCTGTGTTCCTGTTCGCTCCCCTTCAGCAGCAGCAGCATCAGAGCCGCAGTCAAGTCTGCTCCTCTCAGGCGGCGTTTAACCTACAAGCCTGAAAATTAGACGACCAAATTTAAGAGTCAAACCGCTAATTACTGTTGTTCATTTTGGATCTGCATCGCCTCACAGGAAGGATTTCCTCCTACAGCAGTGACATATAAACGAATGAACCAATTTACATCTAAAATTTTCTAAATGAAGAAAGTATTGATCTGTGATGAACTCCAAAGCTTGTTTGTAGTTTTATATCGTCTGCACATGATGGAGAAAAAGACTACGTAGTTTGAGCAGCAGGTGAGGAAAATAAAAGTTTTACAGTGAGAGTGAAATCTTCTTATCCCCAAAAATGATGAAAAATGTTGCATCAACTACAGACATGGTGGCAGCTCAGCTATCAGCCCACTCACCTGACATCATCTTTGTTAAATGTTTTAATTATTTGTTCGGTCTGTTTTTTAATTTTAATTTTTATTAAGCTCCAAATAAAAACCTCATGAACCGAGGACAAAGAAGGAATCCTAACCTGAATAAAACAGCTAACATCGGCATCAGTTCAGTCCCCTGACCCTTTAAACATCGTCTGTCACTAAAATCCTCCTGAGAACATTTTCTTTTATAGTAATGCTTTAGTTAGTGTTTTTGTGACCGTCAAATCAACCTCAAAAAAGAAAGAAAATAACAGATAAATGTGAAATAACAACTTGAACAGCTGATGAAAACCTTTGTTTCTTTGGCCATCATCATGTGAAAACCTGTAATTAAATTCATGTAAAATTTGGTGTTTTAAATCACTATTAATAGATTTTAGTGCAGTCAGTAGAATAAATGCAGAGAGGGGTTTTACTCTGTCAGGGTTCGGGTTCGTAGGTTGTACATGATGCATGTTATATGTTTAATACACAGTGTAGTGAGACAGACTCGTCCAGCAGCACAGACCTCAGCAGTTCTCAGGCTGTAATTGTGCATTTAAAAGAAACTGTAATATTATATTAAATCAATCATATAAGGGGTCGGGATGGTATGAGTTTTGTTGAGTTGGGAACAGGCGAAAGTCCGTCAACACCTCAGATCTACCAGCACTACAACTGCTGCTGAGAAATACAGATGAAGAGCGTCTATGTAGGAGGTAGAAGGATATTAAAGGAGGTGGTGTGAGAGAGCTTCACAGCCGCACAGAAACAGCACATTGTGGAACTTTCTGGACATAATTAATCATAAAAGTCTGAATGTTCTTCCTCTGCTCGTCCCTCCAAATAAAAACGGTCTGTGAATTTGTCTGACTTGTGCGCCGAGTTTAGGGTGATATTTTCAATCCTATAGAAAAACGTTTGGCAGTTTTTCCTCAGAGAAGACCCTGTTGTTTTGTCAGGTTCAGTGTGTTGTTTTAAAATCGTGGATTAACAGTAAAGTCAGGTCTAAATCTGAAACATCCTGAATTTGTCCTTTTGTTGTATTTGTACTCAGTAAAGTTTCGTACATGCTGCTGTTAGTCCTCATCTTTCTTGGAAGGATAATAAAACATAAATAAATCTCTGAAAATCTCAGCACACTTCAGTGTTATCCCTGAAAAGCTCTGTATGTCCTCTGTGTTTTGGTGTACTGTTCCTTTAATAGGTTGGCACACATTTTTGGCCCCCCCCCCCCATTAATCCCCTTCCCTGTTCGGAGGCTTATAGAGGAGCAGCTCAGTCCACTCCCAACCAGCATGTTGTAGCTCCTCTGAACTGGCTGAGCCTCACACCAGTTCGTCCTGCTGCTGGGAGGACTGGGGTCACGCTCGGCTGCACTCGCATGTATATAATCTGATGATGAGTCTGTCGTAGTTCATCTGCATATTTCATTCAGTTCATATATTCAGAGATTAAAATGAACATTTGAATTTAAAGCGTGGTCTTTATAGACTTTTCAAACATAGTCGGCGTTAAAGAGGACCCACAGAGATAATACGAGCTTACATAGGGCGCTGCGATAATCCCTGAAGTGTTGTGATGTAATTTTTTTTGCTACCTACAGACATTTTGTTTACGTTTAAACCCTTGGTTTTTTTTAATCTGGAGCTGACTGTGGAGAGGTCTGTGTGTCTGTACGGACAGAGTTAATGAACAAAAGGATTAAAACTCTGTCCAGCACATACACAGCAGCAGATATAACCCCAAACTATGCATGCAGACGGTGCGTTAGGTTTCCTCATGTTGTCATGACGATCTTGGACATCAGGTTTTTGGGGTTATTGTGTGGAGGCAGTTTAATGAAAAGGTGTCAATGCAGTCTAAAGTCTACCAGAAGATTTCAGAGACCTTCATTTTAGGGGCTGGGCGATGAACCGAAAATTTGCAGATATTGAAATCTACAACAATAACCGACGTCATTTTGCCCGTGTTAATATATTTGGTGTCCAAAAAAATAAATAAATCAAAGTTAGTTTTGGATGTGTGTAGGTAGGCTATGGTCTCATGTCCCTTTAAGACGCTGTCCTACGTCAGAGACGTGACTCCACCCCATCCAGTCTGTAACAAAGAGGGAAAGACAGGTGAGGAGATGGAGGACGGAGAGAAAGTTGGAGCGGCTGAAGTAGACGAAGTTAAAGTGGGGGGGGGGGGTGAGCAGCTTGTGGAGTAGTTATCGTCCATTTATCGTTATCGAGGTGAACTGATCAACATATCATGATATTGATTTGAGGCCATATTGCCCAGCCCTAATGGAGATCCAGATCTCCTTCTCCAGCAGGACCTGGGACCTGCTCACCGCGCCATAACTCCCAGAAACTGGTCTGCTGACTTTGGTCTTTCTGTGTTTGATTGAGTCTGACCTGAACCTCATTGAGGATCTCTGCGGTATCATGGAGAGAAAGATGAGACACCAAAGCAACAATATCAGAGTAACCTGAGGTCCAGTACCACACCTGCAGACTCATCACCTCCATCACACGCCAAGACCTGAGAGCAGAAGTGAACTGAACTTGTTCTTCAGAATCATCTGCACTCGTCCAAATGTTGTTAACCTCTCGTTGTGCTCGTTTTAGTCCTTTTCTAAAGTTTCAGCGCCGTCTTCTTGAACGTCCTCCGTCAGAAGGAGACGGGCATGTGTGTTTTATTACAGGACTTTGTTGTGGATGTGCCCCGTATATAAAGTGGGTAGGACCATCTGTGGGCTGGTTCTGGATCAGATTTCCAAACTTTGAACCAACCACAAAGCAGAGGAGGGGTCATATTTGTCTGTTTCTGATCTTTGGTGAAGTTTTACAGACATGGAGTTAAATATAAGACACATGGAAATCCCTCCTGTAATAATTTAGTGTCTGTGTTTCTTTCATCCTGGTTATATAAGACAGTAGAAACCTCTCGCTCTTTCGTTCTCTCTCTCGGATGTGTCAGCTCAGCGTGGTCGTTTCCTGCAGCTGATGAGTCGAGAAAAGAGGGTCATACACGGCGGACAGAAACCTCGAGAAATCTCAAGGTTGCTGTACGACTCAACCTCAGCGTCTGCTCTGGAATGTAGGAAGTAAGCCACTCTGTAATTACCTCGGGGCCCGCCTCTCGTGATCCCCGAAGGCCTCTGATTGGCTGGAAGAAAGTGGAGACCTTGGTCGTAGCCAGTAGCAGACTCCCACTCATTCCTGTAGCGCAGCAGAATCTGTGCCAGTCGCTGGAAAAGCTCCGAGGGAAGAGAGAAGAACTGTGGTGGTGACTGAAAGGAACGATCCGTTCCAGCGGCCCCCCACCCCCAACCCTCTACACACACACACACACACACACACACACACACAACCCAAGAAGGCCTTCCCTCTCAGGGTGTCTGTGCTAGTTTTTGTAGGGCAAAAAATCAGGATGGCACATTCTTCAGGTCCATCCATGCATGTAATCCCTGAAAGCAAGTGTGTATGTGTGTGTGTGTGTGTGTGTTTAAGTGTGTGTGTGTGCACGACTGTATTTGTCTGAAGAGAACCCGAGAGATGTGTGTAATGTAAGGTTTGTTCAAACGAGTCTAAGAGAGAAGAAGAAGAAGCTTCCTGGTCGGTTTAACGCCGTTTCTTTAAATCACCAAAACAACACCGGACCCTGAGGGATGACCTTTGACTGGTCTTAGTCCAGGGGTTCCCAAACTCTGTCTCACCAAAATCACCATGTTTGACGTCCTGACATACCAACAAGGTCATGAACATGTCGTCTCCCTCTTTCTCTGTCATTTCAGTTAAAGACGCACCTTTTTAGACTTGCTTTTAACTCTGACTAGGTAGTCCTGTACTTATAGGTTTTTAGCACTTCTACATACTATTTTATTGTATTATTTTATTTTCATATTCATTTTTATTATTTCATCATTCTTGTATTATTCTATTCTATTGTATTATTTTATAATGGTATTTTTTCTTGTGTTATTTTATTGCTTTTATGTAAAGCACTTTGGGTACCATTTGGGATATTGTAAAGTGCTATATAAATAAAATTTGATTGATTGATTGATTGATTGATTTCAACTATGCAAATACAAAATATTACGTCTCATCTCCGTCTGTCATTGTCACATCTACGCCTCGATATTACTGGGATGTTTTCGTTAGATGCTCTCTCAGGAGGAGGAGGAGGAGTCTTTTTTTAATGGTTTCACTCTCTTTGTTAATCTCTTTGTAAATGTATCAGGAAGTTTCCACAGTACAAACACAACACAGAGGAAAGAACAGTGCATACTAATGAAGAGTTGAGGAGCTTTTACTCACTAGATCACCTCAACGTCTTGTGGACGCTTTACAAGAAGGCAGGAGTCTGTATAAGACTATGTCACCTCCATTTCCCAGTCCGCTCTGATCAAAACAAAGAAAATGGACATTTATACAGTATCTTTGTGTCTTTTTGGATTAGAAAAGCTCGAAGTACAACAGAGAAGGACATTAAAAAGAATAAAAATGATCAAATGTTGGAGGCAGCAGCTCAATGTTTCTGTTTTTTCTTCTTCTTGCAGGAGTTTGCTGCACTAACAAAAGAGGTGAACGTGTGCCGGGAGCACCTTCTGGAGAAGGAGGAGGAGATCGCAGAGCTGAAGGCCGAGAGAAACAACACACGGGTTCGTACAAAGTGCTGCCACACACACACACACACACACACACACAGATTCACACACACTGCATTACACACTCAGATAGTTCATGACCTCCATGAAACCCTCCTGTTGTTGTGGAAAGTGTAATTGGCCTGTGCTCTCCTCGTCTGTTTCTGTTTTGGGTATGAATGGTTGTCATAACAGAGTTTCTATCTTATAATCCCAACCTTTGTCACCAGGTCTGGGTGTTTCTAATCGCTCAGTCATCAAAATATGTCGACCGTTGTGGATAATACGTTTCATTACAAAAAGCTGATTGTGTTTAGAGAGCAGGAAGATACCTGAGTCTGCGAGCTGCTGTCAGTCTGCTCTGTCTCTGATTACCACCTGTTGACTCATGCAGACCTGCACACAAGTTTTCTAGACTCTTTTATTGGCAGGTCAGTCGTTTTTAGAATTTATTTATCATCGCCAAAAAATCATCTCAACAATTCAAATGCTCTAGATGTATCCCAGCTCTATGAGGCATGGAAAACAAATGGTTTTATTGTGGTAGTACAGAACTCTAATATGTGAGAACTTGTACAAATGTGACAAAATGTGAAATGTGTTGTTTCTTGACATGGAACAGCTGTTCCCACACCTTTAAAATCGTCTGTTTTTGCCGCTCAATTCTCCGCCGTTTCTGCTCTACAGCGAGCAGAGTGAAAAGGACGATGGGCACAGATGAGACGATGGTCTTTGTGGTTCCTACTTCCCTTCGCTCTGCTCCACTGAGGCAGAAACACAAACTTATACTTTAGTCAGGGAGACCTATGGTTTTATTTGTCGCATGTCCACAACAGCATCAGGATTTTTCTGCTCTCATGAAATCCTGAAACTGAAATCGTTGGTTTAAATCCTCGTGTATCCTTCAAGATTTGACTTCCTTCTGTGACTCAAAACTGTGAAACGTCCTGAACTGTCAGATTTGTGACTCACTGCACCTCTTATAGTCAGACACATGAAAACATGTCCACGTTATCCTGCCCGTGTCAACAGGCTGACACCGAATAAACGTGTAATCTCCTCATAAAAATACATGTGATGTTGGGTTAGTCTGATTTAAGGATCGTCCAATAATTGGCCCTAAAAAAACATATTAGTCGATCTTTAGTCTGACGGTCTCTGACCTTCTGACCCTGTCCTTTGTGTGTCCAGCTCCTGTTGGAGCATCTGGAGTGCCTGGTGTCCCGACACGAGCGGAGTCTGAGGATGACGGTGGTGAAGAGACAGGCTCAGTCTCCAGCAGGAGTGTCGAGTGAGGTGGAGGTCCTCAAAGCCCTAAAGTCACTTTTTGAACACCATAAAGCCCTCGATGAGAAGGTAGGACCGAGCGTTTGAGAGCGTGTTGAGGTCTGCTGTCATGACACCAACAGTCTGAGGTCATGAAAGAATCAGGACGGGTGTGTTCAAACCTCTGTCTCTGATTTCAGGTGAGGGAGCGACTACGTGTTGCCTTGGAAAGATGCAGCGCATTGGAGGAACAACTCGCCATCTCGCACAAAGAAGTAAACAAACACAGCTGATTACTAACTGATCATGTTTTTGTGTGAAGTCTCCATCTGGACACTCGTAGGATCCGTCATTTTTCAGCTTGTTTGTGGTGATCATGTGACCTAACCCTAACTTAGTGTAGCTGAGCATCCTGGACTCGCCGACCTGAACTTAACGACAAAATAATAACTAGGACAACTAGCAGCTACGGCCTCAACTCTATTTTATGAACACACAATCTGCCAGATTACAACAACAAGCGCACTAACAGATGGTCCAAAAGGGAAGTGCAAAGACAGGACAGTCTGTTGCTTTAGCATTAGCATTAGCATTAGCAATCCCAGAAGTGTGGAAATGATTCAAACCAGAAAGTGAAAACAGTCTGACAGCCAACCTGCATGTGTAAGATGATCGTTGTGGTTGGATGATAGCAGCGGAGATTTAATACGACATCTGAAGAGTGGAACTGTCGCGTCGAGGCGGCCTTGTTTTCGCCAGTTTCACAGCAGAGTGTGTCAAACAGATCACATGTGACTTTTACAACGATGAGGTTCAGATGAATAAGATGAAAACATCTTTGAGTTATTGAGTTTATTTTAATGTTGTAGAAAAACAGTGAGAAGCTTGATTATCTGGACAAGAACAAGAATCACATCTTAGTGTCTGCAGAAGCTCCGTATTAAAAATCTGATCAGGATTGGGGTCCAAAAAAAGTCCAAAAAAGTGATGTCCATGCTAAAAAAAAAAAATTTAAACCAAAAAGCAGTAAAATCCTCATAAATCAGATGCAGCGTGAACGTGGCGTGGACTGACTCTCTGATCCACATGTGTGCACATGCATGAAAAGAGGAGAAGAGTCCTCCACAGTCCACTGTGGGCTGAATGGGATTAAGATTGACAAAAGGCCCAGAGGATCTTTGAGGAGTGTCCTAGATTTCCTCTCTGCTTCATGCTGCACTCCTCTTTTGTTCCCGGGAATCCGCCTGGGACCACACACACACGCGCACACCAACACACACCAACACACACACGTCAAATCAACCACTTGCCAATTTGCTTTTATTAGTAACTTCACCTCCTAAGGCAGAGCAGCTTCTTTTCTCTCTCTGTGTTGTTTCTTTCCCTGCTCTGGAGTTTATTATATGCTGCTGCTGCTGCTGCTGAGTATTCAGAGGAGTTCAGGACCAGAATAGCTGTGGTTTGAACTCAGGGCTGTGGGCGCTCCAAGCAGCTCGCTCTGCTGCTTTGTGTCCCTGTCAAACACACACAAACACACACACACCAACAGTTTTTGATGAACCAAAAGGAAAAAAAAAAAGGAGTTATAGAAGAAAGTAGCTGTCCGTTTTATTTGATGGTGAGGGTGGTCAGTGAATTAAAGGTGTTAAACCGACGGTTGTTTCCTCAGCTGGCTTACCTCAGGGAGCAGAGCAGCCAGAAGAGAGGGCTGGCAGACGGAACCAGCGAGGTCAACCACAACTCTGAAAACACGCCCAGCACTAACGGCAAGGTGAGTCCGCGCATGTCCGACACAGACACACAGATACAGGTGCATCTGTTACCTGTTCACTCCATTAGACTCAGTTTGAATGAAGGAAACTGTTGAAGAGAAACAACAAACAAAATAATCTCTGATCACAGATGAAATGCTGTGATGTTGACTATAGATGAACCTGCAGGGAAGAGGTTATTTCACACCGGTCTTAACTCTCAGTTCCTGTTAATTTGAAGCTCCATCCAGCCAACTTTGTCCCCAAAACAGACATGCAGAGAAGTGTCCATAAAATCATCATTTTTAAACATTTTTTCTTCCTTTTTTTTACTCAAATCTCTTTAATGACTTCAGCCCTAACCATAAAAATAATAATAAGTACTAATATCAATGTATCACCCTTTTATACCAGTTATTGTGCGCCACGTCGTAAGACTTGTATTTATTGATAATGTGTGCGTTCTAACCACGTGTGTCTATTGGAGCAGAAAAACACGCCATTTTCATCTTCTTTTCTCGAGCCTCGTCCTCGACCAAATCAAATGTGATCAAATTCATTTGTTCATTTAGATAAATTCTCTATATAGGCATATAAAATCAGAATATATATGTAGGATAAGAATCACTTTGAGTGCTCATAGTCCTTTTTTTTCATTTTGTGTTCAGTTAACTGTATTTTAAAGACTGGAGGAGGAGGGCAGACTGGACTGTGTCCAGGTTCCTGCTGACAGACAGACAGACAGACAGACCTGCAGTGTGTGTCTGCTGAAGATAGTAAGACATCAGTGATTCAGAGCTGGAGGAGACGCTCAGACTCATCAGAACTCAGAGAGATGATGAGTGAAGGAGGTCTGATCAGAACTCTGACAGATATTTGGTTTTTCAGGGTCATAGAGGTCTACAGCTGATTTTTACTCTCGTCTAAATGATGTCAGGTGACTCTGATTTGTGTTTTCTTTCTATCGTAGCGGTCCTCTGACGGTTCCCTCAGTCAGGAGGAGGAGTCAGGGCTCGGGTTCGGGAAGGTGGGTGAGCTGCAGGACGTGGTGGACCGTCAGACGGCCGATCTCGGCCAGATGAAGGAGCGCATGGCTGCTATGGCTTCACGCATCAACGAGCTGGAGGAGGACCTGGACACGGCCAGGAAAGACCTCATCAAGTCTGAAGACATGAACACGCGGTTACAGAGAGACCTGAGAGAGGTGAGGAGGACCGGCTTCATCTCTGAGATCTCTGTTGGTCATGTGTCTTCTCTGAAATCTGAAAGTCAGAGAGTGGAGATCATGTTTGGTTTTTGTGTCCACAGTCGATGGCTCAGAAGGAGGACATGGAGGAGAGGATCACCACTCTGGAGAAGCGGTACCTGGCAGCTCAGCGGGAGGCTACCTCCGTCCACGACCTGAACGACAAGCTGGAGAACGAAGTGGCCAACAAGGAGTCCCTCTTAAGACAGGTACGGTCCGCAGTAACACCGTCTCTTCTGTCGTCAGCTCTGTGGGTTAGCTTTTGGAGCAACTTTAACTAGATCTACTGTTGGAGCGTCTGCTGACAGGAACAGAAACTCTAAAATGATGATAAACAGTTTCCCAAGAAGATGAACTACAACAGTCATGACAAATTCTTCAGGGTTAGGAGAAGAGTTTGAGTTTGAGTTTTTAGTTTACTCAGTCAGTGTCAGAGATGGACGTAAACTCCTCGTTTTACAGAACTGTTCCTGCCGACATGTGCAGCTGCTTCGGCTCTTTTTTCAGTGACTCCTGAGTCCAGAACGGCAAAATTATCGACCCTATACCGGGCTAAAAGAACTGGGTCTTGTTTACTCTGACACACACACACGCATGCTTAGTCTATGGAGTGATCAATAAATGTTCTGATCAGGTATTAATGTGTGAACAGGGAGCAGCTCTGAGACTTAAGAGAGCTGGTTTCTGTTTTCAGAGGATGTTCAGGTCCAAAAACGCAGCTGTTCAGTTCTGAGTGTTGATGAGGAGTTTAAGTCATCCCGTCCACCAGAACATCAGGAACACAGATCCAGTCACTTGTTAAACCAACTCTGAGGGTCTGAGTCCTGGTTGATTCTGGTCTTGGTTTTGAGTCCTGGTTGGTTCTGGTCTCGGACTCTCAGGGTTTCTGTGCCAGCAGGACTCGCCCTCGGTCCTGGCTCCAGTTTCCAGACCCCTGCTAATGAATTCCTCAGTATTCAGAGTCTGAATGGGACGCCTCAGAGACACTGGTTTATTTCTCTGCATGTCCTCGCTCTGATGGAGACATCTCTCTCTCTCCTCTTTTCTCAGGGGTTTTGTCCGTCTTTGTGTCAATATGAATGCTCTCATCCTGACTTCCTGCCCAGCCCACCCTCACACACAGCCCCCCTCCCTGTCTCCTTTTGTCCCCCTGCCTCCCTTTCCCTGACCATGGCTTTTATTCCTCTCTCTCTCTTCACCTCGCGGCGCTCAGTGCGAGCCTGGAGGCCAGGATGTAGCGCAGACACGTCTTTACCTTTCACGTTAATGACTGTTTGCTTTTGCTTTGTTTGTCGTAGACGGAGGACAGGAGCCGGCAGCTCCAGGAGAAACTGGAGCTGGCTGAGCAGAAGCTGCAGCAGACCATCCGCAAGGCCGAGACCCTGCCTGAGGTGGAGGCCGAGTTGGCCCAGAGGGTCGCTGCCCTCACCAAGGTACCGACACCAGCTCTGAAACCTGTCCCTCATGTCGTTCAAACATTTAACTGATTCAGGAGTTTACAGAAAGATTAAAACAAACAAACAGAAACTAAACAGACTCTCGAATCCTGACCTAAACCCACAGCAGGCTCCAGTTTCTGTCCGTCTGAAGAGCCTGGAGCTCCAGGAGAGGAAGCTGCTGAGGAAGCCCTTGTTTATGTTCCTTCAAATATCCACACGGACCTATTTTTAGAGATTCAGCTCATGTTTTTATCCATTTATAGTTCCAGTCTTTGTCCCGGACAACACATGAACCCACACAGGCGATCCAACACCTTATTAGTATCTAAACTGGCTCACAGCGCGTCTTTGTGAGTCAGAACTTTGAGTCTTTCTCTCATCAGAGACGCCTCCCTGAGATATGACGCTGCAGTTCGTCCCGCCTGGTTTGATCACGTTTGTTTATGTGAATGAAAAACGAGGATTTAAAGTCACACAGTCACAGAAAAAAACATGTTTAATCCTGGTTATTTACCCAGAATACTTCAGCAGCTAAAAACTGAAGTAATATCTTTAAGTGTTGTTGAATCGTCTGCTTGAAACCGTCTCATTGTTAACCTGCTGAAGCTCATGTCTCCATGTCTCCATGTCTTTCTGTCCTGCTCTGTTTTTGTCGATCTCCATGCTGCCTGTTCCTCCTCATAGTGTGTTCTGTGTGGCTCTAAAGAAGCTATCACTCAGAAGAAGGTAGATCAGTTTCATTCACAGACATAAACCCGACCTCCTGGACTCTGGAAAAATCTGTGTCACTGTTTGATTCTGTCCCTGAACGTCACCAGGCAGACGAGAAAAAACAAAAACCTCTAAACTGAAGGAGAATCTGGTTTGTGAAGGATTTCCTCGGCCCGCCTGGTGAAGTTCAGGGTCAGACTGAAAATCTAAAATCGCAGCAGAGCCTGAACCCGGCCCTGACTCCTGACTCGGCCTTCTCTGTCTGCCTGTGTTTGTTGCTTCATGTGCTGGTGGGCTTTTCCGTTTTTGTTTGGTATCTAACACAAACAGGAAGTGCCAGCTGATGTGTTCAAAGACCCGCAGAGACCCTGCCCGTCCGTCAGAGTCCACAGAACTGGGACAGACTGTGCACCGAGAAAATGTTTCCACCTCTCTTTCATAAACAAGAGCCGATAAACTGAGAAATCCTCCTGATTCTGTTTAAAACTTGTCTGATTGCTCAAACGTTGATGAACTCGTCTTTTAGAAATCCCGCTCTGATCTGGTGGTAGATCTGAATCCTGGGAAGTCTTTGCTGCTGTATTTGTTTTAGACTCTGTGGGTCAGATTGCTTTCGCTTCATTCAGCTGGTGTGTGGTTTCGCTCTTTAGTTTTTATCTAGAATATTTAGGTTTTGTCGACCCCATCCTTCTGAAGGACCTCAGATTAAAAACCTCAAACTGAGTCGATCTTCGGCCTCAGCGAGGTCCTTCTCCAGGATGGACGACTAAACGCTCTAGGGGACAGTAAAGACTCTGTGACAACAACATAACCGAATAATCGCACACATTTGGGTTTATTCTCACTAAAGGAATCGAGCGATTGTTTGATTTTTACTCCTCTTTCAGGCGGAGGAGCGGCATGGAAACGTGGAGGAGAGGCTGAGGCAGATGGAGGCTCAGCTGGAGGAGAAGAACCAGGAACTTCTCAGGGTGAGAAACCTGCTGCGATTACTCCAGCCCTGCTTCGAAAATACGGGGCTGTGAAACACAAATCACCGATCAGGGAGTGATCATGTGACCTTTTGTTTTTTTATTGTTTTATCACATCTATCTGGTGTGTTCAGCTTCTCTACCTGAACCCAGAAAACATGACGTGAGACTGCAGCTGGTTCTTTATCTTCTCTTCATTTTAGGATTTATTATTGTTTTTTTTTTAATGGGACAATTTGCATTAATGAACATTTACATGTAAATATATGGGATTATAGCCGAGCGGCTAATTTTCATCCCCAGTCCCATCAGCAGGTTGGTGTCAAAACATAAAACCAAACAAACATCAATAATAGGAGTAAAACACACAGAGCGTTTCAGCGACAATATAGATGAAAATACAAACCAACAAATTTTTCATCTTAAATATATAAAAAAATAATATAAATGGTGTTGTGATGTTTAGATTAATGCAGTTTCATTCAGCTTTTAATTAAATATTAATTATTATACATTAATACTATTGTCAGTTACAGATATCAGTATAATATATTGCCATTATCTTAGTATTAAAATGATAATAATATATAGAGAAAATAAAAATGTAAAGTTACAAAACAATCCAATAAAAATAATTTAAATAAAAGGTAGTAATTATTCAGTGAGATACACACTGATATAGAATATTATCTATACATATAGTTCACAGACCTGCCTTCTCCTGTTTGTATATGAACTAGTCAATACTTTCCACTTAAAGTTAGTCCACATTTAGAAGTATCTCTAACCGGAAAAGAAAAAGAAAACAAAAACAAAACAAAGATCAAATAAATAAAATAAAGAGTTACCTGAATTATAAACATACAGCCCAATTATAGACAGTAACTAACCCTTAAGTGGTGAATCTGTGAAAGGTAAATCATATCTATATTCAAATATCTATATGTTTTGGTAACGATCTGGTCTAATTAGAGCATTTTCAAAGTCTAATCTAAGTAAAGTATAGTACATTACCTTTGACCTCAGCAGACTCACAGACTCACTAACTCGTTTGTTTGTTTCATACACCGTTATAATGAGTTTACCTTTAACCCGCTGGTCTTCCTGTTTGTTCAGGCGCGGCAGAGAGAGAAGATGAACGAGGAGCACAACAAGCGTCTGTCAGAGACGGTGGACAAACTCCTCTCAGAGTCCAACGAGAGACTCCAGCTTCACCTCAAAGAGCGGATGTCCGCTCTGGAGGATAAGGTGAACACATGAATGTGACGCTTCATGAATCAGAGAACCGCAGAGATTAGAGTCAGACCAGTCAGTTCATCATTTACAATAAATACTTGTCTCTCAGCTGTGTGTGTCCCATGACTCTGAAAGAGAGAGACTGTTTACTGGATCTTTAACTCAGTCTCATGTTTTCACAGAATTCCCTCATCAGAGAGCTGGAGCACACCAAGAAGCTGATCGAGGAGTCTCATCACGAGAAGGTGAGGGTCAGATGTACAGGGATGTTTGAACATTTCTGTGACACTGGAGGATGAGTTTAGAGACGAAAAAACTGTCCCCTCAGTAATCTGTCATTGTCACAGAAGAGGAAAGACCAAATATGGAAATAAAGACAAGAATATTCACCATGACTGAAAGTCTGCCCTCCACGGTCTGAAGTCCTCACTTATTTACCCCCAGTTTTCACCGCATCCAGAACGGCTCCAATCTGGAATGGCAGTGATTTTTGCCATCCGCCAATTCCTACTGGATCCGTTTGTTAGGCGAATTTCGGAAAGCAGTAATTGCGAGAATTCAGAAGACCCACAGATTCACGTACAATCGCGTGATTACAAGTTGTCTCTCTAAAGACAGACACATAGACATATAAGCAGTAGATTGTGTCCTTCCAGAGGAGGAAATCTACTTCTAGACTTCTAGAATCAGCATCTCCTCATCCATGGTGTCATCAGGGTGAAATGACGTCTAAAAACCTTTGACTTGTTCGTCTCCGCCCATTTACATGGTGTGAAATACGATCCTCCTGAAACACGGAGTGTTTTATTTTGAAAAGAAGCCGGATGTTTTATTTTGTGTCTGTGCCCGACTTCCTTTCCAGCACGGGTTAATCTGTGCTGAATTTATCCGCCATGCTCCGGCGTCTGAAAAAAATGAACTCTTGCGATCAGCTGTAGTCCAGCAATCTGCAGTGGAACGGAAAGAAGTCTGTGGAAATTGACACGTTAACTTGAATGGAAACGATCAGCTGCGATCGGAGGATACGACCTTTAGTAGCCATTGCGGTGAAAATTGGGGGTTACACAGAAATTTCTTCTGAATCGATTGCTTTTGTCTGGTTAGCCCAGTAAACCAATCCTGCTTCTGAGTAGAGCTAGGTCCGCCCAATTCCTTTACGTATTTACTTTTCCACTGACAAAATGGACAAAGAAATACATCAATAGATAAATAAATGTGGAAAAAATGCAGAAATACAAAAATTTAACTAAATATAAATTTAACCACCTCTGTGTGTTTGTTCGTGTCTCTTTAGGAGCAGCTCCTGATCCAGATCGAGACCATGAGGGCTGAGAGCGAGCAGGGTCGCAGCAGGAGTAACTCTTTACTACACGGGTAAGAAGACGGTCATGGATCCTGGTCCACGGTCTAAACCTCTCCGAGCTCACAGGGTCTTGACCTTTGGTCTCTGTGTGTCTTTGTCGCAGACGCTCTCAGCTGGGCAGCACTCCAGATTTCAGGTATCCGGTCTCCGCCTCCTCCATGATGGACAGCAACTCCGACCACTATGGCAGCGCTCTGGTGCTGAGGCGGCCTCAAAAGGGACGCATGGCGGCGCTGCGGGACGAGCCATCCAAGGTCGGCGCACACACTGATGTGGTTTTCATTTTTATCAACAGAGCGAGTTTTTTAAATCAAGTTAGAGGACAAAAAAAAGGCTGAAATGTGGAGAGTTCATCAGGGTTTCCTGAAGATCTTCAAAACCTCTGAAATTTGATCTATAAAGTTCGAGGCCTTAAGAAGTCTAGACTGATTAATGTCTAAATACTGGATCACGTTTGGCCTTTGACCTCTGAGTGACTGTATATTAGAAAAAGTCTTAACTGTCCAAACAGCCTGAAAATCGTCACTCTCCTCGCTATCTTTCACCTCCTCTGAAATCCTTGAATCCGCTGTCAGGGTCCTGGTGTGTACTTTTTGTGTTTGTGTACTTTTTGTTGTGTACTTTTGTGTACTTGTGTGTGTCTCCTCGCTCCTCCGTCTGCTTCAGTCTGATGTTGAAGTTCTGTCTGATGATTTCCTTCCTCTCTGTTTCTCTCTCTTTGCTTCCACTTTGGACTTCAGCGACATGTAAGTCAGTGTGATGATGGAGAAGATCCACGTAAAACTTTTGTGTTTTTTATTCATGAGAAATCCTCCTTCCTGCTCTCTTCTCGTCTGCTCTTTCATCCTCTCCTCTCTCTGCTTCACTTTCTGAATTCTCTCCACCTCTCCGTCCGTCTCTCACTCGTCTCTTTATTCCCTCTCTTGAACCCGCGTTGATGATCCAGGTTCAGACTCTGAATGAGCAGGAGTGGGAGCGCATGCAGCAGGCTAACGTTCTGGCTAACGTGGCCCAGGCCTTTGAGAGCGACATGGACGCCTCAGACCTGGAGGAGGACCGAGAGACCATCTTCAGCTCGGTGGACCTGCTGTCCCCTGGTGGTCAGGCGGACGCACAGACCCTCGCCTTAATGCTGCAGGAGCAGCTGGACGCCATCAACAATGAGATCAGGTAAAAGCGTCTCCACGGTGATTAGAGCGAGCTCTAAACAACACCCCGCTTTAGTTAACCCTTTGTTTTCCACCGTCCAATCAGGATGATCCAGGAGGAGAAGGAGAGCACCGCCATCCGGGCGGAGGAGATCGAGTGCAGGGTGGGCAGCGGGGAGAGTTTAGGAGGACGGTTCAGATCCATGAGCTCCCTCCCTCCCTCACTGTGTGCAGGATCCTCTTTGGGGGGATCTCCTCCTGGTTCTGGGCACTCCACCCCCAGACGAGTCCCCCGCAGCCCCAACAGAGAACTGGACCGCATGGGTGTCATGACCCTGGTAGGACCTTCTCACTTCCATTGACTCTCCGACCTTCTCCTCATGATCTCCTTGACTTGATTTGTCTTGTTTAGATCTTCTTCATGATGTTGGTTCCAGTTTTTTGAACCTGAGCTCTATTTCTGACACGATCAGGGGTTCAGATAAACTTGATCAAAGTTTGGACTTCAGCTGACATCTGCTGATCAGACGGGGACGTCTGAGAGCAAACAAGCCGGACCAAAGTTTGTCTGCTCTCAGTTCAGGTCTGTCCACCGACAGGCTCTGAAGACAATATGGAAATGAGACTTTTTGAAGCTTTATTTTAGGACAAGTGGACAACACCAGCTGACAGAGAGTTATGTCAGGGAGAGACCGACTTTAGTCAGTATGAAGACTTGTAGATATTTGGATTAGGACAGTAGAAGAGATGTCAAACTGAGCTGGAACTTTGTTTAGAGGTCTCAAAACTGAAAAGTTTAGTTTACAGTTGGATAAATAACAGAAAGAGGCAAAAGTCCACCGACAGAGTTTTCAGTGAAGACAGGGATCCTCTCAGTTCTGTTGTCAGACTCTCAGAATAACAATCTGAGTCTGCTGTCAGAGGAAGAACAAACACTAACATGAACATGTTTGGATAGTTAGATTTTCCTGCAGGGATCATTTTACAGTAAAGTTCGTCTGTTCGGTCTGAAACGATCAGATCTTTGAACCCTCAGAATCAGCAGAAACAGGACTCAGGTTTGAACGGATCAGAACTCACAGCCGGGTCACGTCTTCTTCTTCTTCTTGTAATAATGTCAGTGTTGCTGTTTGTGCTCATTAGTCCATTTAGACTCTAAGGACCCCCCTTCACCTTTCTGCGTTAACCTAATGTTTTGATTTTTGATTTGTTTGTGATCGTCGTACTAACGGTTTGTGTTCATGTCTGAGTGTATTTAACCGTGTGTGTGTGTGTGTGTGTGAGTGTAGCAGTATTGTTATGACCCCTACATCATCCAGAGCTCAGTCACTTACCTTCCATACGGTGCGACTGGCTTCAGTCCCCCCCCTCAGGCTTATAGCTATGCTCCTTACCTGCAGGTATTTGTCTCTCTCTCTCTCTCTCTCTCTCTTCCTCTCTCCTCTCTCTCTCTCCTCTCTCTCTCTCTCTCTCTCTCTCTCTCTCTCTCTCTCTCTCTCTCTCTCTCTCTCTCTCTCTCTCTCTCTCTCTCTCTCTCTCTCTCTCTCTCTGTCCTCCTGGGTGGGTGCAGCAGCAGCAGCAGTCTGCCTCTGTCTCTTTAAAACGCTCCTTTTCACACACCTGGATTACCTGCCCTACAGACATGTCACTGAGATCTCTGTCTGCAGCTGAACGTGTCGCTGGTTTTACTGCGAGTTCAATCTCAGGCTGCGTGTGCACGTGGATTCAGTCTGTCAGTCTGAACAGGAGTGTGGAAGAACTAAGAATGGATTACATAAATGCATCAAAATAGATATTATGATAGGGCTGGGCGATAAACCAAAAATTATATACAAATTTTTGTATATTTGGTGTCAAAAAATAAATAAATTCAAAGTTGGTATTGAATGATATGATACTGATTTAAGGCCGTATCGCCCAGTCCTATGATATGATATTGCAAACACACCCGTAGGTGAGATTTGTGCGTCCAGAAGTCAGTCATGTTGATTTTTTTTAAACTAGCACAGCTTAAACATAAAAAAACAGGTCTGTGTATCTAACCTGTCGACTTCACCTGGACGGGTCATTCATGGAGGGGTGTGTTCATATTTGACAGACTTCAGAGTCTCTCTGATGTGGTGGTGAAGTTTCAGAGAGGAGCCAGTGTTCGATGGTCTTTATGATTTAAAAGCAGAACCGGTCTCAAATGTTCTTTTAAGTATTTCCAATGAACCGACGTCTCTGCAGGTCAACTGTGAGTCTGGGAAACACAGAGCAGACCATGACAATGATAATGATGATAAAAGTAAAAGTTCACGTGACTGTTTGAAGTCGATTATCACTAAACATGTGAGTGAGCGAACAACGACTTTAAAGGGAAACACCACAAAGACGCTGTAACTGACTCCCGATCCAGCTGAGGTGACTCTGAGCGCCATCATACAGGTTCAGGGATTCGCTCTCAGTCTGGACCCTCCAGGACCCTCCCAGGTTCACAGGTCCACCTCATTAAAGGGACCCGAACCCTCACAAGCCGTGGATGGCGACCAAGAGAGTGACGTCCTGTTATAGGAGGCAGAAATGAGGTCAGGAGTTCAGACTTTCAGAGGGAGCCGAGACTGTGAGGAGGAGTCAGCTGAGGTGGTTCAGACTTACGAGGAGGATGTCACCTGGACTCCTCTCTGTGGAGGTGATCTGGGCACACCCAGCGGGGAGGAGGAGGAGGCCTCGTAGTACACCCAGAGTTTAGAGGAGGGATTATAGATCCCATCTGGCCCCGATGCGCCCTGGGATCCTGCAGGAGGAGCTGGGAAGCTTTTCTGAAAGGAGGTCATCTGGTTGAGATTGTGAGCAGATCTTGGCTGAGTGAAGGAGGAGGTGATAGGCTGATCCATTTTTGACAGTTTTTCTGCTTTTACACGTACCTGAACATCTTAATACCTGAGTGGATACGACTGATGTGACAGGAAGACCCCGGCTTTAGGTTCCCGTCTGTTTTCATGAAGAAGAAAAAAACATCATGGTCCTTCAGTTCAGTGTTGTCCTTGTTGTTTATTTATTTATCCATCCGTCTTTGAAAGCATCAGAAGGATGAGAAACACAGAAAGCACGAGCGGAGACAAAGAGCTCTTCAGGGTCATTAAATTGAATTTCTGCTCACCCCCTCAATTTCCTCTTCCTGTTCACTTTTTATAGCTCTCTAATCGGCCCCTGCTCCGGCCTCTCTGTGTCAGTTGAGGAAAGGAAATGAGTGATTAGGTCTTTTCCTCCTGAGGGCAAAAGAAACTCTTAGAAATGTGGCACGCTGATGGTTTATTTGCTCTGCTAATGCCAGGTGGGTGAGGAATGCAGAGCGGGAGATGATCTGCTCCGTTTTTAAAGGTGGAGAATAATCTGTCCTGAAGAGCCGTGGTCCATCAACCCTTTACTGAGAGCTGAATATCATAGAAATCATTTTAAGATTATCTGTATTATATTATAGTCAATAAAGGGTGAATCAGGAGTTTTCTCTCTTTAGTTTCCTTCGTTCTCCTTCAGGCAGCAGCACCCGCCCTCCTCCTCCTCCTCCTCCTCCTCCTCCTCCTCACTCCACCTTCAGTGTGGGTTTTTCTTTTGCAGTGTCTCCTCCCCCCTGGGTGATGCCGACTGTATTTCCAAACATCTGAACTATTAACCTGACTGTTTCTCCTCTGTGTGTGTTTGTGTGTGTTTGTGTGATGGTGTTATATCAATATATAAATCTGATGATGTCTCTCTCTCTCTCTCTCTCTCTTTCTCTCTCTCTCTCTCTCTCTCTCTCTCTCTCTCTCTCTCTCTCTCTCTCTCTCTCTCTCTCTCTCTCGTGTGTGTTTGTGCATGGCTTGGTTCTCCTGCTGGTCTGCTCTTCGTCTCACTAACTGCTTCTCTCCTCTCTCCTTTTTTTGCCACGCTTCAGCCTAGTGACCTGCGCAAGCACCGCAGGAAGGTAAACTAGAGAGCTGCTTCACTGGGCTCTGTCAGCTTTATCCTCATCATCCATTATAACCCCCCGAAACACAGTCACAGTGTCTCCATGACAGTTCAACTGAATAAAGAAATAAAGAAATGCCGACGACAGACTCTCAGCAAGAATCGCTGCCGACCAGATTAGTGATAAAGACCAAAACTGTGTCCTTGAGAAGTGGAACTGTGACGCTGAAACTGTCAAAAACAGAAGTCAGAGATGAGATGGAATTAAAGCACATTATTATAATAATTATAATAATAATAATAATCTTGATGTTTTGAACTCAAACTTCCAGGAAGCATCTTCTCTTTAGCACCACTGGGTTGTTTTTAGTTCTTGGATCAGTAATCAGACCAGAAACCGTCTCTGACCGTCAGTCACAAACAGGACCAGGAACAAAAACATGAAATTAAACATGAAATATTGTTGTGGTAGAGAGTCGACTTATTCCCTTTAAAATGTGTTCAGACATGTTTCCTGTGTCAGTTTTGATGCTTTTGCATCATTTTGTCTTTAAATTAAAGTTGCAGCTGAATTTTCACAGAAGCATATTGCATTTAATTACAGGAAAATAAAAGAGGAAACTGTTTTTTTTTGTTTTGTTTTTTGTTTTTTTCTTTGCTGTTTTTCAGACTAATTTTTTTTCCTCTTCCTTTTTTCATACAAATTTTTATTTTGTTTTTTGTACTTTTTTTTTTCGTCTTTCTGTTTTTCTGACTGTTTTTTTACTGACTAAACGAGATCCTTTAAAATCCTGCGAGAATCTCATATAATCAGATAACATTAACCACCATGGCTGCTCTAAATCTTAACTTTGACCACCATGACTACGGGGTCAATGAGAGTAAAGCATGTTATTAGTTAAACACACGATATGTAAATCCTGAGGTAAGGTCGACAAACTTATGTCGATTCCATCGCTCTGAGTTAAAGAAAGGAGGATCTCCAAGTGTCTCAAACCCTAAAGAAAGTCAAACTTGATAAAACTAAACAAGTGATTCATGTTTGCTTCCAGTAAATCGAGCAGAGGAGGAGGAAAGTGGAAAAACAATTAGTCTGAGAAACAAAACAAAACTTTCCGAAAAACAAAAAGAAATAGAATTAGTCTTCAAACAGACCTCCTTTTATTTGTGAATGCAGTAAACTTCTGTATCATTTTATTCCCTGTAAAGTTCCTTATTTTCTCGTTATGTTTGTAGAGATTCTGCAGAGTTACTCTTAGATCTTTGAGAGTTGTTGCTGCAGCCCTTCATGCTAAAAAAGTGGTGGTACAGTCCACAGCAGACCAGAGCCCAGTCAGATGTGATCATGATTGTGTCATTTTGATATGAATGAAAAGAAAAGTTTCCTGATTAAAGAGGTTTTTTTTGTCACACAGTCGGCTCAGGACGACAAGGCCACCATCCGCTGCGAGACGTCGCCCCCCACTACTCCACGCTCGATGCGCTTGAACAGGGAGGGTCATACGGCGAGCCACGAGGACATCCGAGACATTCGAGGGTAAGACGGACAAGTGTGGTGAGGACAGACTCCCGCTGTGGTCTGTTTGTGAACCTGCAGTTGACTCTGATTGTCGGAGCTTTAGCCGATGAGTGAATAAGCCCCTTAATTCAGTAATTGATCAGTAATTGATCAGTTTGACAGGAAAGTTTCAGGTTTCAGATTATAGAAATTGTCTTAGTTTAATTGGCTTTCTCTGTCGCTCTATTATTGGTTTAAAAGTTTTCAAAACAACAAAGACGCTTCTATGTCGCTGATTTCTCTCTCTGACCTCTGACCTCTGACCCTGCCGTCCCACAGCCTGGCCGGCCTGCAGGACGGTCAGGGCAGTAACCCCAGCAGCAGCAACAGCAGTCAGGACTCGCTCAATAAAGCGGCGAAGAAGAAGAGCATCAAGTCTTCGATCGGACGCCTCTTTGGGAAGAAGGAGAAGGGCCGGCCCAGTATTCCCAGCAAAGACTCTCCCAGTCAGGGTCAGACACTCCCACAGTTTTCATATTTCACTGTAAAGACGGGTCACTGCTCCCTGTCAGGTCTGTAAACTGAGTCTCTGTGTTTGTTTGAAGCTGGGACTCCTGAGGCAGAGAGCTCTCCCAAAGACGGTTTAGGGATGGGAACCCTCGGAGGTCCGGCAGAGAAGAACCGGAAGCTGCAGAAGAAGTAAGCGTCCTCGTCCCCGTCCCAACAGTCCCGCTCACTCACTCCTCTTTGTCTCCACAGTCTCCAACCTTAAAGCTGATGTCTGAATACACTGCTGTTGTGTTAATAATGTAGACGTCCTTTTATCGTGGACACTCACGCTCACTCCACCAGGCTCATCCTGCTTCCACTCCACACCCGATATTTTCCACCGCCTCACTCTGTGATGATTTTTCCCTCCAGTCTGAGTTCATGCCAACACACCACCATGTTATTTTGCTCTTAAATGACCATCAGTTCATTCTTTCTCTTATTGTTTTTCCAACCCCCCTCTTCTTCTTCTTCTTCTGTTGTTATTTTCGTCATCCCCCTCTCATTCTCTGTGTAGTCCAAAGACAGGGTAAGTCATTCACGTTGCTTTGTTTTTTTTTTTGTGGTTGCTTTGCCTTATCTTCTTCTTCTTCTTCCCACACTTGGCTTCATGTCCACCTCACCTCTAGCTCTGACGACCCCAAACAAAACTGTCCAACCTCCCGATGTCTGACGGCTTTTCCATGCTGCTCTTTACCCTGCTTTCCACAGCGGAGCTTAACTAACAGGAATGTGTGTGTGCTGATTTTTAGTGAGTGACACATTTTCCTATCGGAGCATGAAGCGATGCACTGCAACTCCGGGAAAAAACAAAAACTATAGTTCATGGAGGAGTTTAGCTGCTTCATTTCGCTGCATTTTGTTTGTTGTTAAAAACATTAAATGTGCTTCAGTGGAGTCATCGACCGTGTCGTTTTGAAGAACACGCTCCATCTGTTTACCTCCCAAACTCCAGGATGGGCTTGTTCTTTAGCAGTGACGTCTGGCCCACAGCTCCATCTAGTGGCCGACTGCTTCCTCTCTTATTTTTTTAAGCATAGACATCCATGAAGTGTGAGGGATCCTTTGCTGAATGGCATCGCTCCTTCATCACAAACCGGGAATGTGCATGAAATGGATGTTGACGTTTTTAAAGCCATCACAAAGTTTCCCTAAAGTTCTCTCCTCTGTGCATGTGATCATGTTCTGAGGAATGCTGTAATATTTCAGTCAGATCTGAGCGGACTCTCACAGCACTGGTTCTGGGAGAAAACTCCTCAAACTTCATCTCCTCAAACCTGGATCAGGGTGGTCAGGGTTTGAAAAGTCTAAAACTGTCTCTAAAGCGGTCTGGTCTCTCCAGGCCGGTGTTTGGATTTCCATGTTTCACTGAAAACTTCCTAAACCAGCATGTTTCTATCGGATCCTTCCAGGGTTTCAGTCTCTCTGTTTTCTCTCAAACTCCTGCTCTCTGTTCGAGCGTGCATGTGTGTCCGTGTCCTGGGTTTGTTCATCTGTGTGCTCCGAGGGTGGATTTGACTGGGTGCACACTGAAACGTTGTGTCTGTTTGTGTTTAATCCTGTTTGCATGAATCTGAATAAATGTGCGTTTTTGTGTCTCAGGCATGAACTCCTGGAGGAGGCTCGCAGGCAGGGCCTGCCGTTCGCCCAGTGGGACGGACCGACTGTGGTGGTTTGGTTGGAGGTACGACAGACACAGTGATTTCAGTAACTCCGACATGATATATACTTCAGATTTTAGTTTGAGAGTTGGATCAGAGTAACCCCCAATTTCCAGCGCCAATCCCTGTTTGTGAGGCGGATTTCAGGGTGGATTTCAGACAGAGGGAATCGGGAAAACTTAGAAGAACCTGCAAATTCATGTTCAATCTCACGATAACGAGTTGTCTCTATAAAGACAGACACATAGACATATAAGCAGTAGATTGTGTCCTTCCAGAGGAGGAAATCTACTTCTAGACTTCTAGAATCAGCATCTCCTCATCCATGGTGTCATCGGGGTGAAATGACGTCTAAAAACCTTTCACTTGTTCGTCTCCGCCCGTTTGCATGGTGTGAAATACGAGTGTTTTATTTTGAAAAGAAGCCGGATGTTTTATTTTGTGTCTGTGCCCGACTTCCTTTCCAGCACGGGTTAATCTGTGCTGAATTTATCCGCCATGCTCCGGCGTCCAGAAAAAATAGAACTCTTGTGATCAGCTGAGGAGTCCGGCGATCCTCAGAGGAACGGAAAGAAGTCGGTGTAAATTAAGTTATGCATCAGATTTCATAAAGCGCTTTATCAGAGACCCTCAAAGCGTTTTACATTGGAGACATCATTCATTCATTGCTGCTCTGGGGCAGAGTGACGGAAACATGGCGGCCATTTCGCGCCTACGGCCTCTTCGACCAACACCACTCAACACTCACAATCACACACCAGTGGAGGACACACACTGGGAACAAGGTGGGTTAAGTGTCAAGAACACGACGGACAGACTTGGGATGGGCGGAATCGAACCGCCAATCTTCCAGTTATCAGGCGACCGCTCTACCTCCTAAACGAAATGTGACACATTGACTAGAATGGAAATGATCAGCTGTGATCGGCGCCGATGGCCTTTTCGCCATTGTACTGGATGTGGTGGAAATTGGGGGTTAGATCCAAAGACTCCACATGTGTAATACATTCATCCTCTTTGTCTGACGTCACTCTCTCACCTCTCCAGCTGTGGGTGGGCATGCCGGCCTGGTACGTGGCTGCATGCCGCGCTAACGTGAAGAGCGGCGCCATCATGTCGGCGTTATCCGACACAGAGATCCAAAGAGAGATCGGCATCAGTAACCCGCTACACCGACTGAAACTCCGCCTCGCCATCCAGGAAATCATGTCCCTCACCAGCCCGTCGGCCCCGCCCACTTCAAGAACGGTAATCAGCTGTTTTTAATTTTCGAGCTCTAACGTCTCCTGAGCTTCATTAACCTTTGACCTCCTCACAAACTTCACATGAACTAATAAAGAGAAACAGAGCGACTGAATCTTCTCTAACCGTGATTAACAATCATCTCCTCTTCTTCTTCTGCTGTCTCTGTCCTTCGTCACTCCTCACACACTTCTCTCACTTCTGATTGGGGGCGGGGGTGTCACATGATCAGACCACAGGAAACGTTTGGGTCACACATGAAGAGATGGAAAGTTTGGCAGCCACACCTCCCACGGTTAGTCCACTCTGATTGGCTGCTGCTTCTCTGGTGACGTTTTGAGGCTCGTTTCAAGTTGCCTTAAAGACGCTCGGACTTTTCTCCACCGCACTGCATGATGGGAGTTTTTAACGTCACGGTCCGGGTTCAGTCTAAGATGGCAGCTTGAAACGCAGACTCTTTCTTTTGGTAGTTTGTGATTTTTCCACCATCCCTCCCTGTTTTTCTGTGGTCAGTCTCGTCCCCTCCTCTTCTGTTTTTGTGTCGTTTAGTCGATCAGGAGAAGATCACATGACTTTGAACCTGCTTCAGTCTGGATAAGAAACATTTGAGTCCAATTAAAGAAGTTATTTTGTCCTCGTCCCCGACTCCTTCTGTCTGTTAAGTTCTTTCTTTGACTCCCTGTCTGATAACCCCATCATGACTTTGTTTCGCTTGTTTCTTGTTTTAATTTAGTATTTTTTTTTTCCACGTTGAGCTGCTCTAACCTGCACTGCTGCCTCACTAACCCCTCACCTTTCTGTTCTTCTCACCATGCTCACTCTAACCATGCTAACACCAGGAGGATGACGAGGGTAGCTGGGCACAGGTTTGCACACGTTCACTAAAAACTCATCTGTAGTTCTCTGTTCGAATGGAGCGGCTGTGGATCAGTGAGAGTCAGAGGGTTAGAGGTCAGAACCCGAGTCAAAGTGTCCACATGCAGATATATTCTTATGGTGGTTTACATGTCGGCCTCTGTATGAAAGGGTGAATATGACGTTAAATCAAAGTGCTCTGAGGTTAAAGGTCCAGAGAGAGGAGTTATATAAACACAGATTATTTTTACATTTAGTCCATTTTAATCCAAGAGGAACAAAAAACTGTCTTTTGTGTTATATCTCGGTTTCATCAAAACTCCCACAACTTTACCACAACGTCAGAGTTCAGAGTTCAAGTATTCTCCGATGTGCAGGGTTCCTACCCAAGTATGGAATTAATTTGATTAATCTCCAGGTCTTAAAAAGTACAGAAAATTAAAAATAAAGTATGGAAAAATATTTCTGTTTCCAGACTATTACCACAGTTTTTAAATGCTGTTAATACTAAAATAGAAAAGTTGTTTTTTCCAAAAATGATTTTAAAATGTGGGCTATGGAAAGTTTGGAAATTCCAACTGTGTAGGACCCCTGCAGTGGGAGAAGGTCAGATTTATCCAGCAGAACTCTGTAACTCTGTCTGATCAATAACAGGTTATTTATTAGACAAGGTTCCTTAATGGTTTTTAAAAAAAAAAGGGACACCGGTGGTCGAGTTGTCTAAGCGCCCCCCGCCCCCCACCTGTTTAATTTCCTGTCCTGACCTCTAACACACGTCTTCTCCCAAACTCTACTCCACACATTTCCTGTCTCCTGTTTTATAAAGTAAAAATATATATATATATATCATATAAAATTTACTTAAAAACTTCTCAGTTTGGCCTAAAGAATAGTTTTCTATATTACTGTTCTTGTTCTTTTTCTCAACGTCTCACTTAAACCAGTGAGTATGAACTAAACTTCCACTGAATCATTTCTTTATAACTGGATGAGATTCTCGATTTATCACGTGTGTAAGATCGTCATTTATCCTTGTAGATGTCCTATAGATACGGTTTTCTAGATGTGTTTATGATGTATTTTAACTGCTGGGTTTACATCAAGTTACCAAACTATCTATAGACAGACAGACAGACAGACAGACAGACAGAAGTCAGTTCATTAGAACAGTGAAGAGATGAAACGTTCTCTCTGTGTTCATGTCACCGTCTCACTGCTCAAGTTCACTCGTTCAGAACGGAGTATTCAGAGATTTGAGGGGGTTTCTTCTGCAGCAGAATGATTTTCCCTGATTTCTGATACTAAATATGACGACGGAGTGTTTGGAGCAGAGACAGAAACTGCGAATGGAAATCCTGAATATGGGAACAGTAGAAAATACGACAAGGAAGAATAAAATCACTACAAAATAAAGTAAATAAACTGGAAATGGAAACCTCAAAAAAACTGACAAAACAGTTCATTTCCTGGTTATTACCTGGAGAGTATAAATAAGGTTCTAACTCAATAATATATGTGTAATATGTCTGTGTATTAAAACCAGAAATGATCAGAGAGTGACACAAAGAGAGTCAGATTTTTGTCATTTTAGATTTTTCACATTGAGGGTCGAGGTCTAAAAAAGTGAAGGACAGTCTGCTCTGAGGGTTTCTTTGTATTCCTGCTCACTGCTGCTGAAAATTCACCTTTTTCTAGTAGAAATGGTTTAACTCTCAGATGTCAGAGATAGATGTTGAAGGTTCAGATTTCAGTGGAGATGTTTTTTTGCTCCTGGTTGAGTCGTTTCCTCCCTGCCTGCAGACTTTGGCGTACGGAGACATGAACCACGAGTGGATCGGGAACGAGTGGCTGCCCAGCTTGGGTCTGCCTCAGTACCGCTCCTACTTCATGGAGTCCCTGGTGGACGCCCGCATGCTGGACCACCTCACCAAGAAGGACCTCAGGGGGCAGCTGAAGATGGTGGACAGTTTCCACAGGTAAATGCTGCGAGGACAGGAACCTGAAACTCTCTCTGAACACGATCAGGAGCAGCAGAGGGTCTGATAATCGATTCATGTCTGTGTGTTTGTGAAACAGGAACAGCTTCCAGTGTGGAGTGATGTGTCTGCGGAGGCTGAACTACGACAGGAAGGAGCTGGAGAGGAGGAGAGAGGCGTCTCAGGTGGAGCTAACAGGTGAGAGAAAACAGGTCATCATTGAAAGAAGTTCTTCCTCTGGTCTGATGAGACTCACAGACGTCATTTTGTCGTCGCAGAGGTCCTGGTGTGGACGAACGAGCGCGTGATCAGCTGGGTTCAGGCCATCGGGCTGAAGGAGTACAGCGCAAACCTTTACGAGAGCGGAGTGCACGGAGCTCTCTTCGCTTTAGATGAAACCTTCGACCACAACACGCTGGCCCTCCTGCTGCAGATCCCCACCCAGAACACTCAGGTGAGCACGACCGACACACTGAAGAGTCTTCTGCTCACATCAGATATCGAAACTCGTGATCGTCTTCTTTGACAAACCCTCGTCTGCTCAGGAGGACCGTTTGGACTCATGATGAGTCCTGGAAGTTCTCCTCTGTGGTTCAGTAACAGTCTGTTCTTGTTTCTCTCCTCTAGGCCCGAGCAACTCTAGAGCGTGAATACAACAGTCTGCTGGCCCTCGGCACAGACCGGAGGATGGAGGAGGTGACAAAAACACACACACACACTCACAGACACTCAAACACACACGGAGAAGTAAACCAACACTCCTCCGATCTTTCCTCCAGGACGACGATAAGAACTTCCGGCGAGCGCCCTCATGGAGGAAGAAGTTCAGGCCCAAAGACATGAGGGGGATGCCGCTGGGCGCGTCCGACACCCTGCCCGCCAACTTCAGAGTGACCAGCAGCAGCGCAGCTTCGTCTCCCTCCACGCAGCCAAAGAGGAGCCCGATGGACGGTAAGCAGGAGAGAGACGGAGACGTGAGCATGAGTGTGTTAGCGCCTGATCGGCTCTGATCTGATGACGACGGCTCTCTGAAACGGCCCAGACTCTGAGTTTACACCTGATATCAACATGGATCCTCAGATTCAACGTTACTGACCAGACCTGACTCTCCTGCTGCAGGCTGGATCATCAGTTCATGATCGCAGACATATTGATCCGTGTTAGATTTACGTATCACACTGGGATGTTTCCCTGGACTATAATCTCGATGTGATGTGATACATTCGGGTGAAACCGTCATGCTCCTGCACGTGTGTGAGGAGCCGTACCGTGCTGAGGTCCACCTCCTCTAACCGTGTCAGGGTTCAAGAAGCGTACCGTGGATTTACACTGCCCAATAAAGACTTTAGTCAAGTCAAGTTTATTTGTATAGCACATTTCAGCAGCAGGGCAATTCAAGGTGCTTTACATGAAACAAGCAGGCAAAACATTCAACACAATTTAAAAAGTAAAAACAGCGTAAAAGACATTTAACAGATTAAAAGTTACATTCAAAGCTAAAGTAAGATTGGAGAGATAGGAAAAAAAGATCAAGACAGGCAGATGATGAAGATGTTGATTAGGGGTCATTACAGGTCAGACCAGAGTGTCAGAGTACAGTATTGCCTAATCCTGTGTTGAGATGGGTGCAGCTCATCGATGTGATGATGCATCGTGATGCTTCATGTAGTGATTTGGCATCGATTAATTAACGTTGATGATTAAAATAAATAAATAGATAATCATGTCGATGCTTTACCACTAGGCCGAAACAATAAAACACATAACAGAGCAGCAGAGCGGCAGATTCTCTCGCCACCGGGGACAAACTGACTGAAACCATGTGGAATTTTATGAGCGAGCGAACAAGACGACTGACAAGACCTACGCGATTTAAAATAAAGTACCTCAGCAACAACACCACAAACATGAGGCAGCACCCTGACCGCTCTTTCCCCCAAACAGAGAAGGCTCCTGCAGTCGTGTCGCCACACAGAGGACCATTCTGGAGACTGTCAAATGTTCAAAAAACCTTATCATTTACTTATTGAGTGTAGTTTTAGAGGAATTGAGTTAATTGATCAGCTATTTATTTACAAATGTAACCACAGATGAAGACTTCTTGTTAGGGAAAAAAAACATTTAAAAATGGAAATAATCGACGAATTTTGGCACCAATAATCGAATCGATAATCATTATAATCTGAGAATCGAAGCTCCCATAATCGAATCGGATCATGAGGTATCCTTGTTGGAACACCCTTAGTCCTAAGCGTGGTCATATTCCCGCCTCCCTCTCAGGACGGACAGGGAAGACTTGACACTGTGAGGGTAATTTGTGAACAAGCAGCTTTGGAGCTTCATGAAGAAGATCGAGCTTCTCAGTGTGGACACAAAAATAGATCCTCAGAGTCCTTCAGTGTTCAGCGGTGATCTGGTCATGTGCGTGTTGATATCAGGAGTAAACAGCCCCTCCCCCTCTGTTCTTCTTGAATGGCTTTGCTGCTCTGCTGTTGACCGTGATGCTGCTGTGACTAATGGCATGTCTCTGCATGTGATTTTTGCCAACATGGACACACAGGAAGTCAGTCTATACAGAGGCTGGACACTGCCACAGTCAGGACCTACTCTTGTTAACACACAACGGTAAGTTCACACACACACTCAGAGGAACACACACACACACACAGGCACGTCCACAGCTGACTGTTCGGCCTCGACCTCACTGCAGCTTCTCGTTCTCCAGTTCTCAGCTTTAATAACGCACGTTGCTTCTCCTCTCTTCTCTCTCTCTCTCTCGACCCATCCCTCGCTTCTATCCTGTCTGGTCATCCCTCTCTCTCTCTTTCTCTCTCTCCTCCTCCTTCTCAGTTTATCCTCATTATTTCTATAGGTAACCGCTGGTCTGAGGACGAGGGGGAGTTCCCTGCCTTCAAGACCAGGATGATGAACTGAAACGACTTTAAAGACACTAAAAAGATGTTTGTTGTTTTTCTCGTCGTCACCACAGAGAAAGAGAGAGAGAGAGAGAGAGAGACCGTACTCACCAATCTCAGTATCCCTAGAGGAACTTTCTAGATTTATCTACAGTTATTATATTTATGTAAACCAATGGGACGTTTTAATTGATTTTTAGAATAACTATGTAATCCTTTTTTTCTCCTTTAATCGATCCACTTTTTAATAAAAGAAACATTTCTCCACTGTGCCCGTATTAAGCTGAGCTCTCAGATGTATGTAACTGAATGTTTCCGAGGTCTGGAGTTTGTATATTTCTACCAACAGACATTTTATCTAATCTTTTTTATAATCCTGATTCTATTGACCAGATGTATGTTTTTGTTTTCTCTCTTTTATTTGATTTGAAATCTAATCTTTGGATTTATGCTTAAGTGACTTTGATATGTGATCATTCATATCTCTGCCCTTTTTAACGGTTGTACGTTTTTGTAGTTTCTTTCCTGTGATTTTGTGTAAATGCAGCTCCTAGGTCAACATTTATGTGAATTTCAGACAAACATTGCTGGACTGTTTCACAAACTTCTCGACACTGTGAGTCACCGAACCGCCCGTGAGATACCTGCTGGCGAGCCGGGCGACGGTGACGACAGATTTTCACGTGAAACCCGCACGTTCTCTTCTTTTCTCGTCTTTAATTTTCATATCTACGAAACCAAAACGAAACTCTTGAATTTTAAGAATTAAAGCCATATCTCAGTAGCGAAACAAAAACGAATCAGAGGGCTTCTTCTTCTCCTGGATGCAAGCGGAAACAGGATCGGAGGAAATCTCTCTAGTTGACCTTGCATGCGGAAACTTCTCCACATATCCCAGCCTGACCACGACCCTTTGACCCTTCGAACCAACCTTCCTCACCTCTGGAGGGACGCGCAGACGGCTCGCCTGTACAGGAGGACTGGAACCGTACAGACGAGTCCGACGTGCGGACGCTCCTTCGATGGACCAACTTCACTGAGGCCTCAGCTGATCCCCGCTGTGACCGGAGGCGGCGCGGGCGATCCACCCAGCAACCTTTTTTAAAAACACTTTGTACGAAGATTTCATATCAAGCCTTATTGTTTCTTAATCTTCTCTGTCGTCTGTTCTTATTTATTATCACTCATCCACCTTGTGTTTTTGTCACTCGTACCTTCATAGCTGAAGCTCCGGTTTGCTCCTATGAATGTAGCAAAGCTCCACCTCTAAGTTTGTCCTGAAACTCCGGTTCCTCACTCAGTTTTTCTACAGAGAAAGCGAAGGAACTGAAGATTTTCTCTCCTCCCTTTTATGTAGTCAAAACTTAACGTAGAGACGCTTCTTTCTGTTTGTGATTTAGTCATTTATGCACAATGCAAATCATGTTGCTGTCGTTTTATTCCTGCTCTTCCCAATGAATCCTCTGATCTTGTAACAATGATGTACAGTCTGAGTACTTATAAACTATTTTTATCACAATATTATTTATTGCTTACTTTCAATAAAATACTGAAACGTATTTTCCACGGCAGATACAGAGACTGCAGCTTGTCTTTTCACGGTCCTGCTTTTGGTTCAAGAAAAACGGAGTAAAGAAAACCGACTGAAGTCCTCAGAGAGTGTGTCTGCGTGGATTTTGTCATGATGATGATTATTATTTTTTTTATTTAAATTGGCGCTCAACCAGGACATAACTGAATTATTTTCAGTTTTCATGTTGCAGCTTTGAGGATGCACTGATTATTTTCTTCTGAGGAATTTTAGTGGACAAAACAGCATATTGGGACTAAAATCTCCATATAAATCTTTACAGAGGACAAATATGTTGAGTGACTTTGAAGTGGATCATATATTGAGAGCATTTTATGTAGAATATATTCTAAGGAGGCTGTTTTTCTTCAGCCTTGAACCCCCTCAAAAAAGGTTTTAGACATTTAAAATGACAGTATATTTATGATATCATAAAAAAGAATCGATATAATTTTCATTCCAGTCTTTAAATGTCACAAAACTCACAGGAGCTTGAAATTATATTATATCATTACAAAAAAAAAAAAAGATGTGCAACTTAATCAACCGGTGTGAATTTTTTTAAGTGTCAATAAATTAAAGAAAATATTAATTTGTATTCACACAGAAATTTACATATTAATAGATTAAGTACCCATGTGATTGTGGCTTTACGACTGAAATAATGATTCACAAATGATATTTAAAAAAATATGAATATTCAATATAAAGAAAAAAAATCTTCAAATTGAGATATTTTACAATATAAAATAACGACTCATTTTATGAAAAAATGTACAAAAACATAAAAATAAAAATCCCAAAATAATAAGTTATTTGCTGTTTTGTGTCTGATAATGCACTTCAAAATTCTTATAAAACATTTTATTTTAAACAGAATCTTGACTCAGATGGAAAAACAAGAGAGTCAAACGTTTAAATAAATCCTCAGGGGCTGAACCGTGGCCCTGATGGTCAACCGTACAAACATTTAATGACCTCTAAAATGATGACTTAATAAAATAAATTTAATAAATATATATATTTTTGTTTGAAATTTGGGATAAAGGATTGTATTTATGTCTCTCAAAGTCTGATTTTGATGCAAAAAAAATCAGATGGCACTGATTGACTTCCATATAAATACACTTTAAATTTAGAGGAAAATCATAAATCGTTTTGAATATAACGTTTATCCAACGGATGAAACACGTAAACCCCGCCCCCTCCGCGACGTCACATTCGGCAGAGTTCGGGATTCTGGGAGAGCCGGAAGAGTGTGAGCGAGCGCGAGCCAGAGCAGATCCCAGAGAGAGAGAGAGAGAGAGAGGGACCATCATCATCAGGAGAGACCGGAGCAGGATTTTATCACCTGGAGAGATTAATCTGGACTTTACCTGTCGAAGGAGGTGAGTTCAGACACCTGAGAGGAGGACGTTAACGTGTCTACCTGTGCTCTTCTCTCACCGGGGCGCGCGCCGTGTCAGTGAAGGTGTGTGTTAGCATTAGCATGGAGCTAACTGGAAAACTGGAGCAGGAAATACCAGAGGAAGAGTCAGCGCAGATCTGATTTTAGGGGCTAAATTTAGAGTTTTTAACGGTTTTATCACAGAAAAAAAGACTCTAGTGTGAAAATATTCTGATAAATGAGGATTAAATCCCGTTTTTACAGCCTGTCTGTCCGTCATTAACACGGAGTTCAGTCTGTTTCTCTGAGGTCGTTAATTAACTAAAGACTTAATTACAAAAACACACAAACAGGATCAGATAAACAAACTAACACGACCTACTTTATTTAAAACTAACTAACCCACATTTACTGAAGCTAGCTTCACGGTTAACAGGCGAACTCTGACCGTTTGACGTTAAATGACGTTTACACGTTAAAATGACGTTTTTATCCGGACATTTTGACTCTTAAATCTCCTTTTGAATCAGATTTTCTCCCCCGATCACAAACAGAAACACTCAGATGTGCTGATGTGGATGTTAGCAGCAGCTGAAGGGTGTGGTTATGATTCTGTTAGGGGATATTTTACTGACTTTAACAGACTCAGAGTTCAGACCTGACTTTAACTTCCTGGTCTGTGGAGGTCTTCTTCAGTCTCTGGAGGTCTTCCTCAGTCTCTGGATGTCTTCTTCAGTTAGTGTGTCCCCCCGCCCCGGAGGTGGAGGATCTGGGTCTCCTTCAGGCTCAGATTGAACCCAGATGCTGGTGCCCACATAGTGCTGAGTCAGGGATCAGGTTTAGTACAGAAAGTGTTTGTTCCTCCTGAATGTTAATGAAGACCACAAACACAAAGACTGACTTTTAACACAAAGACTGACTTTTAACACATCAGTCTGGATTTAGATCTGAAGCCTCAGGATTTTAAAGCTGGATCTGAAAACAGGGAATCAGTTTTAAAATGGACACACACATTTTTTAAAGTCTTTATAGAGACATCATCTCTTACACACCTCTGTCTTCAGGTGCATCTGACTACATCAGTATATCAAATCAATCAATCAAATTTTATTTATAAAGCGCCAAATCACAACAGTCATCATCCCAAGACGCTTTTCAAAGAACAAGAGCAGGTCTAGACCACGCTCATCGTTTGATGGGACAGATTTAACCTCATCTAACATGAGTGACAGTGGCGAGGTAAGACTTCCTTTTAACAGCAAGTATATCACGGAGAAGGCAAATTTCTCAAGGATATTAGTTTAATTATTTTTCCCATTTCAGAAGCAACAAGTCGGTTTAAAGTGCATCAAACAAGACAGTAAGAGATTCATTACAAAGTCATGGATAAACATACTGGGTGAAAATGTTTTGACTCATGAAAAGGTGACATTTTAAAAATGAACTAAAAACAGAAAAAGGGTTGAAATGTGTTGTAGAGTTTTAAAATAATAGTATTTAGGTAACAGTACAGAATTGTATGAAAATAAAGATAAACTTTAAAGTAATGTTATGTAATTCAAAGCAGCTTTTTAGCTTTAATTTGGATGATTTTGGCTTTTATCAGAATCAGAAATACTTTAATAATCCTCAGGGGGAAAGTGCTTTTTGTTTTCCAGTAACTCCAGTGCAAATAAAGTCGAAAGAGGAGATAAATAATAGATAAAATAAGTAAAAGAAATACATAATATACAAGTATATACACTAAATACAACACAAAATAGTAAAATATTTTATATAGTAGTAAAAGATAGTAAAATATCTTATGGAAATAACAAATCTAATTTCTCAGATTTCTCAAATATCCCCAAAGATCGATCATAAATAAGATAAAAAATAAAGAAGGTCCAACTTCTGAGAGACCGATAAATTAATTTGATAATAAACATTTTGAAGTGACCACAGTCAGCTGATGATGCCTTCATGTGAAACTGATTTTGAGCTGATCCTTGAATCAGAATATAGATCCTGTAGTTTATTTTTATTTATCTGATTGATTACAAACGTCTGAACTGAAACCAGGAAGTTGATTTTGACAACATTCTACTGATCCGACACCAAAGGAGGCCGATTATGATAAATTAATTATTCAAGTTAAACAGATTTTTGTATTTTATTAAGTGTTAGAGCCTTTAGTGACCTGATATCCTGGTATTATTGATCATCCCAGCCGACCTGCCCTGGAGTTATCGACCTTTAGCATCGGCTGTTTAAAAACAGATATCAGCCGACCGCTGATCTAGGAGCTGTTTGACTGTCGATTACCGCATCAATGTGGCGTGGCGTGGTGGCGACCGACCCGCCGCTCTGCTGAGGGTGCTCTGATTGCGGTCCTGTACTTTTGGGTCGGCTGTTTCTCATCTTCCTCGAGTTTTGGCGCCGTGGGCAGGTGTCAGGTCCTGCTGGAGAAGTAAATCTGTATTTTTTAGATGCTCATGGATTTGTTGCAGAAAAAAATGAGGATAATAAATGCTCAGAGGATAAAAGTATCAGACTCCGACTGTGTGCTATCGTACTTTTATTTACTTCTGAAATAGTCGGTAAAACACTCAGGGTCAGTAAAACCAGGTGAAGATTTTCAGCTCCGTGTTTCCAAAGACTGCGCTCTCTTTCTTCAGAGGAACCGCCGTACCATGAAATGAGTTTTCTGAACACAGTGTTGTAAAAACTCCCTCTGTCAGCATGTATAATGTGTAAGTTTCGGTTTGTCCGTTTCTTTCAGTGTGAGTGTCTCTAAAAATGTGGAAGGCAGCAGCTGGACAGTCCGTCAACGTGGCTGTGAATGACGAGGGGGACGACTGGGAGACCGACCCCGACTTTGAGGTACTGATGCTGCTGCTTCCTCTTCGTCTTTTCTCTCTTTTCTCACAGACTCTGTACGTGTAACCTCTTTGTCTTGATTTCCAGAATGATCTGTCAGAGAAGGAGCAGCGCTGGGGGGCCAAGACGGTGTCCGGCTCCGGACATCAGGGCCACATAGAGTGAGGAGGATTATTCTCTTTAACCAGGTGACAAAAATTCTCTGTCTGAATCTGAATCCTCTAACTCTGTCTCTTCTCGGCGTAGTATCCACCATCTGCGTGAGACGGTGTCGACAGAGCACACCAGCCTGAAGCAGAAGGAGCTGGAGACCATGCCCAAAGCTTCACACGGGTACGGGGGCAAGTTTGGAGTCCAGCAGGACCGCATGGACAAGGTGAGAGACGGCGTTTGTGGGAACAGAGCGTCCAAACCGCTCTCTCCTTAGTTTCTGGGTCGATATTGTGTGCCGCCGTTTATCAGCACAGATCAGTGAAAGCCTCAAACACAAACCACAGATCAATCTCCACAATAACACGCTTTCTGTCCGTTTTCACGCTCTGCAGCTGTTTATTCACCCACTGAGAGTCTAACACCTTTTTTCTGTCAGGAAGTGTTGATGTTTTTTTTCGTGCAGCTGAAGTTAAATATAACTCGGCTCCTTCAATCCTGATTTCTCTTGAATTCAGAGTTTTTAGTTCTCTGGAGTCTCTCCTGTTCCCTGAAGTGTCAGCCTTAGTCTGAGTCAGTCTGGACCGTTTTCATGCTCCGTAATCTTTCCTGGCGAGCGCTTTTGTCCGTCCACACCTCTCTGTCTGCTGTGAGCGGTGCGGTCGCTGCAGCATGAATGTGATGACCTGGCGCTGTTTACACCACAGAGTGTGTCTGTGATGATGATGAGTCAGGTGAACGGGTCCCTCCATCACCTCTTTCCCCCTCAGTGGGTCCTGTACTGCTGTTTTCATGCCCTCATTCGTGTGTGTGTGTGTGTGTGTGTGTTTCTTGATAGTCTGCTGTGGGTCACGACTACCAGAGCAAGTTGTCCAAACACTGCTCCCAGACCGACACGTCAAAGGGGTTTGGAGGGAAGTACGGAGTCCAGGCCGACCGCGTGGACAAGGTACTGATCCGGGTTCGACTGTCCGGCTGTATTAATGATGAGTTTGCCAGGATGTTGTTGTCGCACTGATCCAAATGACCATGCACTGAAACATAAGTGAATGTAATAAAGCTAATCTACTGAGTTTAATTATGATCAAGGCTGTGAGATAAGTTTGATCAGCAGCCTGTAATAACAGGTCAGTGATTGACGGGATCAGATCCTAAAGGTTTAGAGTGAAGTTGGTCTCAAAAGAAAAACTTGGGACCTGATTTTATAATATGATTTTTATTTATTTTATTATCAAATCAAGACAGAAAAAAAACGTCTGAAAACATTCCTGGTTGCTGTCGTGGGATTTCAGCAAACTCTCCTGATTTTACTTTGACTTTTGAAAAGTATCTGATTTTAAAATGACGTGAAAACTTGAATCCATGAGCAGCATGAGTTTAAGAAGACGAGTGTCCTCTGTTTTTAGGCTGGAGTCAGTTCTTCCAGTCCTCTCTCAAACTGAAGTTCTCAAACCAAACCATCCAAAATATAACCCCCTGATTAATGAATTTCAAAGTAAAGTTAATAGTTTTGTCAATGAGGTTTGGTGCTGGTAAAAAAAAAAAAAGAAGACTCTTTAATTTTGACATAAAGGAGTCCTTCCTACAGTGTAGACATGTGCAAAATGAATCTGTAGACATGAGTGAAAAAGACAAGGATGTTCCTAAAGGGGGTAGCAGGTCTCAGAGGAGTTTACTGCAGCCATTAAAGTCCGTTTCTGCAAAAGCAGCTGACAGGAGCGGTTCAAAATAAGTTTGTTTCAGCTTAAAAAATGACCCGGTCCAAGAAATGTCAGAAATGCACATGTCGGTGTAAATGTCAGTGTAAGAATCTCTGTTTCTTCTTCCTCTCTGATTCCAGGCAGCTGTGGGGTTCGACTACGCGGGGAAGACGGAGAAACACGCTTCACAGAAAGGTGACGTCATTAAACTTCCTGTCAGTTCAGATTATACCTGTAGTGTAGTTTTTATAAATCTGAATAAAACACTCCAGCTCTCAGGATTCAGATGTATAATCCAGACTTTATCTCACAGGCTTCTATCAGCTGATAAGTTTTATTATTGAGGCTGTAAACTCCTCAGATTATCTACAGGAGGGTTTGGCCGTCGGCCCGCTGCAGCAGCGCGCTCACTCCTGTCGTTCAGCTGATCTCTGCTCCGTCAGGGTCACACAGATACAGACACACACCATGTTAACGTGTTTCTGCTGTTTGTGTTTGTGTCCCGGCACATTGTGAGTCACATTAAAACGGTACGTTTCCACTTAGAGGTCTGGTTTGGTTCTGCAGACTTTCTTCTATCCTTGGTGGTTCACACAGGAAGCATGTTGACAACTCCATATTTGGCGAACATGGTAACAGGTTAGACTAGGGTGACCATACGTCCTCTTTTACTCCGACATGTCCTCTTTTTTGGGGCTGTCCGGCTGTTTTTTTACGGAAGTGTTGATTTTGTGTCACTGATACTTACAGAAGTGCGTAAAAGACACTAAATCCGACCCGAAAAACTCAAAATTAACTCTGTGCAATTCCGTGATTCCGCCCCCGCGTAGTCGTGTCCTCTTTTTGGGAAGTCAGAATATGGTCACCCAAGGTTAGACCCGTTTTTAGACGCACATCTCACCTGATTTTCTCGTGTAAAGCTGCACAAAAATGTAAATTGTGTGTTTCATCGTGTGTTTCTGTAACAACAAAGTTCATAATATCCAGAGTATGAAAAACTGACTGAAAGCTTTTCAAATTAAAAGCCTGTTTTCACTCAATGCTTTTATTCTGGAGGTGTGTTTAACACAGTTATTCGCTGAACCGTCCCTAACCAGAACTCTTGGAGGAAAGGCGCCATATTTAACCCGGTTCTGTTGTTGTTGGTTTTATTCTCCAGCACATTAGACCTGTCTGTGGTCGCTGGTCTGACTCTGAATCTGTTTGAGTTTAACTTTAAAGAAACACCAAACCTGAGAGCGTTAACTCCTTAAACTGACTCTGCAGACGTGACTCACATGTGACCGCGGCGCTCTGGAGTCCAGTCCAGCTTCTTAGCTTTGAGCTTTGTTAGTCTGCTTACTCTCATCTTCTTTATTTTGCTTCCATCCGTCTGAAGAAGAGACGAACATTTTCGCCCAATTCCACTCAGTGTTCAGAAATATTCAGACGTCTTTAAAACCCGGAGCTCTGACTCTGACGCAGATTTTCATTAAAGTTCAGGTTTTTGGAAGATTTGGAATTGGGCTTCTCCTTGACCACTGCTTACCATGCTGCTTCACCCTGACCTTTGACCCTTACCACCCCCCCCCTGCTTTGCTGTGTAGACTATGCCACTGGGTTTGGGGGTCGATACGGCGTGCAGGCAGATCGTGTCGACCAGAGCGCCGTGGGCTTCGATTACCAGGGCAAAACTGAGAAACACGATTCCCAGAAAGGTTTGTCCAGAATCCCGGAGAGTGAAGGGAAACACACACTCTCACACACACACACACACACACACACACACACACACTCACACACACACACACACACACACACACACAGAGTAAAAATCATGTTGTTTTGCATTTCTTCCTCTTCCTCCATTCCTCAGTGTCTGCTGCTGCGAACAAAGCCTTTATTTTCTCTCAGTTGCGTGCATGACGGGACGATTTCTCTCAGTTTTCTCTGGAGTGTGTTAAACTTCAGATGACACAGTTCACAGACAGTCCACCTCAGAGGACTTAAAGAGCTTCAGAGACCCTCCCTCAGTAGGTAGACGCCCCCGTTCTGGGTTTCTGCTGCTCCCGTCTCGTCTCAGGTTACAGATGTGCCAGCTGCTCTGTGGTTTCAGTCCGGCCCGGCTGGTTCTCTCAGGAGAGTGGGCTGGTTTAAACATCCTCTGAAAAGCTCTTTGTTGTTGTGATGAAGGTCTCAGTTTCCTCCAGTTTAGTGTAACTTCTAATCTGCTCAGAAGAACGTCTCTGCTGACACGGTGAACTCTCAGTTTGTTTTATATTTACAGCGATAAAAAGGATGATTTCCTCACCGTCTAAAGACACAAACAGGAAGACAGATAAAGTTTAAAGTGTTTTGGTCAGACTCACTCGGCTCCTCCTCCTCTTCCTGTCCTAACCTCTGCTCCTCTCCTCTCCTCCTGTCCGCTCGGCTGCAGATTATGCCAAAGGTTTCGGAGGAAAGTTTGGTGTGGAGACCGACAAGGTGGACAAGAGCGCCGTGGGCTTTGAGTACCAGGGCAAGACTGAACGCCACGAGTCACAGAAAGGTTGGTATGAGACGAGACTGAAACTGCTGCGATGAAATGAGATTTTAAAGGAAGTTTTCTGCAGGTTTTCACTGAGAATGAGATCCTTAAACTTTCTCTCTGTTTCACCTCAAACAACAATTTTCCTTTAAACACGTTGAAAAGGACGTCACTGATGTTTATCCTCATCACATCGATGTCGATCTGGAAAGTTTTCACACTTCACTGCAGATTCAGAGGTTTTATCTTGATCAGCTGTTAGTCGAACATGTTTGAAGAGGAAAACTCAGACAGGAAGTCAAACCTGAAAACTTCTAAAACAAAAGACTGAAAATCAGACCTTCAGACGTGTTTCCTGAGATCTTCCACAGCTGTTGTCACTCATGGCAGAACTGCACAGTTTTGTTGATAGTTAATAAAACACAGAGTTGTTGGTGGATGTTGTTGTTTAGGTTTATGTCTAAAGCGTTTAAATATAGTGTCAGATCCAACACTGCAAAAAAAGAACAAAAAAATATCCTGGGAGTCACAGGAGGCTCCACGATTCGATATTATTGAGATTTTAAACATTTTTCGATACCAAATATGGAAATTTATACGATTTTTTAAAATGCTTATCTGATAAAGTATTTATCTTTCGGTTATTTTTGTCCTTTTTATGCAGTGTTTTATCGTCATGTTGCACTTGTTGCAAACCTCAGGTCCGTCTCATTTGCTTGCGTTCCTAACGTCCCTCCCCAGGTAATGCCGCCATGTTCCTCTATGACGTCACCTTTGCTGACCTCACTGGACAAACAAGCGATTTTATTTTTCCATTTCCATAGACCTGAGTTCTTATTTGTTATTGATTTTCAAAAATCGATACTCTGTGTGTGAGACGATACGATATATCACCAGACAAATATCACGATAATTTACTGTATTTATTAGTTTCTCCCGCCCCTACCTGTGAGACGTAAAACGAGTCAAACAACAACCACCTTAAAAATCAGAAATGAATCGACTTCTAAGATGTTACAAGAAATAAATGACCTGAATATCTTTGAATACCCCCCACCCCCTCCCATGGACAGGTCTTTGGACTCTTTTTCTTGAAATGAGACGTTAATATGGACGAGACAGATGACTCTGGTTTATAATGAGTGTAATTCAGTGTTTTTATTTAAACTAAGACTGTGACTGTGATTGGTCAGTAAAAGCCGACACTGATCAGACTTAATGTTTTAGTTTTGTTCTATTTTTAAACATTTTCTCTGATCCTGCAGAATCAAACAGCTCCTTATTAAGACTGAACAGATCCAGGTCGTGTCGTGTGTCGTTGTTTTCCTTCTCTCTTTTTCTCATCAGCGAGTTTTCGTGTCTTCAGGAAGCCAGAATAAGCCCCGCCCCTTCCCCCTCATGTCTGAACTGTTCACCTGTTAGATTCCTGACATAGACTCTGACACACCTGTACAGACTTGAACTGCAGCTCAAAGATACACACATGGAGATTATTTCCCCACAATGCACTGGGCTCAGTTTGCATATGTGTTCCAGACTGATAAGTGGGTCACATGATCTGATAACGAGGATCGTCGTCAGGGCGTCATGTCTCACACTCCTTGTCCTCGCCGTGTGTCTCTGTGTTTGCAGACTATGTGAAGGGCTTTGGAGGGAAGTTTGGCGTGCAGACGGACCGACAGGATAAATCAGCGCTCGGGTGGGACCACCAGGAGAAACTGCAGCTCCATGAATCCCAGAAAGGTAAAGATGGAGATGATCTTTGTCCTGATTTACAGGTACAGAGGAGATACTCACACCTGGACACGTCACATCCTCCATCTGCAGCCAAACCTGAACAAAAGTTCAACTCTGAACCAACAGAAGTCTTCGATCAGACAGGAGAGGAATCACGATCCAGCAGCAGGTCCTGTTTTCTTAAATCACAGCGCGTCTGAACTGTGAAACCTCACTTCCTGTTCAGCTCTGAATGGCGGTTTCATGGCGGCCTCAGATGTGGTTAGTTTTACGGTTGATGACTTCCTCAGTCTGTGGGTGAAAAACCCAGAAAGAGGAAGTGAAACCACAGCTGAGAGTCGAAGCTGCATGTGGGTTTTCTGTTTAGATCAGCTGAGAATAAGAGTTTAAGAACAACTTTAAATAAGCCGTTATTGTGGGTGTTTACACAGATAAACCTGTTGTCCACACTCACAGGTGTCTGTAGTTTCATTGAGGGTCCAGGTGAGCTCATGAGGAAGACCGGGACCTGGTCTTCATCATCATCACAGGATTAAATAACCAGTGACAGATTTCCCTCTTTAATCCAACGACGTGTTTTTAATCTGTCTGCTGTTTCAGCGAGTCGACATGTCTGTCTTTATGTTTATACATGTGTGTTTGTTTGTTGTCTGTCCAAACGTGTGTGTGTTTCTGTGTGTGTGTTTCTGTGTGTGTGTGTGTGTGTGTTGTGTTGCAGACTATAAGCGTGGGTTTGGAGGGCAGTATGGGGTAGAGGTGGAGAGGCAGGACCAGTGTGCCCTGGGCTATGAGCACAAGGAGAGCCTGGCCAAGCACGAGTCCCAGAAAGGCACAGAAACCCCCCAGATACACCCCCCACCCACCCACCCTCCACCTTCCTCCACCTCCATCCCCACCCCACCCGGCTGCTCTCAGCTTGAACTCATCTGTCCTTTACACCCTCCTCCTCCTGTTTCCTTTAGTTTTTCATAAATCACGTTCACATGAGCAAAATTTCTTGATCCGATTAAAAATTCGAGGGATCAGAAAATCTGAATCCACGGTTTATACGGGCGCAAAGTCAAATAATCCGATCATGACATGTGTTTACATGCACCGAGTTTTATTCAGATTAGAAATATTTGGACATGTTGGACAGAGTGTCTGATTTCACTAAAATAACCACAGAAGAAGAAGAAGAAGAAGAAAAGTTGTACTGACGCCTCTTCTGTCAACAAACCAACAAACACAAGGGTTGTTCACTTCATCTGATTCAGGAGTTTTCCTTCTGTTAAATGTTGTCACTAGATGGCGCCCTTGCGTTCTTTCGTTACTGTTCTGTCAAAGGTTGTACTGTGCGTGTAGATGTGACATCATTACGCCGTCGAGCAGACATGACACCTGCAGTCAGAGTGTTGATAATAAACCTCCTGAACTGACCTCGGTTAATGAAGAGTGAAGATGGAGTCAGGTTAGAGAGTCACGATCGGAATAAGTGTTTACATGGACGAAGTTTCGGAATGAAGATCGGCATAAACCGCCCTCTCGATCGGAATACAGTTTCTTTACCTGTCCTGAATCGGATCAGAATCTTCCGATCGACGTGTTTACATGACGCTCTTTTATTCCGATTATTTGTGCCCGTGTAAACGCAGCTACAGACTGATGACCTCACTGATCACATGACCTCCACCTCTTCCTCCATCACACCCGTCCTCCGACCTTAACAGGGGAAACTTCACCACCACCTCGTTTTGATTTAAGGATCATAAAACCGTCAAACATTCGAGTCTGAATACAGAACTTTATTTAAAAAAACAAACACATGAACACCCACCTGCCCCGCCCCCCCATTAGCCCCGCCCCCTGCTGTTTGCGGCACGGCCCTGCTGCTCTCGCTCATTTTTTTGCATGTTGTCGTTCATGTTGGCGTCCTGCTGCTCCTCCTGCTGCTGCTGCTGCTGCGGTCACTCAGAGACACGGCTGATCAGCTGATCTTCGATGCAAAGATTGATCCAAGATGGCTGCCTGACCCCGAATGTCCGGCTTTTATCGTTTATCAGATCCTCCTCTCTCTCTCTCTCTCTCTCTCTCTCTCTCTCTCTCTCTCGCTCTCTCCTCTCTCTCTCTCTCTCGCTCTCTCTCTCCTCCCTCTCTCTCCTCTCTCTCTCTCTCTCTCTCTCTCTCTCTCTCTCTCTCTCTCTCTCTCTCTCTCTCTCTCTCTCTCTCTCTCTCTCTCTCTCTCTCTCTCTCTCTCTCTCTCTCTCTCTCTCTCTCTCTCTCTCTCTCTCTCTCTCTCTCTCTCTCTCTCTCTCTCTCTCTCTCTCTCTCTGGCTGCTTTATTCTGTTTGTTTTCTCTTCTTCACAGGTTTGCATGAACCCATCAGCCCGCCCCCCTGCTGTCCTCTGAAACACCGACCCCAGTCCGCTTCATCTGGACTCAGAACCCAGAGCAGGATCAGGTTTTAGAGGAGGACCTGCTCTGGGTTCTGAGTCCTGATGGTGCAGACTGTGGTTGTCTTCGATCAAAAACAGAAACCTGATTTGTCGTCTCTCTCTTTTGTCTTCAGATTACTCTAAAGGGTTCGGAGGGAAGTTTGGGGTCCAGAACGACCGCATGGATAAGGTACTTAGAGTCTCTCTGGGTCTTAAAGTGGACTAAGTTGAGGTTTTGGATCTTCATCTTGGACTCGTTTGTCTCCACAGAGTGCAGGAACCTTTGAGGAGGTGGAGAAGCCGAGTCCATCGTACCAGAAGACCAAACCTGTGGAGGCTGGTGAGCATGACTCTGACCCTCGCCGTGTCCCCGTCCGATCCTCAAACTGTGTTTAAACTCTGACCTCTGACCTCCTCAGCCGGCAGCAGCACAGGAAGCATCAAAGCTCGCTTCGAGAACATCGCCAAGCAGAAGGAGGAGGAGGACAGGAAGAGGGCGGAGGAGGAGCGAGCGCGTCGACAGGCCCGAGAGAGGCAGGAGCAGGAGGAGCAGAGCCGGATCATCGAAGCCACACCCAAGGCTCCCTCTCCTGCTGCTCCTGCTGCTGCTCCTGCTGCTGTCAGCCCCACACCCAGTCCCACCCCGAGCCCGACTCCACCCGTCCAACCAGCTGCTGAGACGTCCCAGGTGAGTGACCGCGGCTCAGAGACACAGAGTCCTCTTAAACTGGACCGTCTGTCTCATATCTACTGTCTCTTCAGAAAACAGAGGAGCCGTATTACGACACCACGGTGGAGAACGGCGAGCAGCTGTACGAGGCGGAGCCTCAGACCCAGCAGGAGGAGCTCTACCAGAACCCGGAGGAGACCGTCGCAGCAGAAGGTGAGGACACTTCCTTTTTGTTTTCTCCTCCTTCCTGAGAGACAAGTAAGAGGAACCAGGACTGAAAGTGACGGGTTCACACTGGAGCCAGAAAACCAGCAGATCCTGGTTCTGCTTTCAGAGAGACGATCCGGATCAGTGACCGTCCTCAGAGCTCTGCTTTAGACGCAGGTTTGATCCACAGGTCGGACTCTTCTGCAGGTTTGTTGTTTCAGTGAATCAGCCGACTGTCGTTGTTGGAAGAGGAAGAACGGATCAGAACCTTCACAGCTGCCTGTAATGAAGAGGAGACAAACCCACATGTCCCCGTCCAGCACCGACTCACTGTTTTAACCTTCATCCTTCTGTTACAGCGGAGCAGCAGTACAACTATGGCGAGGACTTCGGGGTGACGGCGGTGGCGCTGTACGACTACCAAGCAGGTGAGACTCAGAAGAGATTTAACGGTTCATGAATCTTGAATTGAGCTGATCTGGTCCTGAAGTTTCACAACAACATCACAAAAATTCAGTGAAATTCTTTCATGTAACAGAAACATAACGACAAAAACAGATTGATGAGATTCTTCAGTTTTATATTGATCCTTTAGTCATTGATTAGAATTGAATTTAAAGTTTTATTGGCGCAGAGTTGACAGAGTTTCCTCTTGTTGACGTCTTTAACCCTCTCCTCACACCAAGAAACATTTTCTGAATCTTTTCTCTAAATATTTTAAAGTTTTGCTTGAAATGTTTGTGACCTTCTAAAAAACTCTTTTGCTCTCGCTCTCAATCTGTCGTTTCCTGTTTCAGCCGGCGACGACGAGATCTCCTTCGACCCCGATGACATCATCACCAACATCGAGATGATCGACGAAGGCTGGTGGCGAGGCGTCTGCAGAGGCGTCTACGGCCTGTTCCCCGCCAACTACGTGGAGGTCCGGCAATGAGGACGACCAAGAAAAAGAAAAAAGAGGACGACGATTTCATCCCTTCTTCCTTCTCCGTGTTCCGGTCTTTTCTCTCTTCGCCTCATCTTCGCTCTTCCACACTGTGAGACGTCTGCGGGTCTCTGCTGACTTTTCTTTTGCTCCTTTTTCATTCCTCCTTCCCCCCTCGACTCCTAAAGTTTCTCTCTGTGCAGCAGAAAGAGAAGAAAAGTTCCTCTAAAGTTAATAATAAATATTCAGAGAAAATGTAAAACTTATTATCGCAAAGCTTCGTCACAGAAAGCCTCAAAATGCAGCTCCGACCTGAAGGTGCATCTTGGAGCTTTTTATTTTTGTAGGTAGAGTATAAAGAGTCCGATCAGGTGTTTCTTCTTCTTCACACACATTAGAGGAGACTTTAGTCTCACCAAAGACCAGAGGAGCCTCAGTGGAGAGTCAGGGCGCTCTCAGAATAAAGAGGAAAACCGAGTTTACTGTCCAGGACATCCAGAGAGGACCAAACACTCAGATCAATCCTTAATTCTCCTTCGCCACACAATCACGTCCTGATCATGTCGGAGGGAAACTTTCTCCTATTTTAAAGATTAAAAAAAGTGTGTCCTCCTTCTCTAAACGATGCTTAAACTGTTCACAGAGTGTCCAGAGGGGCGGCGATGTTTCCGAGTTTAGATCAGGAACACTTCAGCTCATGGTGTCTCTTCTTTAATCATCTCCAGATGTTCACAGATCAGGATTCACGGCGCTTTGAGGACATATTTTTGTTCCTGTGCTCGTCTTTGTCTTCGTGTCTCGCTGCGAGTTTTTGTGTCCTAAGGTGGGGGGGTGATAACAGCTGACATCTGTAGTGTGCGTTGACCTCGGAGTGAGTGACCTTTCAAAATAAGAGTGCTTATGACCGCCTGTAGAAGCATTTATCAGGCTGCTGTTAAGGGAAGAGGCTTCGGTGTTTTTTTTCCTTTAAACACTAATTATTATTTCTAACGGACCGCCGTGTCTGTGGATCGCAGTAGTGTAGCTCAAACAGGTGTGTGTGTGTGTGTGTGTTTGTGTGTGTGCGTGTGCGTGCGTGTGTGTGTGTGTGTGAGGGCTTCATTAAAATCATCTTTGGGGTTTTATAATAAAAAAAGTGACCTTTTCAGAAACATTATTTTTATCTGTACCTCTGTTTGCTTGAGTCACATCATTACCTGCTTGTTCTTTTTTTTTAGTTTCAATAAATAAACTATGAATTATAAAGACGACCGGCTGAATTCTTTTAGTCATTTAAACCAACTACGATTTTTTTCTTTTTTTTTTTTTACATGTTCATATTTTCATTTTTCTGATGCTACAGGATTTATCATGAGAAAGGTAAGTACAAAATTGCATTTCTGAGTATATCGCATTCAAATTGCTGTGAATCTCTGGCAGGTTCAGATTCAGTGAGATTTCCTATGTCACAACTCCAAGCTCCGCCCCCCAGATCCCGGCTCTCCAGGCCACACTTGGCGAGATAGAGAAGACAATCACAGAACAAGGGTGAGCGTCATTATAATATTAGCCTCCATCGTGTCCTCAGCGCTGTCTCTGCCCACAAGAAGCTCCTGGAAATTACACAGGTAACGTGATTTTGGCTAAAAACTTAACGATGTAAAGACCACTGAGAACACGAAGTAGTAAAAAAAATGATCGGGCTGGGACTGTAGGCTTTGCTAGCTTAATATGTAGAGTTGGGTTTAGCGTTGAATTTGATTTATAACTACAAAAAATGACATTGATTTTGTGTCTACAACGGGGTTGAAGTCTTTCGTGCCTTTTTTTTTTCATTTTCATTTTTTTTTTTGCAAATAGGGTAAATAAAAAAATGTGTAAATTTGATGAAATACATAAAAACAAGGAAATTTGATAGAGATCGCCAACAAATTAAGTTATTTTGAGAAAAGAAAATAAACAGTGCAAATATCCTGTAATGGGACTTAATAAAGCTAGAAATGTAAATTTAATATTGAGCATCCTTAATAAAGTAAAAAAGTACTAGACCTACAAAACAACAATTAAACCCTTATTTACATTATATTGGAGGTGTTTCACATTTATAAACTTCAGATATTGCCAAACATTATACGAACATTGTTGTTATTAAATGTTATATAAATTATAATGTCATGATATAATGGTATGCTTGAGAGCTTTGCCAGAGTACCGTACTGTGCACCAACCACACATAAGTGATTATTGCCCCCTACTGTTAATAACTGAAACTGCATTATATCTGCTTCAATTGAGTGAAGGTGAGATTTTAAATGTTTAGATAATGACACGTTACATTTAAAATTACTTTTTTTTTTAAACTAGAGACACAAAAAGAAGAAAAGGTAAGGTTGGGTGTTAAATTTAGATCGTTTTTTAATCCAGTTCAATACAGATTCATGATTCAAACACCTCTACAGTTGACAACAGTTGGCCACAGTGCAGCTCAATCAAACATATAAACATTAAATAAGAAAAAAGAAGACACTCATTTTCATTTCTCCTCTTTGTCACATTTTTTTACACGATGTAACAGTGAACAGGGTTTTTTTAATGTAATATTTCAGAAGTAAAATACCAAACAAGGTCATCTGTAAATTAATAACGCTTATTCAATAAGTTGCCATTTTGCTTGGGTAAAAGGTGGTTAAATTTAACTGAATTATAAAAATATGAATTCCTTGATCAATGTCTGTTCTATTAAGTCAAAATATTCACAAGACATGATGACAGAAAATGTCTGGAGTAAAAATAACTAAAGAAGGCAGAAAATGTAAAAAGGTTTAATTTAGTTCATCAATATTAATAATCTGAGGAAATTCTTAGAACATCTTTATGCTCTTTTGGTCCATGTTACAAAGAAAATATGAAATAGTAAGAAAAGAAAACTCATTTGTCCTGTTGTCATGAATCTTGTACTGTAGTTATTACACCATCAGAGGGCGCTGTTCCATCACCTGTTCAGCCCTCAGGTCCTTAAACTCCTATAAACACATGAATAAAAACTCCTCTAAACACAGGTCTAAACTGTCCTAAATGACTGATTTCTTCTTTGTGTGTTAATTCCAGCTGACTAAGAGCAGGGCTGTGAGTTTAGCCTTAAACTGACCTTAGATCAGCTACATTTATTCATTATTAACAGAGAGCAGGGCTGTGAGTTTAGCCTTAAACTGACCTTAGATCAGCTACATTTATTCATTATTAACAGAGAGAAGGGCTGTGAGTTCAGCAGTAAACTGACCTCAGATCAGCTGCATACTCTCTCTCTTTTTTCCATACATTTATTCATTATTATGTCATTCTCAATGTATTTCCACGCTGGGCTGCAATGACGTCGCTGGTGGGAAGTCCATCATTAAGTTATGGAGCATCAGAGCGGAAGTCCGATTATAAATCTTTCAAAATAAAATTTGTTTCTGGTCTGAAAGTCTTTGGAAATTTTCCTGAAGTTTGATTTAAACGTCCAGAAACTGCTATAACCTCTTAGACAGGCTGGAATAAACTTATTAACCTAGTTGAGAAACGGTTAAATGTCCGTTTTTATAAAACCAAACCAATGTAGACTATAAAAATACAACAAAGAAATCATAAATTTGATGAATTAATTTGTTCACTGTTAAAGGGATATTCCGGCATAAAATTAATTTAGGGTCAAGCACACCGTTACACCGAGTTAGACCCCCCCTTCAGAGATTAATGTTGTCGACCGCTTGCTTCTCTAGTTATACCAACTTTAGTAACGACCGCAGGATAGTAATACAGAGAGCCACGCACTCAACCAAAACGCCACTCTATAGCCACAAATAATGCTCAGAACAGCACCTAACTTCATCAACAGGACATATAGGGTCACAGACATAGAACTAGACACCAAACATCTTTTTAACTTTGACTCATTCCTTTAGCAAAGAGACTAAACACAACTCACCTACTCTCTTCCAGCAGCTGCTTGTTTCAGGCCAGTCCATTACAGACTACAGCGGGGTGACGCAGCTCAAGGAAGAACATTTATCATCATTTCTTCATGGAAATACAATCAGACCGAGACGCTAAGGCAGAAGAACTACTGCATCTAGAGAGCAAAATGATTAATATGGTGATTATTACTTTAATGAAATGATAGAGAAATGATCATAAATGTTCACCCTGGAGCTGCGTCACCCCGCTGTAGTCCGTAATGGACTGAATTAAAGGTAGAAAAACTGAAACTACTTGTTTTACTGTGACAGGCCCACGGAGCACTTATTTTGAAAGGAGAAGGCGGAAGTTCGTGCATGTATTTGTAACACCTTTACAGAGTCCACAGTCAGAGCAGAGAGGACCCGGGTCTGACTTCATTAGACCTAAACTGACTGAGTGGGAGAGACGCATCCTCACCGAGACACACTCACTCTTTAGCCGCAGTTGGGTTGCGGTCACGCCGATATGGCCTCCATCATTTGCCGGGTTCAGTACCTGGAGGACTCGGACCCGTTCATCTGCACAAACTTCCCGGAGCCGCGGAGACCTCCGACCGTGAACATCGAGGAAAACCTGCCGCTGAGTGAGCAGATCGCCGGGATACACAATCTGCTGGAGGCGCCTCTGAAGGTGGGTCATTACCTGATCAGCGACAACACTCTCACCCTGGAGGTTATTTTTTAACTTTATCTGACTGTAAAACAACCTCCGGACTGTTTTTTAACTTTAAACCTGTTTTTGTCAATTTTTAAACGAATTGTCTCTTTTTAAAGAGACAAAGTTAAGAGTTATGGCTACAGGTGTCAGTGAAGCTACAGTCCTAACCAAACCTCATTCAAAAATCAGGTGTTTTCATTTAACCGCGGTTATGTGGCAATTTACCCGACTCTCCTTTTCTTTAACGTTTTTTTTAATTTTCGGTTTACATTAATTCAATATAGTGTACAAACGTGGCCGAATTCACCGGAATAATTTTGTCTTTTAACCAGCAGTTAGCTTAGTGCCTGTGGTTGCTAGTTACAGCTGCTCTACTAAAAATATATGTTTTTATTATATGGAATCTGGTATGAAGTTATTTTTAGCTCCTGTTTTTTATACGTGAGAACTTTTGGTCCTCTCAGGGTTCACTAAAAAAAGATCTTAAATCAACAATTTTGAGCATGAAGTTCAATACTCAATAAACCAGCAGCTGTTTTGAAGTGAGGTCTGGAGTGATGGGATCCACCTTCTTGGTCTTAGTGAGGACTCCAGCTGCAGCTTCTGATCCACTTTTATAAAATACCTGCAAAGACATACAGTGTGTACTGCTGTGGAGTATAAAAAAAAAGACTTTTTCAGGACACTGAATTTGTTTCTGTAAGTGGTGAGTGTAAGACAGTGATGCATGACTCACTTTAGGGTCATGGTGATAGATTCCAGTGCAGGTTGCCACACAGACCTAAATAGATCACTAATTGTGTAATAGACTGCGACGAAACGTAGGTCAGACAGTCATGTTCCTTACATGCATACATGATTAACTATTAACTTTAATTCTTATTTATGTTCATACCCCAAAAACAGCCTTTAATATCCTACGTTTCTGTTAAAATCACCAGTCACTGAGTTTCTGATTTTGACCGATCAACAGATATTTTCTCCCAAATATTGAATTTTAGGGAAAAGAAAACCGCTTTTTCTCACAGTGGAGAACCTGAACAGTCATTCATCAGGAGTTTAACGTTGATTGAAGAGTTCACTGACGAATGAATGTTGACCTGGTGTGAATGAGTCAGGATATTTACAGACTGAATAGAGACAGTTGGCATGACAACCATCGCAGCTGACCTCCTTGGAGCTGCGCCGTACTGTCCCTCAATTTAAGAAGATTCAAGTCCACTCCTAGTTTTGGTTCTGGATGGTCTCTTAAATCCGTTTGTGATAGAGGCGTTATAAAGGCAAGGAAACAAACAAACAAACAAACTGAAGCCAAATGCATTTTTTGTAATTTTCTGTGTTTTTGCAGGAAAGAATGAAAGAAAACTCTAAACATTTTCCATCAAAGTTAAGCAAATAGGCTGCAGCAATCGAATATTTATATAATTAAGTATTCTATTGATTTTTACAGTCATTAATCAGTTAATCTAATAAGAAGGGTATGTTTTTTTTGTATTACTGCTATTATTATATACTAATATGTTATATTATTATATTATATTGTACTAATTAGGGCTAAAACGATTCCTTGAATACCTCGATTACAAATAATGATCGAGGAATTTTCTCTGCCTCGTTTATCAGCTCAAATCGTTACGGATTCGCACAGATTCTTTTGAAGTACGGTAGAAGGAGGAGTTAGCACCGTTTAGGTTTTGCAGAGCCGAAAAAATGCTTTTTTTCCAGTGTTGCCAACCGAGCGACTCTGCACACTTCTCTTCACGTTAGCTTGTAGCCTAACATCGCTGGTGTCGTAGCAGAAGCAGGTAACTTCAGAGCTATTCAGCTTTCGGACGCTAATGTCTTTAGGGACATGATTAAAGTTAATATCATAATTAGCTTTCTTACGAGTATAGCAATCCGCTAACGCACACTCTTGTTCCGTGATTGTCCTCTTTTTCGCGGGGTCTGGCCTTCATTGCGGGGCTACAGGAAATCTAACTTTATGTGAGTCTGCTGTTTGCATCCGATTACTCGAGTAATTGGTAGAATATTCGGAAGAATACTCGATCACGAAAATATTCGATAGCTGCAGCTCTAATACTAATAAAGTTCTTCTTGTTATAATATTCTATTATTATCCTAGAATTGTACATGAGAATCGGTACGACATTTTAATGGTAAGTGTTTGAGTAGGTTACGAAGCCCGTGGGAAAATGCAAATATGGCCACCCTATCTGTTTAAGTTCTCCAGTTGGTCCACCCCAGTCTTAAAGTTTGGGCACGCCCCTGGAGAGCAGCGCAGAGAAAACAGCGGGATCTGAGAGCGATAAGGCTTTTACGTCAGTTTAACAAAGACTGAGAAATATTTCGAGTCAGTCAAACTTAAACTCCTGTTCTTGAAAAAGTGTAAAAAGGCAAATTCCCAAACTGGCGGGAGGAAAATTAACGGTCAGCTGGAGCGCTATAGTGAAACCACTGCTGCGCCTAAACAGCACCTGTCCTGTCGGCAAGTAGATCAGGATGAAGTAAAAAAAAAAAAAAGTTCACCACTCTGAAGAGGATTGGGTGTAGGGCTGGGCGATAAACCGAAAATTTACCAATAACGAAATTTACAACAATAACCATTTTGTCATTTTGCTCATATTCGTATATTCGGTGTCAAAAAAATCAAAGTTGTTTTTGGATGTGTGTAGGTAGGCTATGGTCTCATGTCCCTTTAAGACTCTGTCCTACGTCAGAGACGGGACTCCACCCCATCCAGTCTGTAACAAAGAGGGAAAGACAGGTGAGGAGATGGAGGACGGAGAGAAAGTTGGAGCGGCTGAAGTAGACGAAGTTAATGTGGGAGGGGGTGAGCAGCTGGTGGAGTAGTTATCATCCATTTATCGTTATCGAGGTGAACTGATCAATATATCGTGATATTGATTTTAGGCCATATCGCCCAGCCTTAGTTATGTGCATCTTGTCCATGTAGATAATCCTGTAAACGGAGTTTGGAAGGCGTGTCTGCTGCTGTTCGGTCCTCTGTAGGTCAGTTATTGTCTGTTATTGTCCTGAGCGCGCGTTTCCAAACAGCAAGAGAGCGCAGCGACATGCTTCAGAGGCTTACTCAGCGTGAAGTCACAGTTTCATATCAGCCTTTTTTCTTTTACTGTGGCACTCATTCCTCTTTTATCAGAGAGGCTAAAGTACACTGACCGAGATCCAGCCTGTTGTTGTGGTGTATAAGGAGGCGGTCTTACTCAGCGGAATATTTGTTCATACCAGCAGTCATCTTCATCCTGACGCTCTGACTGTAGTGACCCTGATATCCCCTCCGTGGGACAGGACTCCTGTTTGTTGCTCAGATCGACTTTATGACTTCCTTGTTAGTTACATAAAGGAGACTGAAATCTGCTCCAGTCTGCTGCTGCGAGGCGTTCGGAGCCCCGCTGGAATCTCTGGGATCAGATAAAGAACAGAGTGCCAGTCCCACTAGATTACATTCCTCCTCTGACCCCCTAATTGTTCCCATCATGCTCTGGGACTAGACCTGAGGGCTGAAATCCAATTAGGTGATCTGACCATGCGGAGACTCGTTTTTGCCAAATATTTTATGAATCCTTCTGCAGAGTTTCTGGTTATTTAGAAGTGGTTTTTCGCCCCACTTCCGGGGGAGATTGTGGAGGAAAAGGGTGGGACCTGTAAACAGGAGATAAGCTGGATGGAGGGATGGATGGACGGACGGATGTAATACTAACAGGGGGGTGTTGATAAGAAGAAAAAGGCCTTTCCTTCCTGCTCCTGCTAAGACAGCAGCTGCAGAGAAACAGCATGATGAGGGTTTGTTTGGAGACTCATTGTCCTATACAAAGATATGTTTAGCCTAGCTTAGCGCAGAGACTGTTGGAGTCTCTGGTTGGAAATGCATAAAGCTCTGAGAGAGAGAGGAGATGTTTTTAAAGTCCCAGTCCGACCAAAGATGCTCATCGTTGTTTACTCAGAAAAAGTGCAGATGTTATTTTGTAGACTGTCACTGTATCGTGGAAATTTCCATAACTGGCTATAAGATAATTGACTTTAACAGTCTCCACACACCGAGCGCGAGTAAAATCATTTGAGCGAATGAATTACATGTTGAGTCAATGCAAAGACGTGATTTGACGCTCGTACTACTCTGCGGCGCGAATGACGCGAATCGGTCAGGAGCTGAAAATGTCTCAGCTCTCTAATCAGCACAAAGGTTGCTGGATGACGTGTGAAAATGGACGGTTGTTTACTGGTATCTAGGCCTGTCGCGATAATCAATAAATCGCCTTATCGCTCGGTAAATAAAAACGAGGTCGGTCATTTTGCCAGCCTCGATAATTAACGTGCGTTTGTTTTCCTCCTCTCTCGCTACCAAACACGCTGGATGAGAGAAGAGGTCTCACTCTGCGCATTTTTCTCGGCACCTGGGGGCGTTGGCTCTATAGCGGAATGAACGGAGTTAGTGAACCCTCCTGTCAGTCATTCAGTGTCTTTGTTACGAGGGGGCGCGCGCGAAGGTACACGTAGGCGCGCACAGGCACACAGACACAGACTTTTGGATACAATGCTGCAAGTGAGCGTCGTGAGTGAAAAGCAAGCTAACAGAATGAACACGACAGCTTTGGTGTCTACACCGAACGCAACAGCCCAAGTGTGGGAATATTTCGGCTTTAAACCAGTTTTGTTTTCGTCAACCACAAAACTCCACGTGTGTGCGCGCGCGTGTGTGTCTGTGTGTTGGAGGAGCACAGCAGGCTGATGAGAGCTGTCAGAGCGGACTGAAGCTGCTCCTATATGTTTAGCGTTTAACTGACTGAGTTTTGCAACTCTGTTCGTCATTTTCGTCTCGTCCCATCAACGTAAACGCACTTTCGTCTCGTCACATTTTAGTCATCTCCGACTGATGTTTAGCTCGTCAACGTTACGTCTTCGTCGCGGGAGAAATTAAAGTTTATCACTTTTGACACGGTGTACTCGCATTATTATGCCATTTCATATCATTATCTATAATTTAAAAAACTGTGTCAATAATATCGTTTATCGGCGATAATTTGTAGCACAATTATCGTCCAGCAAAATTTGTTATCGAGACAGGCCTACTGGTATCTAAAATGGAGGACAAACTGATGGTGTCGGTGTGTGGAAGCTCCGAATTATACGAGACCTTTCTTTCAATTACCGAAACCAGAATAAGAAGAAGCTCGCCTTGGATGCCTCAGCAGAGATTAGCATTGAAATTCCTGTTGTCGCGCGAATGAAGCGAGTAGATGATTTTACTCCCACTTGGTGTGAACGCCCAATTTTTACTGACAACTAATACTGATATGGTGGGGATATTCTCGTCTTCTCTGGAGTATCCAGCAAGGATGCAACATCACAGTCCACCCCTGGTCTTGGTTTTGGTTTTGGTTTCAGTTTTGACGGCTCTGGAGTCGGTGAACTAGAACACCATCTTTGCGACTCACAGCCTCCAGAGTTTCATGTTATATTCTGTTTCTTTTGTGGATTCGATCGGATATTTACTCATGGTTTAGAGAGAAATATGATACATTAAAGTTACGGCACGACTGAAAACACCACGATTCACAAGCTTGTACTGAATGAAGGACGCTAAACCAAAAGACAAATGTAACGCTAAGTTTTTATGAAAGTGAAGTTTTTACTGAATTAAAAATCGAATTTTCAGAGAAAAAAATCAGGAAACTATTTTTGTCCAAAATTGTGCAGCCCTCTAATTCACCTTTAAAACCAACTAAACCGACGCCACATAATAGCAAACAGTTTAAAAGTTTGATTTAAAGACTTTAAACTCCAACCTTCAAACCTTATGATGTTGAAAAATGGTTGAAAGTTTACTAAAAAAGACTTAACAGTCAGCAAGGATTGAAATAAAAAGGGCTAAAACCTCTCTCCAAATGAGAAGTCTTCCCTCTCTGACATCCTGGAGTTTCACATTTGAATGTCTGAAGAGTTAAAACACTCTCACCTGTGTCTTTATTAGACACATAAGGATGGATTAGGAGAGAGGCCCCGGAGGACGTTATCTTATAAACAAACCTCCAGATGATGTCCTCATTTAAAGGATGGAGGTGAGGTCATGTGTTGGTGCTCTGCCACCTCCGTCTCTCTCCACACTCGATGTTTCCAGAGGAGTCTGAGCGGGAGGAGGAGCTGCCGCCGCCGCTGCTGCAGAAAAATGTGGTTCTGCTGGTTCAGAGTCTGCAGCCTGTTCAGCCGCTCACTTTCACCATCAGACCGGTTCATTTTCTGCCCCTGATTACAGCCTCCTCATACCTGACCATGACTCATGGTTCACAGCTACAAGACGCACAGCCTGCTGGACTAAAAATAGACGGAAAACATCCAGAGCTGAAGTCTGTCAAACACCGACTGTGTTTACTACGTGAAAAGAGAAAATCCGACACTCGATCATCTCTGCTGCAGAGGAGAGTTTATGCAAAGATTAGATAGTGCAGAGTTGTTGGCGAACGCTCAAATATCAGAACTTAATCAGACCGGGAATGCAAGAAGGACTCGCAGAGCTACAAATGATTGAATACGCAGAGAATCAACATCCAGAGCAGGTTCATGTGGGCAAAGATAAGGCGGCAAGACGAGAATCAAACAGAGTCAGATTCAGCCTCACAGTGTTCAGTTTTCTGCGTGCCTGTTCTTTTTGATGAAACAAGAACGTTCAAGCCGGGTTACAGCCAGTAAATAAATGGCTCTGATGTTGCTGGTATGCAGATCCAGGTCTGTTCCAGCTTTGCCAATCACCAGTCTGTCAGCTTAGTATCCAGAGTTCGAGTCGTTTGCTCTACAGAATTTATGGTCTTTCTGTCTGTAGTGGTGCCCAAGAATGCTCTTAACAGTCTGTTACTCAGTTTATCGTTGACATCCCTCATACTCTCCGAACAGCAGCCTCTGATGTTCAACAATGTTGAGGTACAAAAAAACCTGCAGTACCTCAAAAGTCCACTTGGGGCCTGTTCCAAAGCCAAGAAATCCTCATTAACACCCATATTGACATGTCCAACTTGACCGCAGAATAAAACATGTTTACAGACTGGTTCAGACTTTGGTTTTTGGTCTGAGTGGCTCTTTTGTTTTTCACACACAGGAGTGTACAGGAGGTGGTTTCTAATTACTCATCTGTTTTGATTATATTTGGCACAGAGTTTATAATAGATTTACATAATTGAGGGTGGGGCGGCGTCGACTGGATGTTTGGCGCCGTAGAGCCTCAGCTCCACCTCTTTGAGTCACACCTTTCCAAAATGTTGTTGGCTCTGGTTTGGATCTGCTGAGAACCAAATACTGTTCGGATTATAAATACCCGACAGAAAGCACACTGAAGGTTTAACTCGTGTTTTGTCCTTGGTCTTCTTTATTTTTTGACCACACAGGCGACAAAAGTCATAAACCTGAAATAATTAACCAAACATAACAGGTTACAAATGATAATATTTATGAAATTATAACCTTTAAATAGCTACTTTTACTTTTTATCATACCTTTTACTTCAAACAAAACGTAGACTTTTTTATACTTTTATCAACCAATTCTCTTATCATGATTAAAGTAGCAGACCCAACTGATTAAACACAGTTTCACAATACTGGCTAATTACAAGCTAAATGCTAACAACAGCCAGCTAAACACTAGTTTAGAATGCTAATCCGGAGCTAGCGAACATGCTAACGCAAGCTAGCTGTGCTAATTAAACGCTAACCACAAGCGCTGAATAACACTCTCATTCTCAATATTCTGATACTACTCTTCCAGGACTACTTAATAATGAAATAAGCACCAACACCAACATTTACAAGCTACACATTGTTAGCATTAGCAGGCTAATTTTTAGCTCTAGCTAACCGATGGGCCGTGTGCTTCTGCTGAATCCGGACACAACTCTGAAATAAATTACTCAGAGCTACAAATAATGATTAAATAATGAAAGTCTTGACAAACACGTACTCTGAAGACACAGTCCGGTGTTCAGGACTGCAGTGGACTCTGGTCAGTGATGGTTGCAGACTGTAGCCTCGTGTGAACTGCTGCTGTTTTGGTTTCCAAAGATCCAGAGGTGCTGTTGTCATCAAGACTCAAGTCCCAGACCTTCTGAGACAAAGTTCAGTGCTGAAAATAAATATGTAAATCGTACGTAAACCTAGATGAGCACTTAGAGTCTCTGGGAAGTAGGGAATTAAGTTGAGTCAAGTACGGTTAAGTTGCTGGTCTACCTGCCAGTTTCTCTGTAAAAGGGTCGAGCTGACTGGCATCCGTGTGGCTAAAACACTTACTATTAACACATAACTCGTACAGCCTCACTTCAAAAACACTGAAATGTCCCTTTAAAGCTTCATTAAGGAACAGGTGAAACCCACATGCACAATAAATGAAAAATTCTTATTGTGGGTTTATTACAGATACTCACGTTTCAAAGTGAAAAACGTGTTTTATCGTGCAGCTCTCAAACACAGGTATGTCTGTCTTTATCTCAGGTTTGTGAATGACAATAGGACCTGAATCGCAGGTGTGTAGATGTTTTTAAAAGTATGAATGGATGAGAAACACAATCATAGGGTGGGTGTGTCTGACTGACGAAAAGGAGAGTCTAATTAGCATGAGACAAAACGAACCCGCCCAAAACTGGATTATAATTGTCTCTTCGCTCTCCTTTATGAAACCTGTTGAGTCTTATTTTCTTATTTGAAGCTCAGTGCGTTCGGATGATTTCTTCTCTGGGAGATAAACAGACGAGCCGTCTTCTAATATAGGGCCTCAGCTGATAAAGTGTTGATGGATAAATGTGAGGAGCTGACCTCATCAGACGAACAGGTTTTGTGGGTTTTGTTTGTGTAATCGTGTCACAGCAGCAGCAGCTGCTCAGGATCTGTTTATACTGGGATCTCTGTCTCTGTCCGTCACTCAAAGATGAATGAAGCCCGGTGTAAGACGTCAAATATTAACCCCTGTTGTTCTGTCTGTCTCAGCTGGAGGAGTGCGCCCTTCAACTGGCTCCTAATGGAAACTACCTGGACCTGGACTCATCGATGGCCGAGCAGAGAGACGAGCTGGAGAACTTCTATGAAGACTTAGCGTAAGAACACCTTCACCTTCACTTTACCTGTCTGTGTTCACGCGCTGTCTCACCTGTCATGGTCGCTCCGTGTGACCTGTTCACCTGTGTGTGTGTGTTTAAAGTCAAACTCCACCCAGCGTTCATGATTGAATTGTCAAACACTCAGCAGGAAGAAGACCGGCTTAGTCTGAGGGAGGTGACAGTGAGGGATTATCGACAAAAAAAAAAGAAATTAAAAAAAATATATATATTTGATTAGGAAAATTTGATCGTGACTTTAATTGATAAAAAAAGAAAAAACAATAAAACAATAGTGTTTATTATTTTTTAGAATAATGAAAAAATAAACAGTTGATTTATTTTTATTTTGTATTTTTTATTTATATTATTCTCATTTTTTTATTTATTTCATTTCAATTTTGTTATGTTTTGTTAATTACTTCATTCATTTAAATTGTTTGAAATCAAGTATTTTTCCAATTGTTTGTAATTAAATTGTTTTTGTTTATTATTTTATTTTATGAACTTATTTATTATTTTATTAACTTTTATTATTGAATCAGTTTATTTGTTTTTTATTTTGATTGAATTAGCATTATTTTTTCATTTATTATTTATTTGATTTATTTTATTTATTTTTAATTATTACTTATTTATTTTGTTTTAGATTATCATTTTTTGTTCATTTTTTCAACATTTTTTGTTTACTGATTGATTTTTCATATTATTCAATTTTTTTTTTATTTCATACATTTTTCATACATTTTTTATTTATTGGTTTTTTTTTATCTTACATATTTATCATTGTTATTTTTTATATTCTATTTAAGTATCATTTTTTAATCTAATCCCTATTTTGTCATTGTTACATTTGTTTTAATTTTATCTATCGTTTATTTGTTTTAATCTTTTTAATTCCCGTCTAAAACTTACATATATTTAATTTTATGTTGTTTTTTTTGTTGTTGTTTTTTTTGTGAGCAGTGGAGTCGCCTCCTGCTGTTCATCAGAAAAACTGAAAATTGAGTTGCTTTGTAGGTGGAGGCTACATGTCTCAGATTTAACCTTAAAGATAAGGCTCTGATTGAAACTTCATTTTTCAGTCCATCATAATCAGATAAAAATGAAGACATTGATGTTTCCTCAGGATTATTTCCTTTTAGGGAGACAAACATCAAAAACTCTCATACAGCTCGGTCGGTCCTGTCCGCTCAGAAACAGAAGCAGAAATATGTCTCAGTCGGTCTTTGCTGCTATATCTGCATCATTCAGACACGACTCCTCTGGGAACAGAAATATTAGCGTCAGTCTGAGATCCTTTCACTCACGACCGGCTGACGGCAAACGAGAGAAACTTCAAGAAGAGAGCTTTTTGCACCATTGATCCATAAACCGATATTTAGGAGTCAGGGTGAGTCACACCAGACAGTAAATGAGACTGACACCACTTATCTCTTAAAAATATCTTACCTTGTGTTTGGGAGAAATCAATCAACGCTGTAGCTGTGTAAGTGATTTACAGAAAGACACCACTGAGCGTGCACGACTTCTGCAGAAGAGCTGCATCTTTACCACAGTGAGTGATGGTGCTCATGGGAAATGCAGTCTTTATCCCATGAAGCAGTTTTGCTCTTCAAACATCGTCTAATCTTCTTCCATCCTTTGGAAACCTCGTTTATTTTTGGACTTTAATCTTTTTTTTCTTCTCATGGACTGAATCTCTCTGATCAGAACAACCATCAGAGAGATTTTTGGAGTGTATTTCGTTCTTTCGTAGTGACAGGGACATAAATCTGAAGAGTCTCGCAGTAAAAACTCTCATTCCTGTCTTTTTTTGTTCCCTGACTCTGAGGCTGATGACTCGGTTTAAGGTCGGGGTTAGAGCTGGTCTCCAGGAAATGAATATGAGTCAATATAATATGACCTCTGCTTTAGTTATAGCAACACCACTGTGTTGGTGTGTGTTGGTGTGTGTGTGTGTGTTGGTGTGTGTGTGTGTTTGTGTGGAGGTCAGTTTCAAGTGGAAACTGTGTGTTTGTCCGATTCCTACAATGACACAAAAAGACTCTCTTTTTAGATTTTAGTGAAACTCAAACTCTCCTCTTTTCTCTCTTTCCTCATTATTTCCGCACCTCCATGCTGTCGTTCTTTCCGTCCTCTGATCCCGGCAGGCCTCAGTCACTCAGTCAGTCAGTCAGTCAGTTTGTGTCAGTTGTGTCAGATAAAAATGACCTGTTCAACTAAAACTCTGCTGTCTCAGCGTCTGTATGTTAGATTCCTCGCTTGGTCACATGTCCTCTTTGACTCCGCCCTTTCTTCTGTCTGCGTTTTCTTCCCACTTTTAGTGTTTAGGCGAGCAGAAGTGATTTTTTTCCCGTCCTGCTACGCTACTTTTAGCCGCTCAGAGCTCCGAGGAGTCGGAACTACAGGAGAGGGGTGTGTCGAATACAGTGAGTTGATTGGATGGAGAGGAGGAGCAGGAGATTGACCAATAGGAGCTGTCGGGGACGAATGGCTCCTGTTGGTCAGTGTTTTTGCAGCCCTGCACCTGATAGGATGAACGGATTTTTTTCCGATCTTTTTTCTCTTCACTTTGTGGAGATCGCACTATAGGACCATGATCGCCATAGAAACGAGGTTCATAATAATTACCGATCTCTCCAACTGTCAACCATGACTTTAATGCTGAACAACATCTGCAGGTTTAGGAGCAACAGGACTCTGTAGTCGGAGTTAAAGTCACAGTATGGACTCAATATCACTTTTCTGTTAAGGTCTGATGATCAAATTCTAACGCTCTTTTGTTGAAAGGACAACTAGACTTAATTGAGACGTTTCGCCGTAGAGCTGGAAATCATAGATGCTGCATCCTCAGTTTGAAACAATATCTCCAAGTTTAGGAGCAACATCTGCAGACTGTGAAGCTTCATGAAAACGTCCTCAGATCATCCTGGTCTTTAAAACTCAGATCTTCTCTGTGTGTTTCTGCGGTTTTCTTCTCTGACTGTCTCTTATTTTTCCACAGAAAGGGGAAGAAGCCCATCCTGATCCTGAGGACTCAGCTCTCTGTGCGCGTTCACTCCATTCTGGGTAATTATCTCCTCCTTGTCCCTCTTTTCTTTCTCTCTTTTTTTTCCATCCCTCTCACCACAGTGACGCGGAGCTGCGAGGCGGCTAAGAGGATTTCCTCCATGAGTCTGAAGGAGAAATGAGAAAATTCTCACTTCTCTCTTTGAAATGAAGCTGCTGGTTTGAAGTGTGTTTCTGTGTTTGAAGATGAGATTAATTCATGTTTTATTGCCTCTTCGGTTCTTTGTTTCCTGATTTTTGAAGAGTCCTCTGCCTCCATATTTCTTTAGACTTGAAAATCAGCCTCTGTTGTCGACATGTGACCTTCCTGCTGAAGTTTGTTGTTTATTTTTGGGGGTTGAAACTCACTTGAAGTTGCAAAACCTCTCTCTCCTGTTAAGAACTTTGGGTTTCTGCCAAAAAAACACGTCATTTCCTGAAGTGACTCTTTCAGAATAAGAGTATTTCAACAACAAAGCTACGAGGGAGTCATCTTTGAATTTCCTAAACTTAAAGGTGTTGTAGTCAGGATCTGAGTTAGTTCCAGTTTTTAGGAGAAATCTTGACTGTAAACTCTACCCCTCCAACCAGTTTTCCCCTCAGCTCCTCCTCTCTTAAGCCCCGCCCACAAACAGACGCTCCTGCTCGCTCGTATCGTTCCGATTAAATTCAGATATAATGCAGATAAATACTTCAGATCATTACAAATGGGGCCCAGTCAAGGTGAAAGTCAAAAGCATTGGTGCTACTGTAGATGCCAACAGACTACCAGCAAACACAATGTTTGCAGGACTTCTGCAACGAGGATAAAGTGACATAGTCCAGGACCCGAGGGAGGACAGTTTAGCGATGGCGCTACAACACGCTACAGCAGGTCCGTTTGACAAGAAACACTTCTGTTACAGACACTTGTCTTACTTTGTTAAAGCGGTTTACCTGTCCAGCAGAAAGGTTACAGGGTCACCAAGATCCCCAAGCGTCCCCCATCGTTTATGTTGACCCGGCTTTTTAGCTCTTGTCCGGTCTACCTCCGTTTTAAGCGCCCGTTATTCCTCCAGAGTCTCCGGTATTTACTTTGTTTTCTTGCTTGTGTCGGCAGTCGTGGCCAAAGGAGGATTCAGACAATTTTCCGAACTTTCTGGTTGGTTTCTACTGTCCGATATTGTAGCACGCTAACTTTGTTTGGGCTCCTGAACGACACGGGGGAGCAGCGTCTGCCTCACAACCAATCAGGTTAGAGGAGGTGGAGAACGGCTTTGTAAATACACCACAAAAAAGATGCTTCTTTAACAGTTTCCTGCCGACCCCACCTTTAAACGTGTGGAGCAGAGTTTTGTCGTTTAGTTGGTGTTTTAAGGGAAGCCTGGAGAAAAGGAAAACTCTCAACAAAGACAGAGAAAATAAACTTACACAGTGACGTATTTTCAGTGACTTCTCTTTAGTCATGGGAAATTTTGATTGCTTAATTCAAGTTCACTCATCACTGCGTGTCTCTGCGTTTATCTGAGCTCCTGTAATGTTGACTGAATGACTCGGGGTCTTAATAAATCAAAGTTCAGAGTTCAGAGTGAAGCAGCTGGACTCTCAGTCATCATCGGTTAAAGTCGTCTGGTTTACTCATCGCTCACAGGTGTTATGTGTAGTTGTGCTACCTTGTCAAAGTCAGTAGAAACCCCTCTGATATATGAATATTAAATTTACGGTATATTCATGTCATCTTGTTTGATCAGACAGACGCTGCAGGGCGTTTCATTTTCAGTTTCTGTAACGTGTCGAAGGCTGATGTTCAGATAAGAGCGTTTCCTCTGAAGAGGATCAGTGACGTCTTTGCTGTCTCTCCTGTTCAGACTCGTCTTTCTTGATGATAAATGATGCTGACTGTTCCTTTATTAGGAAACAGATCTCTGGATGATTTGGGTCATGGGACGGTGTTTGTTGCAGCTCCACACAGCAGCTCTATTCATGAGTTATCTGACATCTATAAAAGAGAGACGGTGACTTACTGTCAGCTGTTCTGTGGTTTCATAGTCGCTCTTCACTGAAACATGGAGGTCGTTACTTTAAAACTGTGAACAAACAATCATTTCTCTCTGATGTGGTGATGAAGTCATGGTGTTGATGGTGAAGTATTTTTACACCCTCATAAAAACCGTGTTAAAGTTTTTACAGCTCACGTTTGATCACAGGCGGCTGATCGAACAGATCCGTCTTTTCAAGCTTTTATGTAACGTCCGTTTTAACGTCATCAAGACTGTTTTTTAATGGTGGCTCAGAGCGAGGTCTCTCACTGTCGTTGGCTCAGGAGCACTGAAGCTGCTCCTTCTGTCCCTTGGCTTTTCAGACGCACACACCTTCCTCCTCCTCCTCCTCCTCAGGGACCTTTTTGGTGTCGATTTTACAGATACAGTATTTCCTCATCTACATTAACTGGTTTCCCCTTTGATTTTGCCTGCATACTCGGAATGGGAATGGTTTCGATTGATCATTGATCATTAAGAATTACATCGATCACGCAAATTTCAATCAATTGAACCTTATTAAAGAAGAGCTGACAGTGGCGTCTATCCTCCAGCTGCTTTCCGGCAAAGATCAACCTCTGCTGATCGGGAGTGATACCCTATCAGTCCAGTCAGAATTTTGACATTTTATAAGAGGAGTGATGTGGCGTCAGTGGGCTTCCATAGAAATGAAGAAAGTAGACAAAGTGTGGTGTGTGACCATTTTGAGCGGAAAAATGATGAGGTCTGCGATGCCGTGTGCAAGTAAAACATGACGACAATCCCAATGATGGACCACTTGAACCAAAAACATGAGACTGAGTTTATTGAATCCCCCAAGTGTTCTTAGTCTGAACCAACCGTCAGCTTCTTGGTAAGAAGGAGGATCTGTAGGGTGACCAGATGTCCCCGATGTCGGGGGGACAGTCCCTGATTTGGACGACCCGTCTCCGGCCAAAGTTGTCTCCGGAAATGTCCCCGATTTTAGCGTTTTATGAATGAGAAAAAAAACCCAACGGTTATTCCGGTAGCCGGGCAGGTAGGAAGTGCGAGTGAGCATGTAGGGCACGCTGTCCTGAACAACAGTTTGGGGGAAGGGGGGGTTCAGTGAGGAAAAACATGTTGCTTTTTTGCGTATTTTCAATTAATTCATTGATTGATTGATAATTTATATGATTAATCAATCAAGGGACTTTCTTGAAATGCTCATTCCTACTACCTACAGATTAATGGCTGTTTAACTTGGGAACATTTGCATATGCATGACTTAAACTGTGCCGTACCAACATATGCAATAATTTCTTTCCTTATTACTAATAAATCAAGTCTTATCATAAAGAAGTGAAAAGATTTGGGAAAGACTGAGGAGTGTCAGTCATGATATCAGTGTCTGTTTGTACCTCACATTTACCTAATTTACTGCAGGCTGAGTTCAGGTTCTATAGGGAAACCAGAGGGACTAGAAAGAGCTACACGGCTGCACAGAAACTACACATTGTGGACTTGGCTGAACGTCATAGATCACAGAGGAGGAGAGTTTTTATCAAACAGACTGTTTTTTATCGGGACAACCTTTATTCGATATTTCACTGAACCTTGCAGCCATCAGATCCAGTTTCATGATTCAATCCACTGAAGCAATCATAAACTTTTGTCTCCTAAATGTGTAAAAGTGTTACTCCTGCACAGCTGTAACCACGCACAGTAAATGAAGTCCTGAATTCTTGTATTTGTATTTGACATTTGTGCAGCTTCATGTATATTTCTCCTGTCTTCAACACGTTTCTGTTTAGTGCAGCTTTTGTTTTGTAGAGTCTTGTCTGCTCCCTCTGATACACACTGATCGGTGAAATGGGATTGAGTTTTGCATGCAGCTTTGAATCCCCACCGTCGTGTTATTGTGAAATCTGAAACGCTGCAGCTGTCTCTGCGGCTCCGTCTTCATTACTGACAGGCGGCCACGTTCGTTCATTCAGGTGTTATTGTTCCTCCATGCTGTCAGGGTAATTTTAGCTCATGATGGCAGAAAGAGAAACAACACGTTGCTGCTGCTGCTGCAGAGACGAGGATGCACACTGAGGAGATGTGACGCTCTTATTGTGAAGGAGCGTTCTTGATATCGGCTCAGTTTCAGCCCTGTGTGGTCAGGATAAGCAGACCTCAGATCAGCTCTTATCTGCGCCTGTCATTGTGTTGTTTTGTTCTCAGCTGGTCCGTTTCCAGGGTTTCTCTTCTGTTTCCTTGTTGCTGTTTTTGCTCCCAGCAGACCAAACCTCCAGCCTGTAGTTTCAGGGGTTTTATTTTCAGCCCTGCTCTTTTTTAAAACCTCCTCTGAGCCTGTTGTGTTCCTGCTCACTGCAGCTTGACTCGCTCCGGGGTTCGCAGTGCTCATGAGATTTCTTTCTGCAACATTAAAGGCAGATTTTTGGCTGGTTTGGGTTTTTTTTTTTTTTAGGTTTGCTTGGTCTGAATCATCACAATAATAAGAGGAGTTATTTTAGATGAACAATCAAACCTTTATCTTTCTGCATGTGCACATTTTCTCTGTTAGACACAGACATGAGCAGGACTGCAAACTCCAAAAAAACAAACGAGACTAAAAAGAGCTGCACAGAAACTGTATATTATGGACTTGGCGCAGGGGGCAACCTATATTCCACTATTTACGGTACCTCTCTGCCATCAGAGCCGTTTAATGACTTGAATGTAATCGTCATTTGAACCCTAAAATACGTCAAAATGTGACGCTGGTTCAGCTGAAACTCTTCCTTCTTGTTATTGTTGTTTATATGCCGATGTTTGCTCTGTAAAGAGGAACTGACCGTTTCTGATGTTACTTTTTGACCCGTCTGTGTGTTGGCAGCGATGAACTCAGTAAAAGTGACTGCCCGTCTTTCAGCGCCCGTCTGTGAACTAGCATAACTAGCAGAAATGCCGTCTCAGATGCTCCTGTGAGTCAAACAGTATAAAATGACCTTTTTTGTGCCTTTCAAGTAGGATGTGGTACCGAAGACCGGTTCCTAACATCTGGTTCCAGGATCATTAAGCAGATTTTTGAGTTTCGATTCTTTTTTTTCGGTTCTGAGTGCCCGCACTAGATTGTTTTCGGGGCGTGTATTACTCCACTCTGTGCGTCCGCTATCAAGAACATCACTCGTCTGAACATGGACCGCTAAAAACGCTCAGAAGTCTGGCTTCATTTTAGTTTGAAAGAGGAGGACGGAGCAGCACAGTGCAACATCTGCGAAAACCAGTTTCTGCCAAAGGAGGATGTACGACCAACATGATTTAACACCTCCGAGTTCATGGAGTAGAAATAACTGAGTGTCCCGTCTTTGACAGGCTGCGCCGGTCTTCCTCTAACCATCAGAACCAGGAAAGTAAAACAATAAATGACGTCTGTCTTCTGCTAACATTGAAGCGGTAAACGAATTGTACTGATGGGTCAACTTAAATATCCAACTAAAGTTAGCCCGTGTTCTTTTTCATAGACAAACGACCTGACAACAAAGTTTATATATACTGGTTAAAAAAAATAACCCTGTGAGAAATTTTTAATAAAGTTCATAACATTTAAAAGTTCATGGAGAAGTTCAGACATTTCATCCAGAAAGAAGAACTCTGGTTAATACCATCATTGAAACCATTTTTATATATCCTGCCTTTTAAAAGAATCGGAAAAAAGAATCAGAATAGAGAATCGTTAGGAACCGGTATCGAAACAAGGAATCGGAATCGTTCGAATTTAAACGGTGCCAAACATTACATTTAAGATATTCCTCTAATGGATGAAACGTGTCAAAGTGGCCTTCTTGTAAATAAAGTTAGAATGCACTTCTAGTGAAAAAAGAGCCTTTTGGATTCACTGCCATGATATAAAACATCGGGATATTTGCCCTCTAGTGGTCATCGACAGGCTCGATCCTGGTCTGTTTGAAGCTTTCTAATGATGACGCCATGGAGACAGAAAACTGACATTTTCAAAACTCTGTCAGGTGTCATCAAATCAAATCAAACTTTATTTATAAAGGGCTTTTCATACAAAGGGATGTAACTAGAAGTGCTTTACAGTCCTTTAAAAAAAACAAACAAACTGAAACAGATCTTAGTCACAGTTTTCTGTCCACTTTTGGTGCCCCATGACAAACAGAAGGTGCCCCTCTGTCATTTTTGGCCCCTGGCCCTCAAACAGCTGAAGTTACACCCCTGCTAACGATGGAGGAACTTTGACTCAGTTAAAAAAATATAAAGTAAATGTTCAGATATAAACAGATAATTAAAGATATCTCTCTGTCTAAAGTCGACTTCAGATGGTCTCAGCGGGGGGACGGTGCTCTCTGATTCGTCCCTGTTATTATTTCTCCCACAGATTGTAGATCTGAACAGAAAGATCAGAGAGACCTGCAGATCAGCAGCTTAATACGGAGCGGGTCCAGACCTGCAGACGGCCTTTGTTCACCCTCTCTGTCTTCACTTTAAACCAGGAGGAGACTCACTTTGGCAGAAACTTCCTGTTTGTTTGGGGTTCAGTCTAAGGAGCTCGTCATGTGACGTTTGTCCTGATGTTGGCGCTCTAACAGACATCACAGAGTCACTAAAACCTGCAGGGTTCATCCTCAGGAGAGCAGGAACCTTCCATGGAAATCCGTCTTTGAATGTTGAGAATTCACCTCTGGTTGATCAGGGTTCACCTTTCCTGGGAAACTCTGAACTTTCCCAGAGTTCCTGCTGTCAGAGCGCTCACCCCTCCCTCCTCCTCCTCCTCCCTCCTCTCTCCTTTCCTTCCCTCCTCCTCTCCTCACTGCCTGGCATGACCCCGCCCTTCCTCCGCTGAAGGGGATTTCCCAGCCTGCTTCCTCCTTCGAGCCCCGGCCCTGTCCCTTCAGAGTCGCGCTGCCTTCAGGGTCAAACAGGCGCTACATTGTGTTGTCTGCAGAGCGAGACCTTCGTCCTTCTCCTGTTTCAGCCCCTCCCCTAATTCTATGGAAACGACCACGCGTGTTTTTAACTTGATTCATGAGGCGGCTCAGATCAGAACTCCTGCAGGTCGATGCTCTAAAATATTAAATAAGGAAGAAAAACTCCAGATTCTTCTGAATTAATAAATTCTAGTCTTTAAGTTTTACGGACTTTGATGCACCTGAATATTTGACAGTTTTTTAACCTTGAAATGCTCCTAAAAAAGTGGGATCATCTTCTATTTTCGGCCTTCGAGGGTTGATACTGTTGTTTGTGACGTAACGTTGTTGTCTTTTTAATATTTGCTCTAAAAGTAGAAAGTTGCGCCTCAGGGACTTCACTTTGTGTTTCTGTCAGTCATGTAAAAAACCACCAACTTTCCACTTTTCATTAGATTTGTTTGTTTTATTCTCATTATTTTCAACATTATTTTGTAAAAACAGAAAGTCCCTCTGCTGGCAAAGCAAAGTGCAAACAGATTCTCAGCGGGTTGGATCTTCAAATCGAGATCAGTGGCTCAAACTTTGCTAAACTATCATGTTTTCTCTCTTTGCATATTTTTTTTTCGTTGTCATTTTTTTTTTTTCGAACATGTGCAGCACGAGAAAATAAACTGAAAACAAACAAAATCAATGAGAATATTCAAAACAACAATAACAAGAATCAAAGCAAAAAAATAAACAAATAAAAATACTAATAATAATAATATTAATGCAAACCCAACATGACTGAAAAAGGAGTAGGACGAAGCTTTTATTAAACCTCCTCTTTATCCTCTACTCAATAAACGGTCAGTCTCCAACATATTTACATTATAGAAACCAAAAAAAGAACATAATTAGAGTAAATAAGTCTATAAATCATTTATGAAAACACCTGATGGTTAGAGTCCTTCTTCCTCCTGGACCTGCTGAGAATCATGTTTTTTTTCCGCTTCTCAAACTGGAACTTTCTCAGCAAAGAGGCTGAACTTTAACTGTGGCTAATATTCTCACTAATAACTCATACAGTCCAACTTTAAAGATACTAATACAACCCTATAATATGTCATTAAAGTTCTGCACAGCGCCACCCTGAGGTCAGTGAAATACCTAATGTATAATACTTCATGAAACCCACCGTGCACGCTTCATTTTTTACTCCACAGAGTCATTCTGGTGAATCAGGTGACGAGCTCTCAGCTCTTTATTCGAGGACTACAGGAAGTTTTTTGTTTCTTCCTCAGAATTCACAGAAAAACGTGAAAATCCCTCCAGGAGGTGAGATGATGAGTCAGCCGTGAGAAGTCAGATCAGGTCGTTTCAGTAACGAGAAAGAGGTAAAAGTGTGTCAGGAGGAGGTCGGGTTACCTGATGATTCATGTTCGCTCATGTCCCGATCTCACCTCGCCAACAATGCTGGCTGTCGTGGTGCATTCAGGGATCCTCCTCAAACTGGTGAAATCAAAAACAGATGATTAAGTTCAGTTACAAGGAAGGAAATCTTCCTCTTCAAACCTTTGAGTAAATGATCTGTCTGTTTATGGAGTAAAGAGCAGCTGTGTGACAAATACCCTTTATTATTACCAGATCACAACATCGTGCACATTTACCCTCAGAGAGGCGTCTGTGACGAGGTCTCAGTAAACATCTAAAGTCTTTAGTTTTTTTAATTATGCAGATTTTAAAAACTAAACTGAACATGTCAAAGATAAAGAAAAGGATGAACATCCATGTCAGCGCCAACATCAGGACAAAAGGATTAAAACACGTTTATCTACATACAGTTCATACTCCGAACTTCTGTTTCCACTCTTTTCTTTCTCTGAGTGAGTCAAAGTGGATTTGATAATCTTTCCAAACATGCATGTTTACTCATTATCTAAATATTTCTTCATTGTTTAGAAACTGAATAGTTTTTTTTTAATGGGAAGAAGGAGGAGAGTCTGAGTCCGAGACATTTAGTGACTGAAGTTTGGTTGTCATGACACCAAATTATGACCCTGATAAGAAACCTGCAGAAAGAATCTACTGATATAGAAATGAAACCAAAAATAACATCCAGATTTTTCTCTCTGAAAACTCGATTTTTTATTCAACTTCACCAAACTCCATCTCAATAAAAAGTTTATCGATCATCTCTCAAAATGAAACCACTAAAAACGATGTCGTGTAAAGGTCGATTCGTCTAGATTCATAGATTCCTCTCAGTTAGAGCTAAATGGAAGATTTTAAAACTCAGCAGATCTAGTTTTTCGTTTAGATGTAAAAATCGTTAAATTTTAGAAGCAAAAATAAAGAAAAGGAAGAATAAGGATCAGTCCGTTTATGTTTATCTGAAGTCTGAGCTGACTCAGGATCAGCCGACTGACTCAGAGCTGAAACATACTGATGCTGCATCCTCTGTGTGTGCGTGTGTGCGTGCGTGCGTGCGAGCGTGTGTGTGTGTGTGATGACATCAGCTATCAGTCGGCGTTTCCTTCCATGTTTTGTTGCCGCTGACAGTCTCGTGTTGTTGTATTTGGACCTCACAGCAGGAAGTGAGGGATCCGTCTCCTGTCGGCTGCAGGTTTGATTCCCAGTTTCTGTTTTAAGTCTCATCCTGGTGCCGCTGACTGAAGTCCTATTACTTATTTTTTTACCCCCACAGTTAAACCCAAACCAAGTAAAGTCCTGAATTCATTGTTTTTAGACTCAAGTAAGCTTTATTTTGAAAGTCTTAGTAGTGGTCAGCTGCTTATTATCTCATACCTGACTGATTTATTTTGACTTAAAACCATAAACGTCTTATTTGTTATTGCTAACTTGGCCTTAAAACCTTCATAAGAGGAAAATCCACTCGAGCAGTCGAGGTTTGAAACACAGGAGGAGTCCTGGTGGAGCTGCAGAGTCTGAGGAGTTCAGACTGAGTGTGTGTGTTAAAGGTGGTGTAGTCAGGATCTGAGTTAGTTCCAGTTTTTAGGAGAAATCTTGAATGTAAACTCTACCCCTCCAACCAGTTTTCCCCTCAGCTCCTCCTCTCCCCTCAAGCCCCGCCCACAAACAGACGCTCCTGCTCGCTCGTATCGTTCCAATTAAATTCCGATATAATGCAGATAAATACTTCAGATCATTACAAATGGGGCCCAGTCAAGGTGAAAGTCAAAAGCATTGGTGCTACTGTAGATGCCAACAGACTACCAGCAAACACAATGTTTGCAGGACTTCTACAACGAGGATAAAGTGACATAGTCCAGGACCCGAGGGAGGACAGTTTAGCGATGGCGCTACAACACGCTACAGCAGGTCCGTTTGACAAGAAACACTTCTGTTACAGACACTTGTCTTACTTTGTTAAAGCGGTTTACCTGTCCAGCAGAAAGGTTACAGGGTCACCAAGATCCCCAAGCGTCCCCCATGGTTTATGTTGACCCGGCTTTTTAGCTCTTGTCCGGTCTACCTCCGTTTTAAGCGCCCGTTATTCCTCCAGAGTCTCCGGTATTTACTTTGTTTTCTTGCTTGTGTCGGCAGTCGTGGCCAAAGGAGGATTCAGACAATTTTCCGAACTTTCTGGTTGGTTTCTACTGTCCGATATTGTAGCACGCTAACTTTGTTTGGGCTCCTGAACGACACGGGGAGCAGCATTTTCTTGTTGACTGTTTTCTTGTTGACTGTTTTCTTGTTGACTGTTTTCTTGCTGACTGTTTTCTTGTTGACTGTTTTCTTGCTGACTGTTTTCTTGTTGACTGTTTTCTTGTTGACTGTTTTTGCTGACTGTTTTCTTGTTGACTGATTATAGTTGACTGTTTTCTTGTTGACTGTTTTCTTGTTGACTGTTTTCTTGTTGACTGTTTACTTGCTGACTGTTTTCTTGTTGACTGTTTTGGTTTTGACTGTTTTCTTGTTGACTGTTTTGGTGTTGACCATTTTCCTGTTGACTGGTTTGGTGTTGACTGTTTTCTTGCTGACTGTTTATGTTTGACTGTTTTCTTGCTTGTGTCGGCAGTCGTGGCCAAAGGAGGATTCGAACAATTTTCCGAACTTTCTGGTTGGTTTCTACTGTCCGATATTGTAGCACGCTAACTTTGTTTGGGCTCCTGAACGACACGGGGGAGCAGCGTCTGCCTCACAACCAATCAGGTTAGAGGAGGTGGAGAACGGCTTTGTTTACAGTCAGAAAGAGCGGACCGCTCAAAAATGTTCAAATGTTGACGACACAGACAGAAGAGAACACAGAGATATCGTTATATTATCAAATGTCATCAATAACTAATAACTATTGACTGATATTAGAAGATTTTTTTGTTTATTCACCACAACAACAAAAAAAAGTAGTAAGTAAGAGATTTGGCTAATTTAACTATCAGGTTGGAGCGTTTTAGTTTTCTCCCAGCATGCATCATTCCCCTTTTAAAATAAGTCATTCCCAGTGAAATGGTTGAACCTCCAGATTTGAGCTCAATTAGCAGCACTAACAGGAAATACCACAGTAAGTTTATCTGGGTCACTTCCTGGTTCTGCAGGATAAACACATGAATCCTCCCCTCCTTCGGTCCCTCAGAGCGACCCTCCTCGGATCATCGCCGACTTCCTCCCTCACAGTTAGTCGTTTTAATTGTCTGTCTCTAAGTGGACCTCCTGGACTTAGTTGAACTCCACAGATTGATCAGACATGAGACTCTACGTTGATCCAAAGATGAGGCGTTTGTGTTCCTGCACTTTCTTCTTCTGCCGCAGATTAAATGTCTGTCCGGCTCACTGCTGCTGCCGCTGGCTGAGAGTTTTATTGCAAAAATACCAGAGAATTCACTTTCAGTTTCATGAATATTTGGGATGCAGTGAATCGTATTTCATAATTTATTATAATTTATAAAGGGTCTTACAATTTTCCACATTTACAACAAAAAATATAAAATTAAAAAACACCAGAGTGAGAAACAGGAGGCTTTTTTTTAATCTGTGAATCATGTTAAAGAGTTATCAGAGAGGAAGTACAGAGTCTGAAAAATACCTCCTCTTTAAATAATGCAGAAGTGCTGAAAACCACATTTATACTAATCCAGTTTTAGAGCAAAAATAAACACGTTTACAGACTGATAACATTTTTATTTTATAAACAGCGATGAGGAATGTTCCTGAAGTAATTCTCGGCAGGTTTGAGTTTCTCGGCTCAACAACGGCAGCGCCAGCGACTCACTCCATGTCCAGGGGCGTGGTTTCCTCCTCCTCTGATTTTGATTGACGGCTGGCTGGGTAGTCTGATTGGCAACTGAGTAAAGAACGAATGTGATTGGTGGATCGCTGCAAAGCACATGCAGAGCCACATGCAGTGTATCTCAGTCAGTTACCCTTGAAATTAGACGAGTTCATTCACCGCCGACATCGCAGGCTCTGACATGTGACTATCATGTACATGTACATCGGACACAATATATTGCGCAGCACTACGACGGTATGAGCGGTATACCTAAAACTCGTCCAGTAGAAAGTGGTGCAAAAATATAGAGGGTGCGTTTAATATGCGTTCATATTTTTCATGAGATAATATTTCTGTAATTAATCACAATCAACACGTCAAAATGATCGGCTCTGATCTGGTAACTGAGATCGGGATCGGGACGTCCCGTTTCTATGGAGCCACAGAGTTTCTCTATAATCAGCTGTTGTGATGTTTTTATTTGTGATCCACCTCACTGCTCCTCCTCCTCCTCCTCCTCCTCCTCCTCACCACCACACTCATACTGGGAGTCGGTTTACTCTGTCTGCGTCATGGACTGTTCTGGATGATGGTGTCCAACAATAAATCTGTCTGTCAGTGTTAAACTCAGAGAGGACGGTGAGTCAGACACTCTGACATCCAACTTTGACCCGCCATGGCCGACAGCCAGCCACACTTTCACTACAACAGCTGAGAGGTTAAAAGACGGGGAGTTATAACTGTGCAGTGATGCCAACACACACCAGCTGCATGTGTGTGTGTGTGTGTGTGTGTGAAATTCCTCTCTCCTGATCACACTCCCACTCATAGCCTGAGTTACCGGCTGTTTGTCGGAGTGAGGGAGAAAGATTCATGTTGCATTTATGGTCCATCTCACAGGCCGTAAAAAAGAGCTTTACGCTGACAGTAAACACTTCAAAAACAGGGAGAGGGCAAAGATACAGGATCATGGACCTGGAGTCTGAGGCTGTCCAGATCAGGGCGGAGCTCAAAATAAGGTCAAAACAGCAAAATACCGCCGTGGTGCGCTCTTTGTTTGACACGTGCATCAGGACACGTTTGAAGTGAAAACAAACGTATGAGAAACTTTGTAAATCTTTAGAGACCCGTTCCTGGAGTTTGAAAAGTGAAATGTTGTCCCAGTCTGGCTTGGTGGAGGATTCAGGGTCTCAGGGTCTAAACAGATCGGGGTCTCCGTGGTCCTATTTTTGGTGTCATGATGTTCCAAACATTTTCAGGACCGCATCAGTCCAGGACTCTTCTCCTACAGAGCCATGCTTCTTGTCCGAATGAGGTTTGGGATCATATGGAGGTCTTTGTCTGGATGGATGCAGATGTTGCTCCTAAACCTGCAGATATCCTCTAAAACTGAGGATGCAGCATCTATGATTTCCAGCTCTACGTTGAAAGGACAACTGGACTTAACTGGACTTAAAACGTCGCTGATGTGAACGCTTGTATTGACAGGATTCGGGTTCGAAAAGAAATACTGACGTCCGAAATAATCGCACGATAAAAACGCTGTGAAAGGACCTTTAGACTCAGGCGCTTTATTTTGAAAGTCTTGAACTGTTTCCTCTCCCAGTCTTTCATACGGTGGTGAATCTCATCCCTGGTTCTGTGACCGGCCTGTTGGAGGTGAAGTCGATGGTGGGAAGGAACTTTTCCAGCGTTTTGTTTTCCTCATCCAGAGTTTGCTGCCGTCAAATTTTAAAAAACATTTATTTTAACCTAAAAAACCTGAATAATAACCTTAAAACCCTGAATGGTTTCCAGAATAAACATCACACTGGTCCAGTTTTAAACTCATTTGTAGATGCAGTGACAAAGCTTATCCTACTTTCTCTGAACAAACGTATCAGCGATTATCGGACTCATTATCAGATTAACGAAGTCTTAAGTCGAGAACTCCTCCTCTGACTCTGTGGTGGAGCTCATAACTTTCACTGACGTCATGTTTCTGTGTTACTCTTCATTTTGTGACCGTCTCGTTCCTTTCAAACCGTCTTTTACAGCCCAGATGGTCAGACAGACGTGGTGTTTTCACATGGACTGAAACACAAACCGGTCTTTGTTCCTTCAGTGACACTCGGCTGCTGTCGGACGTCGTCACTTTGAGCCTCTTTATTTGTCGTCTTGTTAAACACAGAACAGGAGCTCCACGACAGGGATCCACGTCGGCCTGTTTTCAGCGCTCTAATCCCTCTGAGCTTTTTCACTGTTTGTTGAAAATGTCACAAACTCCTCATCTGTCCTCTGTTCGGGTGTAATTTAGTCTAAAATGATAACTCACATCTGCCCTTTTTCTCCCACTGACCAATTATACAAACCTACAATTACAGTTTAACCTCTTTAACCCTCCACAGACTGACTTGGTTCCTTTGTTCCAACTTTTCTTTGTTTTTTTTAGAGGATTATTTTTAAATCGGTAAAAGATCCCAAAATATGCAAAGATGTGTTTTTTTTCTCACACATGAAATCTAAGTGTAACCCAGTTTATGCCTCCATAGACCCCAGACTCTGCGTTGTGTTAATGTTGTTGTTTGGTGGAATGTGAGGGATGAGTCGGACACACGGATGGTCAGGATCGCAGCTGAGAGACCGCCTGCTTTAACGAGTGTCTGCTTTAACGCACTTTGACCCGTTCTCTCACGCCACACTTGACATTTCTCACGCTTATTTTTCCCCGTTCAATACTCTGTATTTATTTGTTTCATGATAATAAACTCGGCTCGCCGTAGTTCAAGGAACTCTGATAGACTGACCGAGATAACCAATCCCAGACCAGTCCATCAGTCCTTTGTTCCTAACGCTGCATTCGAGTTTCCTCAGGCGTCAGATGCCTGAGCTGAAAATGACGTCACACCCGAGTTCCCAGCGTTTCGGTTACCAAGTCAGAAAAAAGCAAAATCGGACGCCTGAAACAAGATGGCTACGTCTACAAAAGTTACTTTAGCACTTGCCTTATATTCGGACACGGCAAGCGCTAAAATAACTTTCGTAGATGTAGCCATCTTGTTTCCACCTATAATAATAATAACAATAATAATAATAATAATAATAATAACAATAATAGTAACAACAACAACAACAATAATAATAATAATGATAATTATTATTATTATTATTATAAAAGCACACAAAAATAACGCTCAGTGTTTCTTATAAATTAAAAGAGGTTACAGTGTGTAAGATAATATAATAATGATGCCAAATAAACCCCAAAATATTGATGATATGAACAAATGTGAAACACTGTTAATGAAGCCAGAATTATTGAAAATATGTTTTTAAATGTATGAAAATATTGCACAATATATCAAATGATTGATATATGATATTTAATATTTAGATGCATATTTAATTATATATAGAAGATGCACAAATTACCTCAGAATGAGTAAATACTGCAAAATATGTGGAAAATATATAAATTAGTGTCTATATGACCATTATAATGATTAAGGATTCACAACAGATGAAAAATATCAATAAATTAAACAAAAACAAACCAAAAAGAACTTAATAATGATCAACATTTCATTAAAAACGTTTAAATCATGTATCCTCTATGAAAAAATATTGATCATGCACCTTTAAACAAATTTATGAATGATTCACTCTAAAAATCTGATTTTTCTCCTCTGTGTTTGACTCCATCCGACCAGATAAACCCGGAGACTCTCCGTTCTCACGTGTTCGCCCTGATGTGTTTATTCACACGTTCACTTAAACTCGTTCTTTTCTTATCGAGCGCAGACTGAAGAGATTAAAAAAAGGTCACAGTGAAGCTCTTTTCTCTCACCGGACTGAGAGTGCTGATGTGTTTGTGACCTGTCCAGAAGATTTATTGATTCCATCAGGTTAAAATCTCTCGTCCTCCTGAGAGATGTTTGTACAGTCAGTTTACGGCCGACTGTGAGAGTATTCATCATAACTTCATCATAACGACCTGCTTCTCCTCGAACAGCAGCACGACTCCTCTGCAGAGAGCTGCTGCTGTGATAGACGAGAACAGATAGATCGGTGTGATTTATCTTATTGATTATGGATATTGGAGACAGGTGAGTCAGTGACTGAAATGAACTCTAATGGAGACTCTAAATGTGTCGACAGGGTTTCATGCAGCGGAGTCTGTCTGAGTGATGTTTGTTGGAGTTGTTCTTTCTGATTGTTTACTGAGCGGTAAACAGGATGCCCGCTCTCATCTGTTTATTTGGCTCTTTTATAAAATCATCTTCACGTTAGTGCAGCAGGATTCAGAGAGACTGCAAGTGATTTTAATCCAAAATACTCAATCTGTAAAACGGTCTGTGACTGTCGGAACCGAAGGGATCATTTCCAGATTATAAAAAATGAGAGTGCAGTTTTTAGGCATCCAGAAAGGCCTTAAAGACCCGCTCTGATGAAAATCATGTTTTTCTTGTTTTTTACATCTTCATATATCATTTTTCTGATGCTACAGGAAATGTCATGATAAAAATAAGTTCAAAATCACATTTTTAAATCTGTGGCAGACCCAAACGGCAGGTTCAGACACAGTGAGATTTCCTACATCACAAATCCAAGCTCTGCTCCAAGAAATGGAGAGGACGAACGCGGACTAAGTGTGGGCATTAGTGGATTGCAAGGCTCGTTAGAAAGCTAATTATGATATTAAATTTAATCATGTCCACAAAGATATTCGTGTCCGAGAGCTGAATAACTCCTATGTCACCGGCAATTTTAGGCTACAAGCTACCCACCAAACACCCGACGTTATTGAGATGTCTGTTTTTCAGGCTAAATCATGTCAGACCTTCATGGCCGTAATTTGGCCCAAAAGAAGACGTTGAAAACTGGGCTTTATTTGGACGTACGGTGAAGACGTCTTTTCAACGTCCTTCTGCTGGGTGGATATTTCTAAGAGGAGTGTTCAGAGCAGCACTGTCTCCGCCCACGACTCAGAGGCGAATTACTAATGAGCGACTGGAGCTCTGAGAAGAAAATACTTTTGAAAATGACACAATTTCGGCAAAAAAAAACTTCATAATCACAATTTAAAGACCACTGATAAGACTTTAAGTAATAAAAACGATCAGAGTGGGACTTTAAACCTGCAGTCTTTCCAGTGACCAGCAGGGGGCGAGTCTGTTTCGAAGTGAGCGTGATGTCCCTCCATAACATTTTAAATCGCTGTAGCTCAGCCGCTCACCGTTATATCTGCACAATATTTAAATGCTGAAGGCTGAACATATCCATTATTTAGCGCCACCTACTGTCAACAGAATAATAACAATCAAATCCAAACACAAGGCCTGAACACAGACTGATTGGTTACCTCCACCTCTGATGTACATATATGGTCATGGTGTTGTCCAATGACAGTCCAGTACTGTCTTCATTATCTGTCTCTGCAACAGCTGACTCGGCATGACTCCCTTTTTATTTCCTCACCCGTCTTCTTCCTCACATCCTGTTTGCTCATCTTTGTGTGTGTTTTTGTTGTTGTTGTTGTTTAAAGGTAGTTTTTCCTCTGCAGATGGGTTTGTTGTTCTGCAGCTGGTCCAGATGTCTCCGTGTCTCTGTGTCTCCTCAGTCCGTATCGTTTCCACGTTTCCGTCTCTCACAAACAACTCGGCTCTGTTTGAACTCCCACAACAGGACCGTTAACTCTGCTTGTGTGTGTGTGTGTGTGTGTGTGTGTGTGTGTGTGTGTGTGTGTGTGTGTGTGTGTGTGTGTGTGTGTGTGTGTGTGTGTGTGTGTGAGCTGGAGATGTAAACACTGCGCTTCCTTGTTGTCTTTGGATGCCATCAGTGGGAAATCAATACCAACAAGGCTCTCAGCCAATCAGGATGCAGCAGCAGCAGCAGCAGTGAAGTGAACTTTTCAAAGACGACGATAAATTAAAGAAATATGAATGGAGCGTCTTCTGTATCCTTCTGTCCTCACTCTGAGGTTATCTCAGCTTGTTTGGAGGTGATGAAGATGAGGAGAAGTGAACCCTCCCACACAGTGAAGCTGCCGGTTCCCCCAGTACAAACCAGTAACCAGTACAGATGTGTAACCCGTACTTCCACAGACTGAGTGATGAGTGTCTCTGAAATCACAGGGTGTGATTTATGAACGCTTCTGCCACGACAACAGACTCCCATGACTTCCTGTTCCTATGAAGAGCTGTGGTTACTCACCCTGTGTTCTTGTGAGTGTGTGTTTCAAATCCTCTTTTTCTGCTCGGGTTCGGACCCTGCACTCTCCCTCTCTCTCTCATCAGCTGGTTTGACAGATTTCATCGCCTCCCGTCTCTTTACGCTTCACACCAACATGACTTCCTGTCAGAGTTGATTTTTATGCCACAAAAAAACAGCCTGTTGCAGAAAAAGTGAAGGCATCATTAGCGTTAAAGGTTTGCAGCTGTGTGTTTCTGCACGCTCATTATGGCGTTAGTAACACGCCGTTTCACATCATGGACGCGGTCTCAGTGGCATCATCCATACTGGTATTCTGAAACAGGTGAAGACGTGGAGCTGCGGCTAAAATCGGCTTCAACGTGATCAACTTCTCAGATTGAGTTTTGCTCCCCGACTTAAACCCTGAGTCCAGTTTTGCTTCTGAAACCCTCATGTGGGAGTCCAGACTTCAAAGTGGTCCACAAACCTGTGAATCAGGCCCCCATGTACTTCTTTATATTCAGTCTGTGGTCTAATGTGACAGCAGAGAGCGTCTGCTGCTCTGAGGGGTCAGTGACCTCTGTACTGTTGTGGAGTAAGCATTTTAACAGCTAATGGACGGTGAACAAAGACCTTGTGAGTGTGTGTTTCCTTTGTTTGTGTGTGTTATGTGTGTTGACGCGTTTCCTTACTCGGTTTTCTGTTGTCCTCTCTCTCTTGGTGTTTGCAGGAATTTTAATCCGTCATCTTTTCCTCTGATATGCAGAGTGAGTCAGGGGTCTCGCTCTCTGATCAACAAACAGGAAATACTTTCATTCCTGTCTTGAAACCCCAAACAACCTCCACCATGTAGAGAAGCCGTGTCATGTTTTAACGCTTCCTGTTTTGGATCCCTGCTGCTCATTTCTCTCTCCTCATCTTGATTCTGTTTTGGCCGATTACGTTCCTCCAGCAGCTGATTGTTTTGGTCTAACGGAGCTTCTTCTTCTTCTTCTTCTTCTTCTTCTTCTTCTTTTTCAGAGAAACTTTATAACTCCCAAGGTCCAGAGCTGAGGCGCTCGCTCTTCTCTCTCAAACAGCTTTTCCAGGTAACACACACACACACACACACACACACACACACACATACACACACATCTGTAAGATGGCTTAAAGTCCGATCCGTTGATCCGGTCTCTTCTTTGCAGGATGATAAAGACCTGGTCCCGGAGTTTGTGGCCTCTGAAGGTCTGACATGTTTCATCAAAGTCGGAGCGGAGGCCGACACCAACTACCAGAACTACATCCTGAGAGGTGAGGCTCCACCTGGCTGTTGGTTTGGAGAGTTCAGGACCGTCAGTGGTAATCGGAGTGTTTCTCCGACCGCAGTATGACTGTTGAAGTCTGTGTTTGTTGTTGCTTAAATCTGAACCAGTCCTGTGGCGTGCTCTGAAACGGTTTTAATTACACCTGTGAAGACGGGTTTGAGTGCCATCAGGTTTAGAGTGCACAGGGCAGCTCTGTGCAGCTGAGAGTGGAGACAAAAACAAGCCCAGAGCTGCAGGTCTTTGTGTCTGTTCACACTTAAACATCATCAGTACAATATTCTTTGTGAATCTGACCTTTAGGCGGAGCAAATGACGGGTCATGTGATGCAGAAATCTTCAAACTTAACCCCGTCAAGTTCTTTCTTATGCAAAACCAGAAATATTTTGTAGAAATTTAAAGACTAGAGAGGTTGGGGGGGCTTTTATTTTATAACAGGAAATTTTGATGAACTCTCAAAAGACAAACAGAAAATGGAAAGGACCCACGATAGCGCCCAGGGGAACGCCACACACTCCATGTCATAGCAGTGTTGGGTTCAAAACCTCGTCTTTCTTTCTTTTTTCTTCTTTATTTTACCTCAAACTTTAAGAACAACAAAAAAGTAAACAAGAAACAAAAAAACAAACAAAATAATACATATGTACACCAGACAACTGTACATGTCAAAGATAAATTTATACAACATATGTTTGTCAAAAATAAACAACAAGAAACAAAAACACTGAACAAAACAATATGTATGTAAACCAGACAACTGTACATGTCAAAGATAAATCTATACAACATGTTTGTCAAATATAAACAGTTTGAGATGAAACAGAATGAAGCAAAGAGTTTATATTGTCCCGCCCCCTCCTTGCAAATTAGAGATTTAAAAAAAAATCTAACTGTTTTAAATAATAATAATAATAATAATCTTGCAAAACAAGAGCTGCAAACCTTTTGTGTATTTTCCCTCTAGTGTCCCTGTTGCAGCTCTTTTTGTGAATATTTTAAAAACAAGGATGCTCCTTTAGCTTCTCAGCTGACTCCTCAGCTGACTCACGCCAGTTTAAAAAAAATGAGGATATAAACATCATCGATCTTATCGCTGAGTCTTGTTCGTTTTTGGATCTCACGCTGAACCAAACCGTCAGTTTATCTCGCCATCAGAAAACTCCTCAGTGGAGCTTCAAAGAGGAAATCAAAAGGATCCAAGATGGTGCCCTGGGGAACGCCACAGACCACATGACACAGCAGCAGCAGTGTTAGACAGATTATAAAAGCCTTTTATTTTATTTATAAATCCAGGTGGATCAGAACATGATAAACCAGTAAAAGTGAATTAACACCAAATCTAAGTGGATCTTATTGTAGAAGAACGATGACATTTCAGCTCAAGAATCACGTGGTGATTTCCAGTCTAACAAAACGAGTCCCAGTCCTGAGAACAGCTCCTACCTCCTTCATGCTGCTCCTTCATCAGCTGGTTTCTGATCGTCCCTGCACACAGCAGCAGCAGCAGCAGCAGTTTGGCCCGATGGAAACTCGGCTTCACACGTCCAACAAACCCACAGAGAGCTGAGTCAGCCCTGCAGATTACAGGCTCCTCTGGATCTGCTGGAGCTGTGAGTGGAAACCAGAGAGTCGACACTGACAACTGACCTGTCTCTGTCTTTTTTTCTGCATTTCTCTGTGTGTCCGTCTGTGTGTCCGTCTGTGTGTCCGTCAGCTCTCAGTCAGATCATGCTGTTTGTGGACGGTATGAACGGCGTGATAAACCACAACGAAACGGTGCAGTGGCTCTACACGCTGACAGGAAGCCTGGTGAGTGACGTCTGAACGATCCTTTACTTTTCAACCGGTCTCACCTCTTCAGTGGAGGAACAATTCCTGCTCTCCAGTTTCAGAACATCGGGAACATCTTGAGATCTGAACGTTCACTCCATTAAAAACACAGTGTGTGTATTTGAACAACTACATAAGGAGTAAAATTAGCTCCTTTAAGACCATAATGACACCGGCAGCAGAAACAAAAACAGAAACACATCCCTCTGCAAAAATAAGGTTCAGATTTAAAAATGTTTGCAATGACCCTTTAATGATGACATCTGACAGCCTGTTTAAACCCACCATCACTCAGCTGAGGAACACACAGGGTCTGAATTTAGATCCAGTTTCAAAGTTTCCTCTGCAGAGAAGTGACTCAGACGAGGTTTAGACCGTAGGACGGATCTGTGGCGCCCCCTGGTGGACTGACGGTGAACTTGTCTTTGTCTGCAGTCTCGGCTGGTGGTGAAGACGGCTCTGAAGCTCCTCATCGTCTTCGTCGAATACGCAGAGTCCAACAGTCCTCTGCTCATCAACGCTGTCAACACGGTGGACGGAAAACGAGGTAAAATTAAAGGGATAGTTCGTGTTTTTTTAAATCAGGTTGTTTGAGCTAAAAGTCAGGTGGGATCCAGAGATCTCTGCTGTAAAACAGTGAGCAGGATCTATGCTAGAAGTCTTAATAGACCAAATACATACAGAGTTAATGAAAGGGGTTGTTATTGGTGGGAAACAGCCGATAAAAAGTGACTCAGTACATTTCTGGGCCCCCAGATCCGGAGGTTTTCTCAAGTGTTGAGGTTTATAAAAAAGCTGATATCTCAGCCTCTGGAGCAGATAGAAACATCATTCAAAAGGTATTTGAGAGCTTATACATGTGGCTTTTAAGATAACTATCTTTTATTCTTCTGAGCCTTCATCACATTTTTGAAAACCTTGAACAAACAAACTCAAATGAAATAAAGCGGCTGAATAAATAAAAGTTAAGACTCTGGAGAATAACAAACTGTTTATTTTCTATAAAACAAGTGTCAGTCATGATAAAGTGTCCATCAGTACAAATGTAAATATAAAAAATAAAGTGTTTAAATGGTAAACAGCTGCCCTAGTATAGTGCCAGGACAAAAGCAGAAACTAAAAACTAATAAATAAGTAAGTGTGTTCATGTCTGTGCTCACCAAAAGTCATGAACACTCAGAGAAATCGCCGATAATGTGAATCAAAGATCTCGATATGAAGAGGTTGTTCACACTGCTGGATGTATGTATGATGTATCCATGCTCATGGCTCGGAAGATTGATATGTGTACATGCTGTCCCGGTTTAAATGGGTTAAATCTGCACATATCGAAGTCAAGTCGATGTTTATTTCTAAAGCACCTTTAAAAGAGAGAAGTCAAACAAAGTGCTGAACACGGGAAAAATAAAGAAGTAAATAAATAGATAAGAATGAAAAATAGAATTAAAAACAGTGAAATAAAATACAGACAGTAAAAGAAAAACAGTCTGAGTGTGAGTTTGTGTGTCTCAGGTGTGAAGCCGTGGGCTTACCTGATGGAGGTTCTGGAGGAGAGGAACGGTACCGACACGGAGCTGCTCATGTTCGCCATGACGCTCATCAACAAGGTAAACGAACGTACGACAATAAAACCAGAGAGGTCCGAGTGTGTGTGAGTTTAAAACGTCAGTGACGTCTATGTGTGTGTGTGTTTCCTCAGACCCTCGCCGTGCTCCCGGACCAGGACTCGTTCTACGATCTGACCGACAGTCTGGAGCAGTTGGGGATGGAGACCATCATCTTCAAACACATGAACAACAGAGCGACGGAGCCCGACCTGAGGGCGCAGTTCGCCATCTACGAGGTAACGACGACCTGAGCGACGACACACACCTGACAGAACTACAGACACGGGGATAACAGAGTGTGTGTGTGTGTGTGTGTGTGTGTGTGTGTGTGTGTGCGTGCGCGGTGCAGGCAGCTCTGAAGTACGAGGACGGAGACATGGACGACTCCTCCCCTCACCTTCGCAAAGAGAGAAGAAAGATGGCCGCCGGCGATCAGGAGGGACGAAAGAGCCGCCGAACCTCCACCCAGAACCTCCCTGACATCCTCTCCTCACCCGCAGGCATCTCCCCCTGTGCCTCCCCCACCCCAACAGCCTTCCTCTCCCCATCGACAGAAAACACGACCTTCACCCCGACCTTCTCCCCCTCTGGATCCCCCACCCCGACCTCCTTCCTCCCCGCCTCCAGAGAGAACAGACTTCCCTCGCCTGTCATCTCCCCCGCCGTCTCCCCCGCCGTCTCCTCCCCCAGTCCTACAGCAGGACTCGGCAGCAGGGCCTCATCCCCGCTGACCTCTGACCCGGGCAGTCCTGCCTCCAGCCCATCAGGATCCCAGAGAGGGTCTCCCCTACCTCCCCACATGTCCTCCAACGGTACCATCGTCACAGAGCCGGACGCAAAGAGTCCGTAAGTTCACCATGATAGACTTCACATGACCTAACTAGACCTGAATCCACCTGGAGGTTCAGGTCTGCAGGTTTCTGTTACACTGAAGAAACCCCAAAAGCAGGACCACGACAAAGGTCAAGATACTGAACCATGAAACTCCGTCGTCTTTGTCGTGTGAAAGTTCTTCTCTGATCTGGATTTGTAGTTTCAGTTAAAAGGAGAACATATTTAAACCCCCCCCCTCTCCAGGGTTTCTCGGTGGACCCGGTCCCTCTCAGCCCCCTGAGTTTGACCAAGTTTAGACCGACACGCTGATGAGGGTCTGTGTTTTATTTGGAAACAGATTTTCTCTGAGTTCAAGCAGCAGGAATGTTTGTGCTGCTCTGTGGGCACACCGAGAACTTTTCTGCTCGTGTTCCTGCTGCTGCCATCTCCTAAAAAAAGGGGGCGGGGTTTAGTTTATATTTAACATCAGATCAAACTGGAATTACAAACATCTCCTCAAACCACTTCACATCTCAGGGTCTCTGTTCCTGGTTCTGGTTCTGGGTCTGTTCTTGTCTCTGTGATTTGGTGTTGGGTTTCTATCTCTAATCTAACCCCCGGTGTTTCCGTCCCCTCCCCTCTTCTTCTCCCTCTCTTCTTCTCCTTCTTCTTCTCTCTTCTCTCTTCCTGCTGTTATTCCTCCTGACCACCAGCAGTCGCTCTTTCCTCAGCCACCATATGTCTGCTCTGGGTCTCGGCAGGAAGTCCAGGCTCTTTTCCAAAACCAGCTCCATCTCTGAGGAGCCGTCAGCCGCCTGCAGGTCTGTAACACCCAGACTGACCTGTGTGATGTCCTGTCGGTGCCCCCTACAGGCAGAGGCGTACACTACAGTCATTTACGGAGAATCGACCCATCAGTTCACGATTTTAGTAAATTTGTCGAATTTGAATGATGCAGTGAATCAGCGTTTACGATGATAGAAATATAAAAACTAGAGCAGAGACTTTCACACGTTAATTGTGATTAATTAATTACGGTAATATTATCTCGTTAAAATATTTACACATATTATTCGCACATACTTTATTTTTCCACCGCTTAAAGTTTCTCACTAGACGAGTTTCAGGTATACCGCTTATGCCGGTGCACCCCTCCAGTATCACCTGAATGCTAAAAGTTCACCTTAGTCCGATTCCGATCAAGCGATTATTGGCGATTAATTAATTAATTAGCCTCTGATTAATTAGATTAATTTCTTTAATTGAGTCCCAGCCCTAATAAAAAGGTTATTTTAAAGCTCCTGTGAGAACTTTTTGGTTTGTGTCAGTTTTGTGCCCCCTGTGGACAAATTCGGTACTGCATACCTAGATTTCTAAATGCTTAAATAACGACTTCTGACAAAAACAACAAAAAAATGTCATCTCACAAACTGACCTGGGCTTTAAGTGTTTCTTTTTGGTTTGGTGTACCGTGTTGGTCATGATGAAATCACGATGATCGGAAACTGCCGACGCCGTCGTTAGTTGCACACATTTTTCTCTGACACATTCACACGCGGAGCGGCGAACGAAACTGTCAGGAAACAATGTTCTCAAAAGTTTGCCATCAGCTTCCTCACTACATTCTTGGCTGGTCACTCATTCTGTGTGTGTGTGTGTGTGTGTGTGTGTGTGTGTGTGTGTTTCAGCTCGCCTTCCTCAGACCAGGAGAAGTCGTCCCAGTCGAACCAGGAGCAGCCTGTCAAGACAGAGTCTAAAACCAGTTTCAAGTAAGTTTTTCTGGTTTGTTGTGGATTGTGATGGTGGAGTGAACTGGGATGTCAGGTTGCCATGGTGATTTAGGTTTAGATATCTGTATGCAGCAGTTAATTACTCTTCTGTTTTATTGTGTTTTCTTTATTTGAAGAGGATGTCCTCAGACTGTCGGAGTTTCACTTTCAACTCTTTGAGTTTTCGCTTTTACTTTGTTTTAATTTGTTTTATAACAGACCTGAATAATTTTTTAAAATATATTAAAGACCTCAGAGTCATGAGAAATGAGAGATGGGATTTAGAGCTTATTTTTTGAATGTTTTTAAATCTTCTTTGATTTGTGTTTTGTTTTTTCATAAAACTTCAGGTCATTTTAATTTATAATTTTTTTATTATTATTTTTTTTTACCCCTTAGTTGTCGGAGTATTTGCTTCTTTTTTTCTTTTTTTTTTGCTGACTTTTTTTGTGACATTTTTTTATATTTTTTTTAATTATTTTTTTTAACCCCTATATTGTCAGAGTGTTTGCTTCATTGTTTTTTCTTTATTTTGATAAAATTTTTAATGACATTTTGAAATATATTTTTAATTTAATTTTTTTTTTTTTTGACTAATTTTTCAAATGTCGTATTTGTTCTCCAAAAGCTCCATCTTCTTTGTTTTTAGATTTCCTGTTTGATAAAATCGTTGCAGATCTCTCTCTCTCTCTCTCTCTCTCTCTCTCTCTCTCTCTCTCTCCTCTCCCCTCTCTCTCTCTCTCTCTCCCTCTCTCTCTCTCTCTTTCTCTCTCTCTCTCTGTTTGTTGTTTCTCCTGTCTCTGTCCGTGTCTCTCCGTCTGTCTTTTTTGCTGTTTTTCTTCTTCGTCACATCATTAAAATATTTCATCGGTTGTTCTAATCTTTTTCTTTTTCCTCTTTTCCAACATTTTCCTCCCTCGTCTTTCTCTCTTCCTCTCTTCCCTCGTTCCTCACCCAGCTCTGGGGAGGATGACCTGTTTCGATGGTAAGTACCCGTCTCCCTCCTCCTGTCCTTCAGTCCTCCTCCTCCTCCTCCTCCTCCTCCTCATGTGTTTCTCATTATGCTCAGCTGCATTTAAACTCTTCAGCATATTAGAATTTTTTTTAAAGTTGTTTAATTGAAAGTCAGATTGAAATAGATTAAAACTGATTAAAATTTAATGAAGTGATTATAAAATTAAACATTTTACTGTTGGAGACGTTTTTCTGCAGCTGATCACTTCACCCATCAGGTGTTGTATGATTGACTCTCAGTGCTATCTGACCAGAGAGGATGATGGGAAATGGATCAATCTTAGTGTGTTTTTGATTGGAGATGCAGATTCTGTGTCCCAACAACCCCCTAAAATCTGAGACCACAGTGGGACCGCCTGTTCGGTCAGATATCTGCGGTCAGGGTTGGTTTTCTTCTAACTGTAAAAGTCTCCAGACTCCACAGACAAACACAGGTGAAAATAAAGAGTTTGTGTAACCTTAGTGTGTGTTTGTTTGTGATATTTAGTGTTGTGTTGTTGACTCTCTGTAACACTAAAGTCACTTTTATCACAAACAAACATCCACTGAGGAAGAACCGGGTTTGTGGGTGGAGTCTGGACCTTCTCTGTTTTTTTAGAGTCTCAGTCTTTAACTAAAAAAAGGGATCTTCTGTTTCTGTCCGAAAAATGTCCGAGCCCGTCCTCGACAAACACGAGCGTCTTTAATCGGTGTCGTCATGTGATCAGATGGATTTTGTCGCAGCCTGTTTTAATTTTCGTAAAACTGTCTTGACTGAAGTCTTGACTGTGGCAGACAGCAACCAAACCAAGGTGGACTGAAACCTGTGGACCCGAGCCTCGGTTCTGGTCCGGTTCTTGGTTTTCCACGAGTCCGTGTCCATGCACGTCTTTGTGTCTTTGTGTCTTTGTGTCCCGCTCAGCTGTGTGTTGTGTCCCTACAGCTCTGATGAATGTAATGTTAATCCAGACAAGCCGGTTCTGAGGAGGTTTGAGTAAGTACTGGTGCATGCTGGGAGATGTAGTCTGGGCTCTGCTGGTTTTGGTGGGCTCTTGCTGTGTGTGTGTGCAGCCTGTCGGGTTGTTTCAGAGTGATTTTAGATGATTCAGTGTTTTTGATTGAATTTATGGTTCTGGGTGATTTTTAATGATTTTCTGCTGAATCTCAAATCAAATCAAATCCACTTTCTGACCCGGGTTCCTGTCTGTCTGTCTGAGAAGTATCTTTAGATTATCTGTCTCATTGTTTTCTTACTCCTCTGTCTCCTGGTCCTGGTTCTGGTTCTGGTCCTGGTCCAAGTGTATTGTTTTCCTTCAGTTCACAACAATAGAAACTCATAAAGTGGGGCAGAGCTGAAAGTGTGATTTTTCTGGAAGCTTCTAAACACAGACATGAAGTCCAGACGGCCGATTACAGACCAGCAGATCTGTGCGCTCTCAGACCTGGACCAGGTCCACCTCCAAAATAACCGAACCACACTGAACTGAACAGAACTGTAAAGCTGTATATAAAGTACATGTCTTTAGTTTATCGACTAAACTTCACTGTTCTCGAGGATCTGAATGTTGAATTCTCCTTATCGACTAAATTGAGTCACTTTACATGTAAAAACGGTTTAACAGCCTCATTACATAAAAAACAAACTTGTTTACTCAGCTCCAATAACAAGAGTTATTATTTTAATATAATTTAAATGTAATATACTAATATACTTTGATATTTGACCCATTAAAGGATGAATGCAGGACTTTTTTCTAACTCAAAAACACAAAGAAAATGAACTTTTTAAATATATTCTTAAATCTCTCAGCCTTGTTCACCCAAAAACCTCAAAATGATTTAAAATGTAGGACAATATTTAAGAAAAGTATTCTTGGTCCTGAAAGTTGTGAAACTTTTGCTTTTTATACGTTAATTTATAGAAATAAAGATTAAACCGCCCACAAAAGTAATCTCATGCCACAGGAAATACTTTTTATATACCGCATTTTTCGCACTGTAAGGCGTACCATCAATAAATGCGTCTATTAGCGTCTATTTTCATACATAAGGTGCACCAGATTATAAAGCGTATTAAGCCAAACAAAACAGTCAGATAAGTCAAACTTTATTTAACTCATTCAATAACTCCGCGAGGCTACGGAGGCTGCAGAGCTCCGACAAGCCAAAAGGATTTTAAGTGCGCCTTATAGTACGAAAAATACGGTAAATCATTCATCACTTATTATAACACATGTAAATAAACCCTCATCAATGCAGGAAAGATAGAAATCCTTATAAGTAATTATAAGCATTAATGAGAACTTAAATCAGTGTTTAGTGTAATAAACATCTGACAGTCATCCATCGTTAATTTTGGGGTTCCTCAGGGCTCAGCTGGAGGAACACTCCTGTTTTCTATCTCTACATTTCCTCCTGGACATGTGATCAATAGAAACAACATTCACTTTAAATCTGTACGCTGATGACACCCAGCTTTACTTTTCTTTTAGCCGTAACAACCCTGATCACATCCAGGGTTTTATCGACTGGAGGGTCCACAACTCTACAGAGAGTGAATATTGATATAGACAAAACATTTATCCACTTCACCCAACGTTCATCTATTAACTGGAGCAATGAAGCTTTTTTAAATTTAACTTTTTGACTCATGATACTGCGTGTTGTAGTCATATCTGAGCCTCTGTTGTAACTCAATCAGGAACTCAAATTTCCTTCAGGGTTCATAAAGTTTCATCTTATTGTGGATCAAGTTGGAAAATATTTACAGATTTAACCGCATCTCTGAAGACAGGATGTCTAAATCTCTTCAGAGCGCTAAAAATGAAAATCGTTCATGAACACAAAACTGTCAGTGTTTTAATTTAGTCTTACAGATCTGCTTTAAGCCTTTCTTTATAACAGAGCGTCACTGAAAATAACTGTGGTTCAGTTATTGATCCTGTCTTTGGCACTTGAACACGCTCCCTCCAAAACATCGATCATCAGCGACCTAAAGGGACGTAAAAACGTACGATAATATCCTGAGTTTATCTTTAATAGGAGATTAAAATCGCTCTAAACTTTGATAATGAGGGAAAATGATAAGATAAGGTCTCGATCTCTCTTCAGAGAAAACTTAAACAATAAAAATCTCCCCCTTCCTCTGACCTTCGTCTCTCTACAGCTGAATAATCACTAAAAAACTGCAGAGATGTGTGTGTTTGTGTTGGGTTCATAGTTCAGCACTTCGTCCAGAACCTCACATATTAAACTCGTAAATCAGCGCCGCTGGTGTGTGCCGCAGCTTCAGTGTGTGTGTGTGTGTGTGTGTGTGCTGTTTTTCAAGGTGTGTGGGTTTGTTTTCGCTGGTGTTTAATCTGCCTGAAGCTGGTTTTAGATTTGCAGTGACGACAAAAATCAATCAATCAATCAATCAGTCGCTGGTTTGTGTGGTGTACGGTTTCTTTCAATTTGTTTGTCGTGTTTTTTTTGCTTTCACATGCTGTCAAGAACATTCAAGTCTGACTTTTCTGTGTTTATAGTTCCTGATCTCTAATTCATTTAGTTCCTCTGGGGCATTTTGATCAGTTTGTGAAACAGACTTTAATCAATATTCATGTTTTTATAGGACGTACTAAAGCAAACGAGAAAGACTGACTCACTTCTATGTTTGTCGTTTTTGAAGCCTGAAACCAAAACGGTTCACAGAAACAAACATTTGAAGATGCATGTTGATATAAAATAAATCTTTTTACACATGTACGAAGAAAAGTAGAGGAATCACTTTGTCCACAGGGGGCGCCAAATTCAACACAATCAGAAGTCCCTCATTGAAGCTTTAAGAGTCACAGAGAAACAAACATTTTAGATCTTCCTAAAACTTTTGTGTTTTTCTCACTGAGCTGCTTTGTTGTTGTTGTTGTTGGTTCTGGTTTCCTCCTGAAACATCATCTGAGTCTCATATCGGAGCGTCTTCACGACCTCAGCAGCATGTGAAAGTGGCGCCTGATCTCAGCCTCCCAAACGTCTGATCGCAGCTCCTCGTCTGATTCGTGTCGGCCGTGTTATGTCCCCGTCTCAGGTGGTTTTTGTTGATCCTGTTTCTGCAGAGACACCTTCCTGCGCAGCCTGGCAGCCACACAGTGGGAGAAGAAGAGGAGGAGTAAAAACCTGAGCCAGTCCAGGCAGTCCACGTCTGATGACCTCATAACCCCGAAGTCTGCGGAGGAGCCGGGCGGCGAGGAGTCATCAGAGCGCGGTAAAACGTTATATTCATGTGTTTGAATGAAGCTGATGTGTAAACAGGAAGGTTAACGGGTTTATTAAAGGTCGTCAATCTCTGTCTGTTTTTTTCAGTGCCATCCCCCAGCAGTCTGGACAGTAACGGACACTCAGACTCCCAGAATGACCCAGGTGAGGGACTACAGATACCCACAATCCCGTTCTCTAAAACTGATGTTTGTGTGGAGGACCCGGTCTTGAAAACTGCATGTTTAATTTCACAGACAGGCTACTAGAATAGAAAAATAAGCTGAGGGGTGTTACTAATTTGGTTATAAATGTCAGCTGTTGATTGGTCGACGTGTTACCATGGAGACACAAAGTTCCTTCTGCTGATTCAGAGGATGAAACAAACTTCATTCAGCTTTAAACAGAGTTCAGTGTGTCAGCTGAGTGGAGTCAGCACGCCCCCTGGTGGAGGTCAGGTGTCACTACACTGTTAGAGTCCAGAGTAAACAGGAGTGACAGGAGTTATTATGAGCGTCTGTTCTCGGCTGTTAGATCCTCATCAGACCTGGAAGCTGATCGTAGTTGAAGCAGTAAAACTTAAACTCAGGAGTGATTTTGTTTTAATTCTGACAAACTTTCGTCTCTCTGCAGCGACCGGCATCCAGCGTCAGTGCAGCACGCTGTCCAACGACAGGAAGTTCCTGCTGGACATGCTGTACTCCAAAACTTCTCCTTCAGCACCTCTGAGCCCCACCGCTGCTGCTGCTCCTGACACCACAGAAGAAGAAGGAAACTTCACACCTGGTAGGAGCTGAGAGACGCTGCGCACTAATCCTGTTCTCATGGAGATACCCCACTGTTTTATTCAGGATTTCATTCTGTGTGTTTTCCTCTCAGGTGGAGATCTGGGGGGTCGGGGCCGTGTGCTGGAGCGATTGTCCAGCTTTAATGCTCGCTCAGCGGAGCCCGCGGTTCCCACTGAGAGCAGCGCCTCCCGCAGGGCAGAGCTGGAGGGGCTGGAAGGGTCGGCCCAGGCGGCGCTGGCCCGACTGGCTGATTATCAGAAGGTCTGGACCGTCGCTAAATTTAATAAACGCTTTTTAAAACTCCATTAACTCCAGTTTAGGGAGTCCCCCAGATCACATGAGTCCTGACCCTGTTTTATCTACCCGACTGTTTTCACACAGAACCGTAAACTCCGTCAGCAGAGCAGTGTGGACGTAGAGAACCAGGCCCGCCGTCCTGACACCGCCCAGACGACCCCTCTGGGTCCTGGAGTTCCCTCAGACGCCTGGGAGCAGCTGCAGCCGAGCGCCTCCTCCCTGCGGATCAAAGACTTGGACTTCTCCGACCTCCTGGACGAGGAGGACATCGACGTCCTGGACATGGACACCTTTGACTCCTCCTCCTCCTCCACCTGTTACTCCGGCCTCCCTCCTCCTGCTCCTCCACCTCCACCAGGCATGGCAGGAATCCCACCGGCGCCTCCCCCTCCACCACCTCCTCCAGGCCTGCCCGGAGCTCCGCCTCCTCCCCCACCTCCTCCGCCTCTTCCAGGAGGTCTAGCCCCACCTCCACCTCCTCCACCCCCTCCTCCTGGTGCTCCCCCTCCACCTCCCTTCTCCACCTCCCCAGGAGCTCCATCTCAGAAGAAGAAGAAGACGGTGAAGCTGTTCTGGAAGGAGCTGAAACAGGCTGACGGGCCGCAGAAGTGCCGCTTCGGTCGGGGGACGGTGTGGGCGTCTCTGGACAAGGTGGTGGTGGACACCACCCGCCTAGAACACCTGTTTGAGTCGAAAGCCAAGGAGCTGCCTGTCGCCAAGGTAACCGGGCTTAGTTTAGCTGGGGGGGAAAACAAACAGATGCAGAGTGGGAAGAAGTGAGAGGGAAGGTGGAGGGAGAGGTGAGGCTGAGTTTGTGAGTGTTGAGACTCGGTGGGAGGTTCATCAGGTTTTATCTCTGAGCTTCATGTCTCACTTTTATATTAATGTCTGAGTTTAATTAGATTTAATTAAATATGAATTTAATTAGAGACGAACGATGGTGAGCAGATATTTGTGGGATGATGTTGAAAGTCATTTTTTAGTCTCACAAAGACGTTTTTGAGGTTCGTTTCACCTCCTGTTCATGATGCTGTTGTTGTAATACTCATTTTGACCACCGGGGACTGTATAGCACGACTCCACCATGCTCTTAACGACACTGAGAGTGTTTTCTTGTAATTAGGGCTGCACGATTAATCGATTTTAAATCCGAATTTGGTTATTTGATTATGACGATGTTAAAAAACTAAATTCATCATATTGATTTTCCTCTCCATCATGCACCTCCAGGCCACCGTAGGCTCCTCCTTCCCACACACACCACTGTAAACAAACATGGCGTTTGTAGAAGAAGGCGATAATTTTGTGGTTAAATAGGACAAGAGCGAGTCAGTCGTGTTGAATTGGTTCGACTTCACAGTTTCAGATGAAGAGTAAACCACTCCCCGCTGCAAAGTCTGTCTGAAGGCGGTATCAACCCGTCACCACGGAAACGAATTCAGGAGGAAACGCTAACGTTTTTTGTCGTATCGGCATTTCATCCACACGGAAGTAGAAAAAAATTTGGATTTCATTTTTGTTTAAAATCATGCAGCCTCTCTGTCGTCGTATTTCTAAGACGTCAGGATGTGGAAACGTCGATAACTGAAGATTTTCTGCAGTTTTATGTTTCGACTTTTTTCTTCACTGATTTTTATTAAATGTTTTTAACTGTATTTGTAAAATTTGTTGTTTGAGCAGAAAGGACCGGAGACGAAGAGGTCTGAGATTCTGGTTCTGGACCCAAAGAGAAGTAACGCCATCAACATCGGTATGACCGTCCTGCCGGCCGTCCACGTCATCAGAACCGCCATCCTCAACTTTGACGAGTTTGCCATCACCAAGGAGGGGATCGAGGTAAAGGAGGATTTTTTTAATAAGGTCTACAGTAGATGTAGATCCAGGTCTGAGCTGACCCCTCTCTGCTCTGAGTAGAAGATCCTGACCATGGTCCCCACAGACGAGGAGAAGCAGAAGATCCAGGAGGCTCAGCTCGCCAATCCTGACGTTCCTCTGGGCACAGCGGAGCAGTTCCTCTTCAGCCTGGCCTCCATCAGCGCCCTGACCCCCCGCCTGCAGCTCTGGGCCTTCAAACTGAACTATGAGGCTCTGGAGAAGGTCAGAAACCTGGTTTTAGGTCTACATGAGTCCTGGTCCATCTCACTGTGGCGTCAGTGAAAACCCTCCAGTACTTTCATAAGACAGGATGTTGATTATGTCGTGATTTTGTCGCCCCCTGCAGGAGATCGCAGAGCCGCTCTTTGACCTGAAGCTCGGCATGGAGCAGCTCGCCTCTAATCTGACCTTCAGGAGGATCCTCGCCACACTGCTCGCCATCGGGAACTTCCTCAACAGCTCCAACGTGAGGACGAAAAAACACAAAAACAGAGAGAGAGTGGAAATATCCACGCCGACAGGGAGAGGGAGTCACTGCTCTCCTGATTCCTTACTTCCCTCCTCTCCTGATTCCTTACTTCCTCTCCTGCTTCCTTACTTTCCTTCTCTCCTGCTCCCTTCCCTCCCTTCCTGGTTCCTTTCCTCCTCTTCTCCTTCTTTTCCTCCTCTCCCGCCTCCTTTCCTCCCCTCCTGCTTCCTTACTTTCTTCCTCTCCTGCTTCCCTCCTTCTCTTCTCTCCTGCTTTCTTCCTAACCTCTCCTGCTTCCTTCCCTCCTCTCCTGCTTCCTTCCATTCCTCCTCTCCTGCTTCCGTCCTTCTCTTCTTTCGTGCTTCCTTAGCTTTCTTCCCTCCTCTTCTGATTCCTTCCCTCCTCTCCTGCTTTCTTTCCTCCTCTCCTACTTTCTCCTTTGCTTCCTCTCCTGCTTTCTTCCCTCCTCTCCTGCTTCCTTCCTTTCCTCCTCTCCTGCTTCCCTCCCTTCCCCCAAACCTTGCTTCCATCTCTCCTTTCCTGCTTCCTTCCCTCCTCTCCTGCTTCCTTCCTTTCCTCCCCTCCTGCTTCTTTACCTCCCATTTTTCCTTCCTGCTCATTTTTCCTCCTTTCTTTTTCTTTCCTTTTGTAATCTCTCTCCTCTTCCTCCTCCTCCTTCTCCCCCTCCTCCTCCTCCTCCTCCTCCTCCTCATCCTCCTCTTCCTCCTCCTCCTCCTCCCCCTCCTCCTCCTCACCTGACCCTTTGGATAATTTTGTCGTCTCTGTAAACAGGAAACTAAGATAAAAGGAAAAGACCATCAGATATCGTGTGTGTGTTAACATGTGTGTGTGTGTGTGTGTGTGTGTGTGTGTGTGTGTGTGTGTGTGTGTGCGTGTGTGTGTGCGTGCGCAGGCTAAAGGCTTCGAGCTGGGTTACCTGGAGAAGGTGGTGGAGGTGAAGGACACGGTTCATCGTCAGACTCTGCTGCATCACACCTGCAGCCAGGTGGTGGAAAATTACCCAGAATCCTCGGACGTGTACTCGGAGATCCCCGCCATCACTCGCTCCGCCAAAGTAAAAGTCCTCTCCTCTTTTATTTTGGTAAGTGTTCCTCTGTGGACGATCAGGTGGTGACCAGGTGTGTTTCCTCCTCCTCCTCCAGGTGGACTTTGAGCTGCTGTCGGAGAACCTGGTCCAGCTGGAGAGACGCTGCAAAGCATCATGGGACAACCTGAAGGTGGTGGCCAAACATGAGACCAAGGCGGTGCTGAAGAACAAGATGACGGACTTCCTGAAGGACTGTACGCAGAGGATCATCATCCTGAAGGTGGTGCACAGGAGGGTCATCAACAGGTACACCACGCCGCTCCTCCTCTTCCTCTCCTCCTCTTCTTCTCCTCCTCTTCCTCTCCTCCTCTTCCTCTCCTCCTCTTCCTCTCCTCCTCTTCCTCTCCTCCTCTTTCTCTCCTCCTCTTCCTCTCTTCCTCTTCCTCTCCTCCTCTTTCTCTCCTCCTCTTCCTCTCCTCCTTCCTTCATCTTCTCTTTCTCTATCCTTTCTCCTCCTTGAATTCATCCTTGCATCCCTCCTCTTTCCTCATCTCCATTTCACTCCTTTTTCCTCCTTCCTCTCCTTCCTTTCTCCTCCCTTTTCTCTCCATCCCGCTGATCCTCAGTTTGTGGTCCAGCTTCAGTCCTTCACCTCCTCCTCCTCCTCCTCCTCCTGCAGGTTCCACTCGTTCCTGCTGTTCCTGGGTCAGCCGTCCTCCTCCGTCAGAGACATCAAGGTCACCAGTTTCTGTCGGATCATCAGCGAGTTCTCTCTCGAGTATCGGACCACCAGAGAGCGAGTCCTGACCCTGAAACGGAAACGAGCCGCTCACAGAGAGAGGACCAAGACCAGAGGGAAGATGATCACTGAGGTACGACTCCTCCTCCTCCTCCTCCTCCTCCTCCTACACCTGGAGGGTCAAAGGTCACAGCAGGAGGCGTGAAAATAAACTCAAACAGTCGAAGAATCAGAACACTTTGATCTTTTTAATGAAACTTTCAAACTTCTGTAACTTTTCCAGACTGAGAAGTTTTCAGGGGCGGTGCCTCAGGATGAAAGCTCCTCCCCCATCTCCATGGCAACAGAGGTGGAGCCAGGTCAGGAAGAGGAGCACGAGAACATGAAGAACCTCCTCATCAGCGGCAGGAACAGTCTGCCTGCAGATCAGGGAGGACTGAGACGCTCCAGAGCCGTCCGCAGTAAGACCGCCGTGTTTCATCTGAGCATGCTCAGTACAGCCCCACGGTTATGACCCCGACTTTAAAGAGAGATGTTAACAGTATGACTGCATCCACAAACGGGGTCAAAACTGAACCATAGAACCAGGATCCAGAACCACCAGAGTCCTCTCTGGACCTGAGTCCATTTAAGGTGGACTGAGGGGACGAGGAGAACTGTCCTGGGGTCTGCAGGGATCACAACAGCACGGCTCTGTAGTAGGAGGGTCCTGCTTTTAAACTGGTCTGCCTGCAGTTCAGACTTCAGACCCACTGAACAGAAAGTTTAATTAAATAACGGGGTCGATGTTTTTAAACGGATTTAAAGGGATATTCTGGCATGAAATTAATTTAGGGTCAAACCCACCGTAACACCGAGTCAGACCCCCCCTCCAGAGATGAATGTTGTCGACCGCTTGCTTCTCTAGTTATACCAACTTTAGTAACGACCGCAGGATAGAAATACAGAGAGCCACGCGCTCAACTAAAACGCCACTCTATAGCCACAAATAATGCTCAGAACAGGCGTGTGTCTAACTCGGTGTTACGGTGCGTTTGACCCTGAATTAATTTTATGCTGGAATATCCCTTTAAAACCACATTATACTCAGTACCCTGACATTTGTGGGATTTTATTTTGAGATTATTCTGTTTTTGTTTTGTTTTGATCTGACATTATTAAGAGTCTAGAACACATTAGATTAAATAATTGATCATATTTATATTTAAATATATTTATTTTCTGTTATTTTTAAATCACTGATTAAAGATTTCGAGCTTCTTTATTTCGTCATCTCTGATTCTGATTCTGATTCTGATTCTGGTCCTCAGGTCTCGGCAGCGTGAATCCGTCTCAGATGTCTGTAGCCAGAGACGACGGGCCGAGCCCTCAGGACGACGCCACCGATGAGATCATGGACCGACTCGTCAAGTCTGTTACCCAGAATCCTTCAGACAGACCCTCAAGTCCCAAGACTCGCAAACGGTCCCGAGTGAACAGAAAGTCCTGTGAGTACTGGACCTGATGGGATCCTGCTTTAATGTTTAATTGTTGGACTGCTCCTTTAATCTTAGACTGGTCCACCTTGAGTTTGTAGGTTTCTGGGTCTCAGACTTTACGTGGAGACACAACAGCAGCTCTGTGTTCACAACACGTCCGTATCAGACAGCAGCTCCGTATCAGTGTTTTCACCTCCTCACTAAATCCTGACTATCAGATCTTTACTGACCCGGTCAGGTTTGGAGGACACAGAGGACTCTGAGAGAGCAGAGGATCAGACCCAGAACTGCGAAAAAATACTCACAGAGTCCAGATCTGACACACTGATGGAGGCAGATGATGAACCATGAAGCTTTGTCTTTGTTGACTTAATTTCTCTGTGTTTAAATAAAGTCAATATTAATAATATTTATGATGATGATAAAGGAGGACATGGATTGAAAATGGCTGTTGTGTGTTTCAGTGAGGAGGACTCTGAAGAGCGGCCTCAGTCTGGATGTGGTTCAGGCTCTGGGACTGAACAACAAGACAGCCGACAAGGTCTGATCGATGTTTTATTGACGAGAGAGACTGAACCCAGACCAGCAGAGAGACCACACCCGCTGACACCGTGAAGAAGAAGAAGAGCTCTGTTTGTGTTTTTCAGGCGTATTTATTCGACGGTGGGACTCTCTGACACGAATGTTTTAAAATCTGAAACCAAAGACTCTGAGATTTTAGAGGACGTGTACCAACATTTAGGTTTTCAACATGAAATAAGCTTTAAATTCAGATAAACGAACATCAAATCCAATATTTTCACTCCATCCTGTCAGAAAAAAAAAGTCTGTGACGCTTTAAAAAGTTTCTGAATCTTGAACTAAAAGAAATCACTAAGGTGGTACAAAACTGTTCATGACCTGTCGCTGCGTCCGTGTGTGTGTCTGTGTGTGTCTGTGTGTGTGTGTGAGTGTTATTTTATTATGTGTTACCTGGATGTGAGCACATATCTTCTGTACAGTCAAGTTATTTCTTGCACTTTAGGTCAGTTTGTGAGACTCGCAGGTAAAAACTTCTTCACTTGTTTTCAGACACAAACTGAGTAAAAGACTAAAAAGACTGTTTAGGAGAATAAATGTCATATTTGAATGTGTCCTCTATCATTAATAAAGTTTTTTAATATGGGATGTTAGGATTTATTTTGTATGTGATTAAATGTTTCTTCATATACTGGAGCAGCTCGACAAAAATCCAACTGTAGAAACAAACGTACAGTTTCTGTCCTCAAACTGACCGAGGAAGACAACAAAGAATGTTTATGAGTGAAAAAATACAAAATAATTCGTGGATTTGATCATCTAAAAAAAACAAAACCGAAAACAGACGTGACTCTGTCGTGGAAATCACTGTCAGAAACTGTTGTCTGTGAACATGGCTCCCCCAGAGGAAATCTACGGTGGCCGAGAACTGCCACTGCTGCAAATAAAAAAGAACGCACAAAAGTCGGTGTAGTGTTAGCTTCAGTTCAACTTCATATCGACTCAGGCGCTACATGGTCTGACCAAATGACACATTAAAAAGTTTACGAAGTGAAATTAATCAATAACCTTTCCACTTCCTTCTTTGTTCGTCTTCTCGTCGTCGTCTTCTAGATCGTAAAACATCGGTGCTTCATCATTATTGGTCCCCGGCAGCTCACATCTGTTGTGGCTTTTTTTATTTGCATCCTTTTTTTTAATTGCCACTTTTTTTGTGTCGTTGACTTCTAGTGTGCCTTTTTTTTTTTCATCTGCACAGTTTCTTTTTTTATTTGCAGCGGGCAGCAGCGCCTTTTTTGTTTTTTGCATCAGTAACTTCCATTGTGACTTTTTTTTTTGCATTCTTTTTTTTTTATTTGCAGCGGTGGCGGTTTTAAAGGGACTGAAGTTAATCAGGGTTAGACTCTCTCTTTGTAAACCAGGACCCCACATCCTGGTCTCTGGAGAGGAGAGGGACCACCGGGCTTGTTATCAGCTGATCACAGACAATGAGAAACGTGTCCTCAGTGAAACTTTTCTCATATGTGAAGCTGGTGTTGGATAAAAAAAGAGCATAGGTTTTATTTTATGATGTTATCTCTGTATTGTTTTTTAAATTAACCCTTTAAATGTCTTTTAAACTCTGTAAGGCTATTATTTAAATTTTACACAGTAGGGGAGAGCGGGTTAAGATGATCCATGTTTCATATTTGGGATCAGTCCATCAAGTCAATCCTAGTTTAGTCTCTAACTCGTGTATCTGCAGATATTTCAGGATGTTGTTCATCCCTGCAAACCAACAGAATGAGTGTAAACAGAACTGTCATCTTTATAATACAGCAGGACAAAAAAAAGGAGTCTCCTATGGTCAACTTACCCCATGTATGGGGGGGTAAGTTGACCAGCTTACCACCACTGGTGAGTGACCATCGGATGGTCACTACATTTTGCAATGCACTATGGGAAATTTTGAGTCACCTATATGGGGCAGTGGAATTGATCACTCAGGTGCAGACACCCCTAAAAATGCTGCTAACCCCCATATAGTCGCCTATTTAGGGGTTAGGGATCCATTTCAGACACAGCCACAGTCTCTTTTACACTGAATTTATTTTATGCAAAACTTTTGTACACATTTTTTTTAAGTTGAATTTATTTCATCATTGTGAAAAAATAAGTGTCAGAAATAAAAATGTGAGCTTGAAATTCAATGGTTTTAGAAGTCAAAGTCGGAATTTTGATGCAAAAAAATTTCAGCTTTAGAAATTCAAAATCAGATGGCACGGATTGACTTCCATACTCGAATAAGAGTTTGGATAGGGGAGAGTGGGGTAAGTTGAGCCACCCCCTGTCACTTGGAAATGGTAAAAGAAATTGAAATGGTCAAAATCTGATGGCACAGATTGACTTCCATATTGTTGTTTATACTGCAGCTTTATTAAGGTTACTTTAGATCACCTCCAGACTAATAGTCTTTTTTTTTCTACAGTAATAATCTGTCTAACAGGTCTAACTTTAGTCTCTGTAGTCCACAGTCTGTGTCTCCTTCAGTCTTTGGTCCTCCTTCAGTCCTGTACCTGTGCTGCTCCTGCTGGTGTGTCTCCGTCTCTTTAAAGCTCCTGGTTGTCGGGTCACATGTCCAGCCTCCCCTCCTCCTCCTCCTCTTGTTACCGGAGCCTTCGTGTGTTTGAGAAAGTGTGTGTGTAAGTGTGTGTGAGTGTGTGTGTGTTAGAGGGAGAGTGTGTTGGTATAGTAAACCGGCTGCCGGCCCTCCTCCGCGGCTCCGTGTCCTCTCCGTGTCTCGGTATAAAAGGACCAGGAGGGGGGGACATGTCAGCCCGCTGAGATCCGGGGAAAGATGCTGCCGCTCGGTGTGATGCTGCTGCTGCTGACGGCCGCCGCCGCAGACGACCTGTCCGGGACCGGCGCTCCGCCGCTCCGGGGTCCGGGGCTAGGCTTCTCCTCACCGGTCCCCGCCTCTCCCTCCGCCCCGCCGCTGCTCCTCCTCCCGCGACCCCAGGAGGAATACGGGGCACCTGGTGTCGCCTTGGCCCGGTCCGCGGCGGAGGAACAGTCCGGTCCCGGGGAGGAAGGAGGGGAGGGGGAGCACCACCATCACGGCGGCGGAGGGTACAAGATCGTCCAGTGGGAATGGAGCTACGTCCAGACCCCGTACATCATCGCCATCTGGCTCCTGCTGGCCAGTCTGGCCAAGATCCGTAAGTCCTGCTCCTCCTCAGACTGGGTTTTTACTGGTTCTTCTGGGACCTGCTGGTTTAGTCCTCAAACTTACTGGTTTTTATAGTCTGCTGGTTTAGCTGAAGTGGAACTGAAACTTTGGTGGTTTAAGTTTGGACTAGTTTCCGTTTAAAAACCACATGGTTTCATTTAGAGAGTCTAAAACTGAGCAAAAGGATCGAAGTCTACTGAGAAAATGATCAATATCAGGATCATTAATTAATTTTCATTCTAATCTCTGTTAACAAAAAGATCAAACATAAAGTTAAAACTGTGATAAACCAACAAATATTGATTTTCATGTTGAATATTTGATGTTTCTAAAATAGATCTGGTCTTCTTCTTTAAAACAGACACGTTAAAGTGAAATTACAGAATTATTATGACTTTCAGACGTTATATTTCACTCTCTCTACGATTGAGTCCCTGACACATATCTCCAGAGGTACAATGGTGAAAGGATTTAATACTATATGATCCACTTTATTGTGATATATCAATCATATTATCTCCTTACATATTATGTCACATCATATTGAATTAAATTGTTTCCTTGATTAGTTTTGTGTTTTTTCATGACTTGGTATAGTTGGCTATCGTCTCTATATCGCACGTCACCCATTGTCTCTTTAAGACACTTAAAAGCGCCTCAGAATCCTCCTCCACTGTTGCCAATCAGAGTCTCGATGTCAAATAAGATATAATGAAAAGCTCATTCCGAGCACGTCAGACCAGAATCCTGCAGAAGTTTCCTCCATCTGTCTGCCTGTATAATCTTTTCTGATTCTTGAAGTTGTCCCACGGCTGTTTCCTGTGAGACAGAGACGACTCTCCCAGAATAATAACTAGAGACGCAGTGAGAGTGAGAATCAGGAGCTGATATTACCAACAATGTCCAAAATATGATCGTGCAGCTTTGAGCCGATCCTGATGTTTCAGTTTCTGCTCTCAGATTTGATGTTTATTAAGATGTCAGTGGAACAGACTGACTTTAACCCTCTCACCTCAGATTTACCTGCGTGTGTCTGATCGCTCTCACAGACGGTGTTTCAGTGTTTTAGTGTTTTAGTGTGTTCATGCTCACACACACCACAGACCCTGAGGGGGGCCAAACTGGGACACAGACTTGGTTTTCTAGAGCAGAAACAGACCAGCAGGACTCGGACTCTCTGTCTCTCTCTCTCCCTCTCTCTCTTCCGTGTTTAAACATTTTGTACCTCCGTCATCACACACACACACACACACACACACACACACACACACACACACACACACACACACACACACACACACACACACACACACTGACAGATTGTCATGTTTCCTGAGCTGCTGGTGACTCACTGTGCAGCAGAACAATACCACGCTATACATGCTGCTAATTGAGGTGGTCATGTTACACACACACACACACACACACACACACACACACACACACACACACACACACACACACACACACACACACACACACACACACACACACACACACACACACACTGAGGCTCTGTCTATTCATCTAAATCTGAGTCCAGTCTCGTCTTTGTCAAAGGAGGATCAGACCAACAAACAGCTCCAGTGACACACAGATTTAAAACATTTCTATAAAAATTTAATCTCAAGTCGAAACATTTTTTATTCCAGAAAAAAAACATTTGATCTCATGAGATTTGTTTAGTGCAAATCTGGGATTGCTGGTCCTTGTGATCTCTCGAAATACTTCACACTAGGGCTGCACGATCAATCGATTTTAAATCATAATCGGATTATTTTCTTATGACGATTTTTAAAATATTAAAATCATCAAATCGATTTTCCTCTCCATCATGTCTCACGCCTCCAGGCCACCGTAGCCTCCGCCTTCCTGTGGGAGCGCTCCCCAGTTCCCACACACACCAGTGAAAACAATCAATTAATCAATCAATCAGTCAATCAAAGTTTATTTATAGCACTGTTCATGCAAATGAAATTGAGGCTCAAAGTGTTTTACATCAGGACAAGAAAAATCAGTTATTAAAATAAACTAAAACAGACAATAAAATATCAACTTTAATTTATTAATAAAATAAAGTAAAAAGTGATACTAAAAAATAAATTATAATAGTGATTAAAATAATGAAGCTTTTCATAAAAACCAGACTAAATAAATGAGTTTTTATCTTACGTTTAAAGATTTCTATATTTGCAGCTCCTCTCAGACCCTCTGGAAGTTTGTTCTACAGTTTTTGGAGCGTAGCAGCTAAAAGAAGCATCACCAAAACGCCAACAAACATGGCGTTTGTAGAAGAAGGCGATAATTTAGTGGTTAAATAGGACAAGAGCGAGTCAGTCGTGTTGAATTGGTACGACTTCACAGTTTCAGACGAAGAGTAAACCACTCCCAGCTGCAAAGTCTGTCTGAAGGCGGTATCAACCTGTCACCACGGAAACAAATTCAGGAGGAAACGCTAAAGTTTTTTGTCGTATCAGCATTTCATCCACATGGAAACAGCGTTTCAGGTGACTGTAAACGGTACTTTTTGAAAACGGGTCAGAGAGTGAATAAATCTGTAAACGACGACCATTTCATCTCCGTGTGGATGTCTATCTGCATCTCTGGAAACGATCATGTGACACACAGAGGAACTCTTTTATGGCGCCAAAACAACCTTTATACACATGCTCTGTACTCTTCTGTCTTTTTTTGCATTTCCTGTGCAGCGTTACAGCGCCACTTACTGGCCTGGCATATGCACTACATCGTTTTCAGCGGTTTCATTTTGAGAGACGATAGAAAAACTTTTTATTTTTAAAGTGAAGTTTGGTGAAGTTGACACTGAATAAAAAATTGAAAATCCAGTTTTCAGAGAAAAAATCAGGATTCTATTTTTGGCCAATATCGTGCAGCCCTACATCACGTTCGTGTCTCTCTGCCTGCACAGCTCATATTCCTGTGCAACTTCATCATATCACACTGCTCTGTATTTGTAACACACTCCACCTGAGCTGTATCGCTGAGTTTTTTCAGTTTATCAAACTGCACAGTGATGCAGCTGTAGTGCAAGATAACCAGATTGTCACTGTGTGCTCGAACTACATCCCTGTGACTAAATGCTGCTCCATTAAAAAAACATGATGCACAATAACAACATTTGGAAGGTAAAAACAAAAAAAGGAGAATACCTGCAGAGAGTCTGTCGAACGTCTTTTTCTGACTCTCTCTCTCTCTCTGGTGTGATTTTTCATGAGCTTCATGTTGAGCAGTTGAACGTCCCTCTGTGTTCCTGTCACTGTCGTCCGTCTGGTGTGTGGGAGATTCAGCTGCCTGTGGGTGTGTGTGTGTGTGTGTGTGTTCATTTTCTCCAACCTGTGTGTGTGTGTTTGTTTCTGTGTGTCTGTGCAGTTTTCTCAAAGTTTGGCAAAGTTGAACCGCCAGACTCGGGGATTAATTTGTCAAAGTCTTTTTCAGAGCAGGTGTTCGTGCAGCAGCATCATCAGCAGACTCTTCGTTGTGCCAGACGAGCGTTTTCATGATGCATTCGAGTTCTGAGTCACAAACCGGGAATTTGAAGTTTGTAGAAACAGAATGAAAAGAGAGTCAACAGAGAAAGTGGAGCTGAGTAACGCAACACCAGATCAGCTGCTTCTGTCTGTGGAAACTTCACATTTCATGTTCAGATGTTTTTAGTCCAGAACTCTTCCTCTACATCTAAATCTATGATTTCAAGTTCTATGTTGAAAGGACAACTGGACTTAATTAAGTCCAGTTGTCCTTTCCAAAAGAGTGTTCGGTTTTACTTCATCAGACCTTACCAGATAAGTGACCTTGAGCCCATACGGTGACTCCAACTACAGAGTCCTGATGCTCTTAATCCTGTAGATGTTGTTCAGCATTAATGGAGCCTTCACTGATGATCTGGACTCTGATGATCTCCAGACCGTCAGGGAGGCTGGATTTGAACTGAGAGGTACAAAAAAAAAAGTAGGAAAAATGTCAAAATGTTTAAAGTGTTACGTTAGAGTTAAAGGTTTTAACCACAATCGCTGACCGGCGAGCAAGTTTTTATTTGTTGGATGGTAGGGGAAGGTCCCGCCCTCCTTCGCCTCTGATTGGCCAGAAGTGACGGGCTAGACCGGTGAATCTGACTTCACAACAACACGAAATCTGATTGGTCAGAAGTGGACACACAGTATGCGAAAATTTAGAAAAATCGACCGTGATACGAAAAGATAAATGTGGCAATATCGCAGGACGGGTTAACGTCGCTGATGTGAACGCTTGTATTGACAGGATACGGGTTCGAAAAAAAATATTGACATCTGAAATAATCGTACGATAAAAACGCTCCCAGTGTGAAAGGACCTTCAGTGAGATATATCACGGGCATGATGATGTCGTTAATTGTCGTGAATTTTGGTAGCGGTAAATTTTCATTTTATCGTCCAGCCCTAGTGGTCCCTCTGCTCTTTAGAGATGAGGATGCAGAGTCTCTGGTGTTTCTGGATCCTGTTTCCATGGTTCAGTTTTAACCTCATTTGTGGATGCAGTGATGAACTCTGTCCACAGACGATGGTTTTTGTTTGTGACTTGGAGCCCATACGTTCATTTCACTCCGGAGTCCTGTATGCTTTTAATGCCCTGAAGATCAGGACCCCCCAGTCTTGGTCCTTGTCCCTTTAGTACAGAGATTTCTCTGAGTTTTTGTCATGATATTATAAACTGAAGATGATGAAATCCACTCAGTCTGATCAGCTAAATAACCAGAAGCAGTTCTGTCTGTTTCAGGAGCTTTTTAAGCAGCTCAGGTCTCAGAAAAACGGACAGACTCTCAGTGAAATTAATGAAACAGAAGCTGATCTCTCTGTGCAGATCCGAGCGTGTCTGCCATCGCTCAGTGTTTGATGTTCGGCGTCCTTGTGCTGATGGATGAGGACTGTCACACACGTCTGTCCTTTTCATGTCTGCCATGACTCACAGCTAACCCTGATGATTCCTCACTACCTGTCCGTGTTATCCCGACTGAAACAAACGCACCGACCAGTCAGAGAGGAGCGACGTTATGACTCATCGTCACCCTTCGAGCGCACACTTGAACTCAGGTATATCATGAGGCGAAATGAGTCATGACTCAGCAGCTGCAGCTCCGTACCTCCGCTCACATCTCTGCAGCAGCAGCTGGGTTCAGGAGGAACCATAAACTGTGATGGGAGTGTCTGTGTCCTTTTATTAAAGGAGATCATTTGGCACAGCGATAAAGGTCGTCTCTCTTGGCTTCCAAACATCTCATTAACTCCACGTCTTGATTTGTAACGTGGTCAACCTAATGTTTTCTCCCATGACCCGTGTGTTAACAGTAAAAATGCTAAATGGACTGAACTCATTACATCGCTTAGACCTGTGCACAGTTCGGATCATCTCATCTCTTATTTCTTGGCTTTAAAAGGAGTCAGCTGATCAGAGCACTTCCTGGACGTCCCTTTTGGGGGTCTTGGGTTGGACTCAGAGCTTACTGGAGTGATTATATATCCCGTCTAGTCTGTGTTTACCTCAGGATCCCCCAGGAGGAAGGTTTAAGCCTGCAGCCACAGCCTGGTTTAGTGCGACACAGTTAAAACAGTTAAAAAGGAGCTGCAGGAGAACAAATGTGTAGAGACCTGTATGTTGGTCCTGGGTGAAGGAAAGGTCCGTTTCTCTGTGCTGCTGCTCTTTTAAAAACATTTCTTTGTCTAAAATCTGAAATCTTCTCTAACTCAGCTGTAGATTCATAATGAAGGCCACAGTTTCAATGTCAGACACGCTCCTGGATGTTTCACACTTTTACTCATAAACAAAAGAGCAAACCAGCGTATAATGTTCTGTACAGCAGCATGAAGATATAGAAGATGTAGAAGCAGCTGTCACAAGTTCAACCAGCCATACACAGCCATCAAAGTGTCTCAAGACGTCTTAAGACACATTTGCTGAGATGTCTTGAGACGTCTTGGTAAGTCAAGCTGAAGTCGCTTAAGAAGTGGATGTCTAAAGACAAAGCAAATGTGTCTTAGGATGATGTCATGATGATGAAATCCCACCTTTGGTTTTGCTGAAATGAACTTTACTGAGTTTGAAGCCGTGCCTGAAAACAGTTGAACGTAGGCCTGCACGATATATCGTTTGACTATCGTCATCGCGATGTACGTGTGTGCGATAGTCACAACGCAGAGCCTGCGATATTGGAGGTGAATGAACTCATTTAATTTCAAGGGTAACCGACTGAGATACACTGCATGTGACTCTGCATGTGCTTTGCAGCGATCCACCAATCACCTTCGTCCTTAACTCAGTTGCCAATCAGACTCAGTTCTCAGTTGCCAATCAGACTACCCTGCCAGCTGTCAATCAAAATCAGAGAGGAGGAAACCCACCCCTGCACATGTTCTGCACATGGAGGGAGACGTGTGTCCGCTGAGAATTACTTTCGGAACTTTACTCATGACTGTTTAGCCCAACAAATAAGAACTGTATGGGTTTTAAATTGTACATTTCCGTGGACCACTCTACTATAAGCGGTGCGCATTTTGCGAGGTGCATGCAATTCTCGGAGGACATGCGTTTCTCAGCACAACACCGCTAACAACAACAACAACGATCGCAAAATGAGCAACGAACAAGCGAAAACCACCGAAAATGAAGATTTGTTGCCCAAAAGAAAAGGAAAGTCAGTTATCTGGAATTATTTCGGTTAAAAGAAGGATGATGTCGACCAAAACACTTCTGTGTTCACCTGTTGCCACAATAACGTCCCAGCACAATAAAAGCTAAAAATATCTCTGAGACAGACAGAAGCCGTTCTACTAACATTCACAAAAAGAGGTAAGATCAGTGCAGGTTAACTGTCCTCAAGATTTCAGCAGTGCAGTATAACATTAAATGCTATTCAGGTCATCTGGTGAAAATTCCTGTATTTTTAATATCGCAATATATATCGCAGGGTTGAAAAAAATCGCAATATTATTTTTTTCCAATATCGTGCAGCCTAAGTTGAACGGTTAACGTTACTGAACTCTTATGGATCCTGTTTGAATCTCAGTTCTTCCTGTTTCTTGTCCTTCAGTGTTCCACTTCTCTCAGCGGTTCACCACCGTGGTCCCCGAGAGCTGCATGCTGATCCTGCTGGGTCTGGTCCTGGGCGGGGTGGTCCTAATAGCCAATAAGAAGCAGCTTTACCAGCTAGAGCCCGCCCTCTTCTTCCTCTTCCTGCTGCCGACTATCGTAGGCGATGCCGGGTACTTCATGCCGGCGCGTCTCTTCTTTGACAACCTGGGAGCGATCCTGACGTACGCCGTGGTGGGAACGCTGTGGAACGCCTTCTGCACCGGCTTCTGCCTGTACGCCGCCAAACTGCTGGGGGTCATAGGTCAGTCTGAGTATTTATTGATGAACAGAGGGTGAATGGGTGAATTGTACAGTTTGTGGGGTACCTCAGGGGTCACTTCTGGGACCTCTTAGATTTTCTATTCGAGGTCATGTTCGGCAGAAAAGCAGATAATTAAAAAGTGCGTTCAGTCGTTCTGACAGCTCAGTAAAAGCTTGTCACACATGTCCACCAGCTCTTCAGACTAAACCTGACCCTGTGTGTGTTTACAGACGAGCGTGTTCAGGCGGATCTGATGGACTTCCTGTTGTTTGGCGCGTTGATCTCCGCCGTCGACCCCGTGGCGGTGTTGGCCGTCTTCGAGGAGGTTCACGTCAACGACACGCTCTTCATCATTGTGTTCGGAGAGTCTTTAGTGAACGACGCCGTCACTGTGGTGAGACATACACGCACACAACACCTGCAAATACCTTTATAAACACGCAGACATCATGTGAGGTGAGCTCACGAGTTGCTATGGCAACAGAGAGGCTTACAAGGTCAGAAAAGGAGCATAAGAAACTCTTAACTGTCTGAATGTTTATGTTTTCTTGTCCCTTCAGACCCTCTCAGTGGTATTTACTCCACCGCCATGTGCACCGTGGTATTTGTAATAATACGTAACAGTTGGACTGGTTGGAGCCGAGGTCAGATTCAGATTTAATGCCAAGTAGGTTTTTAACACAAGGAATTCACCTATTTTGGTGCACAATAAGTAGAGCGACAAAAGAGCTGAGATTTAGACTTTAAACTACAATTCATGAAACACAGCTTTAAATTCATACAGACAAAATAAGCAATATATATTTTTATTTTAATGTGTTCATCCAGCACCAAACGAGCTTTATTTTAGAACAGTCAGTCTGTCCCATTATGTTGACATGACCCACATTTTTCTCTAAGGCTGAGGAGTTTGGTATCGATGATTATAACTTCATTTGAGGTGTTAAAGAAGCATCTTTTTTGTGGTGTATTTACAAAAAAGATTTTAAAAACAGTCAATAGTTATTAGTTATTGATGACATTTGGTAATATATCGATATCTCTGTGTTCTCTCTCTGACTGTAAACAAAGCCGTTCTCCACCTCCTCTAACCTGATTGGTTGTGAGGCAGACGCTGCTCCCCCTTGTCGTTCAGGAGCCCAAACAAAGTTAGCGTGCTACAATATCGGACAGTAGAAACCAACCAGAACGTTCGGAAAATTGTCTGAATCCTCCTTTGGCCACGACTGCCGACACAAGCAAGAAAACAAAGTAAATACCGGAGACTCTGGAGGAATAACGGGCGCTTAAAACGGAGGTAGACCGGACAAGAGCTAAAAAGCCGGGTCAACATAAACCATGGGGGACGCTTGGGGATCTTGGTGACCCTGTAACCTTTCTGCTGGACAGGTAAACCGCTTTAACAAAGTAAGACAAGTGTCTGTAACAGAAGTGTTTCTTGTCAAACGGACCTGCTGTAGCGTGTTGTAGCGCCATCGCTAAACTGTCCTCCCTCGGGTCCTGGACTATGTCACTTTATCCTCGTTGTAGAAGTCCTGCAAACATTGTGTTTGCTGGTAGTCTGTTGGCATCTACAGTAGCACCAATGCTTTTGACTTTCACCTTGACTGGGCCCCATTTGTAATGATCTGAAGTATTTATCTGCATTATATCTGAATTTAATTGGAACGATACGAGCGAGCAGGAGCGTCTGTTTATGGGCGGGGCTTGAGGGGAGGAGCTGAGGGGAAAACTGGTTGGGAGGGGTAGAGTTTACATTTAAGATTTCTGCTAAAAACTGGAACTAACTCAGATCCTGACTACAACACCTTTAACTTTAAACTGAGATGATGATGGTGAACTGAAAATGTTCAGATCTGGTCAATAATTAACATTTCACCACATCAACATAGTTTAGCAGCTAAAAAGACAGTAAGGTGTAAAAACAGTTAGAAATTCTAACGTTTCTCCCTCTTTGCTGTCCATCAGCATTTCCCACAAATACATCCATGTATCTGAATATATCTGAATAACTTTGTCCAAGTCTCTGATTGAGTCTTTTTCCCACTACTGAGTTCAGCTCTTTCTCAACGTTTCAGTGACCTGTTCACTCAAACATGCTTATCAGCTGTTTCGATAAAGCTTTTGAGCTGCTGCTGCTGCTGCTGCTGTTTGAGAAGTGGAGGCTTTATACTATATTTAGGCTTTTAAATATCAGGTTTTCACTTCAGGTTCTGTGTGTAAATAAGACAAGAAGGAGGCAGAGTTTTGGGTTAAATATTTCAACATTTCAGGAACATGTGAAACAACAACATATGGAGTCGTGTGTGGAGAGCAGATTTCAGCTGTTGAGTTCAGAGCTGTGACTTCAGAGAGGACCGGGGGCGTTATGATAAATGACCACAAAAGCTATAGTCAGTGTATTCTTAAAGCAATAATATAACCTGATCTGTAAAAACTTCAATAGAGGATCACACTGACTGATAACAAAGGCTTGAATTTGCTTTTATTCTCTGTTTTCGCCGTTAAAACGACAAATAATTCATTAAAAATTACCACCAACAGCGGCGAGAGGAGCAAAGAAACTTCACATTTACTCTGTGGCACTTTGAGAAAGCAGAGATTAAACGGTTCTGACCAGATTAACTCGGCACTTTTCTAATCCTCAGCAGCACTCAGAATGTGAACAAATCCCACCAACAAATGGAAAATCCACCGTGTGGGAAAAGAGCTGCTCTGACCTGATATTCAGAGACTGAAAGGAAAGAGAGGGAGGGTCTGCTTGTTTATCAGAGCACACACTTCTATTTCTGTGTTATTTTCATCATCATTGTTTTACCGTAAATGAAGTCATAGAGGCTCAATACTGATTTGATTGCTTATGAAATGGCCAGGGAAACATCAGGTTGTTCATATAAATTCAAATGAGTGTTGTTGTGAGTTTATTACTGGCTGATATGAAATACATGGTGATAAACATTAAACTCACTTTCTCCTCAGGTGGTTCTAATTACCTGAGAGGGTCTTATTTGCTTCAGTGGTCCATGAAATCAACAACAAGTTTCTAATAGTCTCCAGACTGGATCAAAACAAACCCGAGGGAGTGAACAGTCAGAAAAACAGGAGGATAAAATATTACAGAAACCAGAAAAGAAAAAAAAAATGATGAGTCCAAAAACCGAAATGGAAAAAAATCCTAAGTCTGAAAAACAGAAAATAAAATTAAAATTAGTCCGAAAAACAGTCAACAAAAAAATTAGTTGAAATAACAGAAAAGAAAAATATTCTAAAAACAAAAAACAGAAAAAAGAAATAAGTTCGAAAACCAAAGAAAAAAAATTGATCTGAATGACAGAAAGGAAAAAAAAATGATCCGAAAACCAGAAAAGAAAAAAAAATATTCAAAAAAACAGTAAAGGAAAGAAAATCAGTCAAAATAAAAGAAAAGAAAATATTCCAGATTACAGAAAAGAAAATAGAAGAATTATTCCGAAAAACAGTCCAAAAAAAACAAGAAAAAAAAAATTAGTCCAAAAAACAGAAAAGAAAAATATTAATTAGTCAGAAAAAAAAGGCCTGAAAAACAAAATAAAAAAAATTGTCCGAAAAACAGAAAAGAAAAAAAATTACTCTTAAAACCAGATCTTTTTTTATTTGGTGAATGCAGTACACTTCAGTACATCAGACTTTTGATGATATATAAGCTGTTTTTAACGGTCTCCTCTCCCCTTTACTTTTAATATTTTTATTCTAACAAACTCTGAAGAGTGAGTCGGCTCTTTCTTTAATCTACAGGTGAAAAGGTGAGTCGGGTAAATAGGTCACTAATGAAAAGAGACTCTGAGTCATGTAGAACTGACTGAGTTTAATATCCTGCAGCTGCTTTTACAAGTTATTGAAGTTTTTATTTTGATTGAAATGTTTTAAACTGAATAAACTCAAGAGTTGAACTGAGAGGGATGTGAGGTGAAGAAGAAACAGTGAAGATGCTCTTGGATATACTACCTCCTAAACACACTCTCAGCAGTTTTTAATTAAAGTAAATGAAGCAGAAGAAACCCTCCCTCTCCTCTCCTCTCCCTGCGTGTTCCCGTGACCTTCTGTTGTCCTTGTGATTTAGGTTCTTTATAAAGTCTACATTTCCTTTGTGGAGGTGGGAGCAGAGAACGTTCAGACAGCAGATTACTTTAAAGGAATCGGTGAGTCCAAGAAAACTGAAAAATCAAACTTTATCAAACTCTTATTTTGGCCTTAACCTCCCTCCTCCTCCTCCTCTTCTTCTTCTGCAGCCTCCTTCCTCATCGTCAGTATCGGAGGAACTTTAGTGGGTCTGGTTTTCGCCGTCATCCTCGGCGTCATCACTCGCTTCACCAAGAAGGTTCGGATCATCGAGCCGCTCTTCGTCTTCCTGCTGGTCTACCTGGCCTACCTAACGGCAGAGCTCTTCTCCTTGTCTGCTATTCTGTCGTGAGTTTCCCAGTTTGACCAGTAAGAGACAGATTCATATGCAGAATGGGTTTCAGTTCTGGATCTCCCTGACTGGGAGAAAACAAACCCCCGTGCAGAAAGGTCATATGTAAATGTGCTCTGAGGTGGAGAGCTGCATGTTAACATGTTTACTCTCAGTGGGGGGGTGAGTGTGACATTTGCAGGGATAACTTGGTTTTCTGGGAGGGATCTCGCAGACTCGGAGAGATTGACCAATTTTTGAGAAAAGAGGAAGAGTCAAATTGTCCTCAGAGACAGTTCTTAAGAAAAGACATTCAGGAACCTCGAGTCTGATTTTACTCTTTAAAGTCGAGATATAAACTATTTACAGATTCATGTGTTTATGTTTCTCACTGTGGTTCACTCATAAATAAAAACACACAATAATATCTCCTGATTCTCTCTCTCTCTGCTCAGTATGACCTTCTGTGGGATCGGCGCCAATAAATACGTGGAGGCCAACATTTCGCAGAAGTCTCGGACGACAGTGAAGTACACGATGAAGACTCTGGCCAGCATCGCTGAGACCATCATCTTCATCTTTCTGGGGATCTCTGCGGTGGACAAGTCCAAGTGGGCGTGGGACACCGGCCTGGTGTCCTGTACGCTGGTCTTTATCTTGCTCTTCAGAGCGATGGGTCCGTTTCTTCTTTTCTTAAATATGTGAAAAATAAAAAAACGATAAATTATTATTTTTAAAAACGTCTGATGTACGCGGTTTGTCTGCTGTTCTCCAGGTGTGATTGGTCAGACCTGGGTCCTGAACCGCTTCCGCCTCGTCCCATTGGACAAAATCGACCAGGTAGTCATGTCATACGGAGGCCTGCGAGGGGCTGTGGCGTTTGCTCTGGTGGTGCTGTTGGATGGCGAACAGGTCAAAGCGAAGGATTACTTTGTTGCCACGACGATTGTGGTCGTCTTCTTCACGGTCATGTTTCAGGTAGAGCAAAAACGACTCCATGACGATATTCTGATACTGTTTTTATTTCAGAGTTGGTGTCGGTGAAGTTCTGGTTCTGATCCGAGCTAACGGGTTTTCAAACCGGGCTCTCGTTAGGCTCAGCTGTGTGCTCCTACAGACACACAGAGGTCAGGGACAGAGACGGCGAGCTGCCGCAGCTGTGCGGAGGGAAAACACACTGGGTGGAAGCTGCTCTCCAGCTTCACGTCGCCTAGCAACCATAATGATGTCATGCTTATTATGACCTTTAGCTTCCTGCTGTTACAGAGAGCAGTAAAACACGATTATACACAACAAACAGCATCGCTGTGATTTATCAGCTCTTATCAGCCGTGGAGCTTAAAGCGTTTTCATGAGCGACAAAAGCAAAAACCAGTCAGTCAGAAACAAGAACAGGTGTGTAAATCACGGAGATATGTCGCTTTATTAAATAAGAATAAACATTTAAAGAGGGTTCATTTAAGTGGTTCACAAAATATAAAATAATCACAAAATAAAATATTTACTCTAAAGCCTGAAAATGCTGCAAAGGTCTGAGTTTGATGCTGTAAAATGTCCTTTTTTTGAGTTTTCATGGATTTAATTGTTAAAAAGAAGCAGAATGAAAAACAGATCAGTGGACAGAGGAACCACACAGTCTGAGGGCACCAGGATCAATAAAGAACATTAAGAACCTCATGGCCGTGACCAGAATTTCCCTCTGGAATCATTAAATTCTTTCCCATCTTATGTCATCTCTGCTCTGAGCTTGGTATGAGAAAGAAACGCTTATTAATAACTGAAGAATTTACGACCAGGAAAGCACAAAGGACATGAATGATTCTGATTGGTCAACACTCTATAGCCACAGTTCGTTATTTAGGAGAAGAACCTGGCAGACAAACTCAAATCTCATCAAACCCAGAAATCAGTCTGATTAATTTGACGTCTGTTTGGAGGATCTAAAGCAACAAATTTATTAGTCATTAAATTAAAAATTTAAATTCTGTCCAAGCTCTTAAACTCTCAGCCTCTCCTGCAAAGATCTCTTCTCTTGTTATATTGTAAAATAAGATTTAGATCTGGGCTTATATGAGAAGTAATAAGATGTTTTGTCTTGTAATAGTTTTTCAGTGTAAAAATCCTCCATGTAGGATGAGTCAGGTCCACTTCGGCAGGTTTCCAGTTCTCAGATTTCAGCCTCTGTCATGTTTACTCTAAACTCTGTAAAATCCTCCTTTCATCAGGTTAATCTAGACCGTATATCAGACATGTTTACTTCACTGTGTCTGAATCATCCTGAGACTGTGTGTCTGTGTCCTACAGTCACATGTGAACTAAAGTCAGCTTCTTTATTTTGGGTGTATTTAGATGGAAGAGTGTAAATATGCAGTAAATCTGAAGTGTGTGCAAACATGTAAAACGTGAGTTCACATTTCCTTTGATTCTCCGTCTGTGGGTTTCTACTTTCCCATCATTAATCACAGACAGATAGATCTGTGTTTCCCTGGAGTATCATCTTATTATCTGCGTAGTTTAGACTTTATATTATATTTGATTGTCTTTCTTTGGTTATAATAGTCAGACAGAGTTTTTATCACCTGCAGCTCTGTATCTCTGCTGCTCTGTGGTAATGAACCCTTTGTTTGTGTCGAGGGGAGTTCATTATCTTCAGTGTTGTGAGACTAGTTCATTTTTTTAATAAGCCTCACTGACAGAGCTGCTGCACAGACAGTTTCTCTCTATTTGCTGCCGTCATAAGACATCCAAGAAGATCATCTGTTGCATAGCACACAAAAAAACAATGCTTTATGTAGGTCAATGCAAACTATGAGCGTGAAGATTTATACTCCCACTGCTGCAAAGAAACCTGGATATAGTTTTTATTTTCGGCTGCTGGATGTCCCTCTCTCGTGTGTATTTTTATTCCCCAGGATTAATGATCAGTGGTCTATGGTTTCAGTTGACGGGGTCATTTTGCAGATTTCTCTGTTTTCTGTGTGCGTCTGTTTCAGGGTCTGACCATCAAACCTCTCGTCAAGTGGCTCAAAGTTCCTCGATCCACCAGCAGGAAGCCCACCATCAACGAGGAGATCCACGAGAGGGTCAGTTCTCCTCTTTCTAAAACTCCATGTTTATCTTTAAGAAACATCCAAAGCACAGAAAGACACCTCGGGGAATAAAGGGACACTCGAAACAGCAGAAACCCTCAGTAAAAAGTTCACATCAGAGCAGCAGTGAATGAAAAGTTTGATTTCTGACTTCCTGCAGTTCATATTTTTCACATTTTTATAATTCCACTTTGATTTATCAAAAAATTAGACACAGAAAATCATCCTTGTATCTTTCCTCACAGTTTTTTCCCTCCACTCTCGTCGTCCTCCACTGATCGGATCTCGTTTGTTTACAGGCGTTTGATCACATCCTGACAGCTGTGGAGGACATCGCGGGTCTGCAGGGATATCACCACTGGAGAGACAAGTGAGTCTACGTCTGCGTTATCGTGACAGCGTCCTTTCACCAAACTGAGCAGCTTCGAGGTGAAGTGTCGCAGCAAAGAGAGACATGAAATAAAAACCGTGCCAAAAAAACGACAAAACTTTGAGGGTTTTGTGCTGCTGTGGTGAAAAATGGAGGACTGATGATAAAATAAGGAAAATTCTGTGAGGCAGTGACGTTTTTAAAAGACTGTAAACAAACATTTATTCATTTATTTAGTTTATTTAATTGGGACAATGAAAATTACACAGAAGAAGCTTTTATCTGAGTTATACAGACATATTAATTAAAGACAAACAAGTCTAAATCTTATTACTTCAGAGCTGAACCCTCTGTGAACACTAGAGGGAGCTCCTCATCCATCATAGTGAGGAAAAGTGACCCACTCAAAGTCACGGTGAGAGTGGGTCACAGACAGAATTTTAGGACTCTTCTTCGGATTAAGTCCTTTTTAGGTTTCTACCTCAGCTGATTTATTTTAGTCCAACTTTTCTGTTAATAATGTGCAAATTAAGACTCAAATTAAAAAAGTAACATCAGAAACATTGATAACAGAAATATTGATCATGTGTGTTCGATCTCTTTAAAGACTCGGGACAGTACAAACCTCTAATCTGTCTCTTTATCCGCTCAGGTGGGAACAGTTTGATAAGAACTACCTGAGTAAGCTGCTGCTGAGGAAGTCTGTGTACAGGAAGAGCGAGCTGTGGGAGGCTTATCAGAAGATCAACATCAGAGACGCCATCAGTGTCATCGATCAGGTACAGAAGGGCGACGGAGGGGGAGGAGAGGGACTCTGGATGTAGCAGGAAAACCTGGTCTCTGGTTCAGCTGATGAGTTCTTAGAAGAACTCTCCAAAGTCGAGTTTTCTAAATCCGTCCCACCTGGACTGTTCAGACCTGCATCAGCATTAAACTGATTTATAGGAGCGAGGAAAGTTTCATAAAACTTTAATGTCAACACGGCAAACTGAAGCGAAACTCTTCTTCATGTGTGGCTGTGATGACTCACTGATCTAAGACCAGATGTTACCGCCAACGACCATAAAAAAAACCTCCAACAGATATTTTTAAGAGCAACCATCAAACAGAGACGATAAATAAAACAGCTGAGAGCGAAGAAGAAGAAGAAAACAGGTCAACACACACAGAGAGAGAAACAGATCCTCCAGTCATGACAGAGGAAATCTGAAATGCTCAAATCTTAAAGAGAGTTGGAGGTTACGCAGGGGCTTCTGGGAAATGTAGTTTTTACCGTGAGAATTATTTAAAAAGGTTTCTTTTACTGTTGACCTTTGACCTCTGTGTGTGTGTGTGCAGGGTGGGAATGTCCTGACCTCAGCTCGACTGTCCCTGCCCTCGATGGCGAGCAGAGCCTCGTTCCCCGAGGTCACAAACGTCACCAACTACCTGTGAGTCACATGACTTCCTGTGTTTGAATATCTGTCGCATGTTTTATCTCCTGCATATTAAAAACAGACGAGTGTCTCTTCATTAGGCCTGTGCTGTTAACGTGTGTGTGTGTCTGTACGTGTGTGTGTGTTTTTTAGGCGTGAGAACGGCAGCGGCGTATGTCTGGACCTTCAGGTGATCGATAATGTCCCTGGAGCCAAAGTGGAGGAGGACACAGAGACACACCACGTCCTGGCAGAGAACCTGTACAAACCCAGGAGACGGGTAACACACACACACACACACACACACACACACACACAAATGATTCAAAAATCATAAATAAGGTGTTAAACTTTAAATATCTGGTTGCCGTACACGTGTCAGCTGTGTGTGGTCATGTCGTATCATCGTGTCTGTTTTGTGCGCCGCAGTATCAGTCCCACTACAGCCGTCACTTCATGCCTCTGGGGGAGAAGGAGCGTCAGGACCGGGAGGTGTTTCAGAGGAACATGAAGAGCCGCATGGAGACGTTCAAATCCAGCCGACACAAACGACACAAGAAGGAGAGAAGCCTGAAGAAGGTGAGAGACACCGACGGCAGGATGTTCAGTTTTCACCTCATCCCTCTGTTTGAGTTTAGTATGGACTGTTTTATCACTGAAAGTCTTATGTAAATTAAAAAACGAGTGGTGGACCGATTAATCTGACTGACGTGTGTTTTCTGTTTCAACAGCGCCGAGGATCGGACGTGAAGGAGGATGGCAGCGACAAACCGAGACGTAACGTCAGCTGGCATGACAAAAGTAAACTCAGAGGGGAGAAAGGAGGCGGCTCAGTGTTCATGTTTCTTTAAGATGTCAGAGTAGGACTGGGCGATATGTCCCCAAATCAATATCACAATATATTGATCAGTTCACCTCGATAACTACTCCACAAGAGACCATAGCCTACCTACACACATCCAAAAACAACTTTTAATTATTTATTTTTATGACACCAAATATATCAACATGAGCAAAATGACGTTGGTTATTGTCGTAAATTTTGGTATCTGTAAATTTTCGGTTTATGGCCCAGCCCTATGTCAGAGTGATATCAGAGTGTATGAGGTCATGTGACGTGGCGTGTTTTATGTCGCTTCAGATCCAGTGGTCGTTCCTGTGGAGTCGGAGGAGGAGAAGGGTGATCATTCAGACCCCGAGAAGGAGGATGATGTCGGGATCACCTTCATCGCTCGCAAGCCAGAGACGCCAAAACAACGACCCCAGTCTGGTAAGAACACAAACACAGTCTTACACACACACACACACACACACACACACCAAACAAAGCAGAGTGCAGTGTTTATGAGCTGTCGCTGTCATTGTTTCGGGTATTTAGGATGGTATTTGGCTCAGACTCGGTGTGTATATAAAAGAGAGGCAGAAATCGGCTGTGTAAATAGTGACACCCTCTCCTGCAGATGAACTTAGCTTTTAAAGGAACAGTAGTACACACACTGATTAGTCTGATTCATTTAACACTCAAAAAACAACCTGAAACAGACTAAAATGTGCGCCCCGGGCTTCACTGAGTGTCAGTAAAACTGTTTTTAATTATTATTGTAATTAGACTGTATCATTAAAATCAGGACTACCTCACTGATCCCTGTATTCAAAGGTGTCCTCAGTGGTCTAACTCTGTCCCTCCTTCAGTCCCTGCAGCCCTGGACAGCCCTCAGAGTCCCACAGCCTCCCTGGCCTCACCCCCCAGTGGAGAGAGTCATTTACCGTGGAAGGGCAGTGTGGGCTCTCCTCCCCCCTGTGTGTCTGTGGAGGCCACAAAGATCATCCCTGTGGACCTCCAGCAGGCTTGGAACCAGAGCATCTCCTCCCTGGAGAGCATCTCCTCCCCGCCTGCTCCTCCTGAGCCTGTCCACCCACGTGTGAGCGCCCTCGCCAGGCTGGGAGGCCCCCGCCCGGTCTCCTACACTCCACCTGGCAGCGCCGTGGGCAGCACCTCCTCCATCACAGCTCAGCTGTCGCAGGGCTCCTTCCGCTTCCCAGAGAGGAAAAAGAGGGAGGAAGAGGAGGAGGAGGAAGATGATGATGGATCCGCTCCTGAGATGCGGCCGCTAATGTCGTCTCTGAGACCCCCAGGCCCCCTGCCACCACCCCCACCACCACCAGGCCCTGCTCTTGGTTCAGGGAGGAGGAGGAACCCCTGTGTCTACCTGAGGAGCTTGGTGACAGCGCCCCCTCCTGGCAGCGGAGAGCCACACAGTCGAGGTCCTACCCAGCTGTAAAAACAGGTCCCAGATCAGTAGAACACCGCCCCCTGCAGAGCAGAGCAGGAACTGTGCTCGACCGATCAGCATTTTCACCTTTAATGCAACAAACACACAATGACACACACACACAAGCACACACAGACATATATATATATATATATGTGTATAGTACACATGCCATTCAGTAGGAAGGCAGCTCAGTGCACCTCCATAAATACAGGGGTCAAAGGTCACCCTGTAGTCCAATCATTGCTTTTACCTGCACACCACCAGCCCTCACATATCACCAGCCGAGAGAGGAATAAGAAACAGAAACAGAGTTTAGGGGTCAGGTGACAGAATTTCCATGACTATTAGTCAACAAAAATTAAACTTTGAAACATGTTAAGTGGAGGCCAGAAAACTGTCTGTAATGGCTGAGAAGTAACCCGACATGATCAAAGTGAATCCAACTAAAGTTTCTCTTTAACATTTAACGTTAGTCTTTGAATGGAGTCTGGTGGTCCTACCAGAGTTTCTGTGTTTCTGGTCTAAAGAATCTCACTGTCTCTAAAAGGTCCTGTAAAATCTTAATCTGACTTTATCTAATCTAATCTAATCTGTGTCAAAGAAAATACACTGATTGGTTAAATTGACAGAAAAGACTTTGCAGCCACTACAGCAAGTTTCATGGTCATCCAAAAATCCTCAACAACAACAATCCCACAAACTTTTAGTTTCTATAACTGCGGTTCGGTTAAAGAGGAGACTCTGTGTCACTTAAATGCTGATAGAAACAGAGGTTGATGGTTTGCGTATTATCCAAAGCCTGTATTTTATTTGGAAAATTGTGCAAAAACAAAATATCAAATGTTGTAATTAAAAAAATGTTTTGTCTGATGGAAGAGTTCTGCACATCAGAACGCTTCAAAACGGCTGAAACAGGAACAACAAAACACTGATAGATGTTATGAGAAAACATGTGGATGAGATTTATCTGAAGCTCCGTTAATGTTGGACAATATCTGCAGGTTTAGGAGCAACATCTGCGTCTATCCAGATAAATAGTTCAGATGATCCCAAACCACATTCTGACAACAGCGTGGCTCTGAAGGAGAAGAGTCCTGCTAAAAAACTGGACAAAAACATTTGCATCATAGCGTGAAAATATGACAAATTTGGACAAATGTGACTTTTTTCTATAAAGTTTAGGTTTCAAATATGTGCAAACCATTAAAGTCTGTTCTATGAACATTTTACCCAGTGTCCCAGTTTCCCAACAGGAAGAAAAATAAAATACATGACCAGACCGATGGTTTTAGAATAGTCTCTGCCTATCAGCTCCAGCCCACTGTCCAATTTTTGTACTAAAAAGATGTATTAGATCAACTAGAAAGACAAAGTCCTCATCCTGTTTGTGGTGGATACTGACCGGTGTTTTGTCTTTAATGATCGTGGTGGTAAGAGACAACGTCTTTTGTATATTTGGGACATTGTACCACATTGTGCAATGTAAGTAATATTTGTATGTTTAACATCATCTTCACAGCTGATAGAATATTGTAATGGTGATTGTTAAATAGAGGCGCAGCTTCGCCTGCTGCCTGATTCACAGCCGCTCTTTAACCTGAGCTGATAGAAGCTTCTTAAAGCCTTATTTCCTTCCTTACATGCAGGTATAAACATCCATCATCAAAATGTGTATTTATTCTGTAAAAGCTGCTCATATCAAATCTAGAAATGTATTTTATAAACTACAAATATAGAGAATCTACAGAGTAGTTTATTTTGAATGACCAAAGCGTGTAAAAATGAAGTATAATGAACATTTATACGGTGTGTATCTGTGTTTAACTGCCTTACTCTACCATGTCTATGTAGCTGTTTGTCAGGTCAGTGTGTGTCTGTGAAGGTGGAGTCCAATCAGAAGACCGTCCAGGTTTATCATTCCACCAGCAGGAAAAATGTCTCTCTGACGCCTGTGTTAGTTTTGAGTTGTGTTGCTTGTTTTGCCAAAGAATCTGTTTGCCTTCCTGTCAGAGCTGCTCTCTCTCACACTCAGCTTCAGTCTGATTAAGGCCCAGCAGCAGCAGCAGCTGGAGTAACAGCAGGAAATCTTTTGGTGGAAGGAGGATCTAATACTCATGCAAATATAAACCTAAGTCCAAAACATTTAATCCTGACTCTAACATTTCTTTCAAGGCTTCATATTTCTTGTTGCTGAATGCAAAATACTGTTTATGTCACATCTAGGCTATGTGAGATGTAAGATTTCAGTCTGACACTTGTGATTGTTCTCAAGATGACAGCTCACTCTTGAGATTTTAGCTTTTTCTCCAATTTTCTCTTGTGTTACCAAATGCAGTAAACGAACAGAAGAAAAGCACAAATATTGGCTCAGAAGAGTCGTTCTTTTGAGAAGTAGTAGTAGTTGAAACATGTCAGGGTAGAAAAGAAAATCACACAGGTCTAGATATAAGAACACATTAAATGGCTCCACCTACAGGTATTTCTGTCAGCTCGGCTGCTGCTGGGCTTTAACTCCTTCTGAACTGTAGTGTTAAATGTTAAGCTGATGCAGCAGGCTGTCTGTGGTGTGTGTCGTCTTTCTTGTTGCCTTAGTGTGTCGCAGTGACTGGAATAACCAACATGTTGCTGCTTGTAGAAAGGCCTTTACTCTGCAAAGATACTTGAACTGGAGCTGACACCAGACCAGTTATGATTTCTGTGTTATCAGTCTGGTTCCAGCTCAGAGACCTAAGTGTTGCTAAATCACTGCAGTGTTTCATCCAGCTGTCAGTGTTGATGTGGCTTTTTTTAATCACCCGTGTGAACACAGACACAGGAATGTGCTGCAGAGCGTCAAGTCTGTGTATATTTTCTCTGTGATTCAGGTCGTTGAAAATCGAATGAAACAAATCTGTCTTTGTGCCAAATATTCATTTGCTTTGGATTCTGCCCAGAGATCTATAAGCCAATAAATGTGAGATGTTTTTTTCTGAATGAACATGGATGACTGACTGTGCTTCTTTACTTTGTGTATTTAGTCTGTGTAAAGTGAATGGACTCGGAGTTTAAGAAGGTGTGTCTGATTTAGAACTTCAATGTACTTGTATTTTATCTGTTTAAGGTACACCAGTAATTTTCAAAGAAATCCCTTGGTAGCCCTTTAATTGGAAAAATAAGCAATTGCTGTTTCACAAAAGCTATGTAGGCTAATTAAAAGTCATTAATCTCTGTTTTGTTTATTATATTCCATTTAAGCAAATGTAGGCGTATCTGGAGGGTAACAAAACCCCGTAAAAAGCTCAGCAACTGTATGCTTCCTTGGGGGTATTGGATGGACATTTTATTCATGGAAAGGGCGTATTTTTCAAGTCATATTCTCATTAGGGCATTCAAAGGACACTTTTTCATGTTTTATCTGAGGCGGGCATCTTAGAGGATACTTCCACTGCATTTTTCGAAGGCAACAAAGGTGCCTGTGGGGGCTACTGACTTCCCCACTTCAGGTGATACAGGTAACCCTGTTTTTTGATTTTTGATATATTTGGAGTTAAAATCACCAAAGAGAGAGAATATTTTGGAATAGACCCACTACATTGTTTCGGTGAGCACTCAACAGCATTAAGACAGCATGTACATCAGTTGGAGAGGCAGAAATACTCTTTCGATTCAACATGACTTAAGTTGCACATGATTTACAAACTGTTTGGTTTGTTAAAAACATCTCAAGTGGCAACATGAGGCAGAAATTTATATTGAAAATAAATATTTTTATATGTTATTGATATATGTTATCATAGTTATCCCTATGATAGAAATATTACTAATACAACATACATGGAATGATGAGAAGTTTTATATATAAATGATTTAATATAACTGCCTTGTGTGTGTAGACCTAATAGCTAATGCTCTACCTATCTGCTTAATGTTTATTCTTAAAAATCCATGGTTAAAATTATTCTTGAGAATGCAGGAACATAACTAAAACTCTGAGGTTTATGATTATTTAAATGCTACATGCACCTTAGACTGGAATGTTAGGAGTGGCCGAGTGTCCCGTAGCAAGATGGCCGCCATGCGCGAACGGCGGTCTCCATTGTCTAACAGCGTGCGTAAGCCCTTTAGTTACACCTGCGTGCGAGACGTTGAAAAATGAAACAAACATGGCGGCCGGAAGTGGCCTATGCATTCGGCGTGAAGGAGGCAAACTCGAACCACTGTGGTCAAATGAAACTAAGGAGTAGTCTGCTGTAGAGGTGTTCCAGATGCTAAGGATTAGTAGACGGTGAACCATTTTCGGTGTAACTCAAGGTTGATGTTTTTTGATGCTCTTTTATTTTTGAGTCGAGTCAGCTGGAGTAAAGGACCTAATTAGGACCGTTAACGGTTCTGATAATAAGTTTAACTTTTTTGGAGGGATTTACTGAAGAAACAGACTGTCACAGACAAGACTGAGTGATGAGAAAATATCTCCAATGACCGGTAAGTGTGGACAAACCACCAACATGTTTCAACATACTTGATTTAAGAGTGTATATTTAGCTGAAAACGTCCCGTTTACGTCCGTTAGCTTTGCGAATTGTTAATGTAATATTGCCCTGTAAGAATATCTGAGCAGTCGGTTATTTAATGTTAATTAAAAATTCTAAGCAATATCTGGTAGCTATTTTACCAAAACAAGCTGATTTGTTGGAAAAAAGAAGACTATTTAAGTCAAGGAAATGCGTTTTGTATCGGCTAGTAGCGATAGTTAGCATGCTAACGTCGTTAGCATACACTAACGTTCGTACAAGGCCGAAGTTAGCGTCTTCCAAGTTTCCTATAGGATTGTTTCATTGAAGGTTATAAAAATGTGGTCTTAATCCAAATTTACAACCATTAGACTCTTCATATCAGGACCAGATAATCTAGTAGTGGCCACAAAACTCTTAAAGCCTAGTTTTTAGATTAGTGAAACCTTATTTTATTAATTTCCCCCAAAGAACCTTGCCAAAGGATCAGCAAAATGTTATCTAATTTAGTCTAAT